AACAGATATATAGCAGACTGTCACGGAACAGAATCAAAGGAGAGGTTTTGTGCAGTTCAACCAGTCTTTATTAATTGTTCAACAAAGGCAGTCTGTAAGTAATTCAAATGAATCACACAGATCCGGTTCTTCAATGCAAACTCAAAAGGCAAACCCCCGGCCGGGGTGAGAGAGGAAAAGATCCGATCGGTCCGTGCCCACCACAGCGATGCAGGAACCACTGACCTCCGGGTGCTGATGGTCAGAGCCAATGGTCAGAGCACAGTCAACAGGTGAGTAAGTAAGTGGCGTCACTCATAACATGCAACGATGAATACAGGAGGGATGATCGACAACCAGATAAAGACTAGACGAGACAAATGGTGCTGAGATCTGTTGTAGAGGAAAGACTAATACACGGATTGCTAAGGCACGTAACAATAATCTGACAACAGGAAGAGAAAATAGGGAGGTAGATAGAGAAGTGTCAATAATGACAAAGCGGGAACAGGTGACTGCTGATCAGCGCTTGCGCTGACAGCTGGTAAGGGAGGACACAGAAGGGAAAAAGATTGTCAATTAAAAAACCAGATTCATGACACAGACAGTCTACTAATACTCAAATGGACCATCAAAATAAAGTGTTACCATGAAAAGAAAATACAAACGTTATACTTTTACATTTTTAGAGCCGACTATAAAGAATATGAATTTTAGACATGTCACATGAGGCTGGTGAACATGAAAAAAATGTCTTACTATAAAAATGAAGCGATTTCTGTCCAATGCTTTTAAAAATCATCTCTACTGTGAGCTGCAACTGAGGCTGTGTCAGGAGGTGATGGACTCAGATCCACCATTTCTATGTGCTCAGTATCAAGTTGTTTGGTTCTGGTTGGCATGTAGAACCACCTCCTAATGCCCATCCACATCAGAGGCAATGACATCAGGAACAATATACACAGTCCCATTAGCTGAAGAAAGACACCAAACGAGTAATTTGCATGAAAACTCGGGAGCAAGAAAGAAATACAGTTGAAGTCAGAATTATTAGCCTTCCTGAATTATTAGCCACCTGTATTTTTCCCCAATTTCCATTTAACGGGAAGATTTTTTTTAAACACATTTCTAAACATAATAGTTTTCATATTTTCTAATTACTGATTTCTTAAATCTTTGCTATGATGTTTGCCAGTACATGTTTTACTAGATATTTTCAAGATATAGTTTTCAGCTTAAAGTGACATTTAAAGGCTTAAGTAGGGTAATTAGCCAAATCATTGTAAAACGATGCTTGTTCTGTAGACAATCAAAAAAAATATTCCTTAAAAGAGCTAATAATAATGATCCTAAAATTGGTTTTAAATACTTAAAATTTGCTTTTGTTCTAGCCGAAATAAAATAAATAAGACTTTCTCCTGAAGAAAAAATATTACAGGAACCACTGTGAAAAATGCATTGCTCTGTTAAAAATGATTTGGGAAATATTTGAAAAACAAAAACAGAAATTCACAATAATAATTTAATAATTTTGACTTCAAATGTTTATGGATCAACATGACTGCAACATCATCTTGACTGCAACATCAAGCTCACCTGAGAATTATTTCGGTAGCTGAAAAATGCTATTTGCTTTTCTGTGGTGTTGTCAGATTGGATTAAAGGCTGGCACCATGTTGTTGAAGCAGTTATATCCGTGTGAACCGTCAGTCCTTCCCATGAAGTCTTTGCACAGGCAAAATATTGCCCATCAAAAAACAGCAGCATGATCCACAGAACGGCTGGAGTAAGACAAACTAAGGCGCAGTGCAAACAGCTCGAATAGCTGCTCATTTGTGAGCTCTGAATGTAAAATAAAAGAGCAAAGGAAAAAAAAGCAGGAACTACAAAATAGGCAGTCGAAAACAGAAGATTCAGCTTCGGATTGCAAGGGCAAGCAAAGTCTATTTCCACTAGTTGTTCAAGTCCTAGCATCACAAATCCGATAATAAAATTTGAATATAAAGGACTTTTCTTCACCTTGTTTTTCAAGCGTCCTATCCATTCCAGTTTACTCATTTTAAGCGTCAATTAGACTGTGGGAACTGTGTGATCTAAATTGCTCGCTGACTAGTCTCTGTGCTGAGAGTCTGAAAATGCATTTTCTATGCCCAATATAGTAATACAAACTTTCTGTGTGATACTGACATTTATTCTGTGGTTATATGACACACTTTTTGGATTAATGACAGTTTACATCTTTGTAAACTCTGTAGCTGATTTCTGAGTCATGGTCATCATTTCAATCATTCATTTTCCTTTGGCTTAGTCCATTATTTTTCACCAACTACGGCCAACTATTCCAGCGTGTTTTTATGCAGCGGATGCCCTTTCAGCCACAGCCCAGTACTGGGAAACACCCATACACTCTCCCACTCATACACTTCTGCTAATTAGGTTTATCCAATTCACCTATAGCACATTTCTTTAGACAGTGGGGAAAACTGGAGCACCCAGAGGAAACCCACACAAATACGAGGAGAAGATGCAAACTCCACACAGAAATGCCAACTGGCCCAGCTGGGACTGGACCCAGGGTAGGAATTACAGAGAGTAATCAATGACTGATCCCCCCGAAGGATGTCCAAACAAGGTTTATGGGGATCAGCCAATTAATAGCGAGAACTTTTCTCTGATCTTTATTTTTGAATAATGATATTAATAGTTGAGATAATAGATAATGTAAAAATACTTTTTTAGTATTAGGTAGTAGGTAGTAGCAGTAGGTAGTGCTGTCGCCTCACAGCAAGAAGGTCGCTGGGTCGCTGGTTCGAACCTCGGCTCAGTTGGTGTTTCTGTGTGGAGTTTGCATGTTCTTCCTGCCTTCGCGTGGGTTTCCTTTGGGTGCTCCGGTTTCCCCCACAGTCCAAAGACATGCGGTACAGGTGAATTGGGTAGGCTAAATTGTCCGTAGTGCATGAGTGTGTGTGTGTGGATGTTTCCCAGAGATAGGTTGCGGCCAGAAGGGCATCCGCTGCATAAAAACTTGCTGGATAAGTTGGCGGTTCATTCCGCTGTGGCGACCCCGGATTAATAAAGGGACTAAGCCGACAAGAAAATGAATGAATGAATGAGTTTCTGCGAGAAAAACACCATTCAACAGTCTGAAACTGGCAGATCAGAACACAGATAGATGTTTTAAGTACTCAAAAGACACTTTTCTTGTATAATGTGTGTTTGTTTCTACATTTAGCTTAAAAGTCAAAATAGATGCATAGTTTTTATAGTTTGACCTAAAGCAACATCTGAAATAGCTAATCAGAGGTTATTGTAGCTCAGAATACACTAAATATACCTCAAAATACTGAAAAACTGAAATTCATTAATAAAATGTATTTTAGTTTCCAGTGTTTTGCGGTATATTTAGTTGCATTTATTATTATTTATAATAATGTATTTATTTAAATAAAATACATATTTTAATTAAGTGAATCATGCACAAAATAACATTACAGAAAAATTGGACCTTCCCCATAGACAAGGTATAATTCGCTCTCTGACTGGAACCAGTGGCCTTCTTTCTGTGAGGCAACAGTACTAACCACTGAGACACCATGCCACCTGTTGCAAACAATATGCATGCAGTGTAGCAATATTAAACCATACTTTCTATGGACATACTGTGACTTTATTGGATGCATTGTACTCAACTGTATAGCACATTCACATCTTTCTGGCTTCTAAACCTTCTTAAAACAAGGAAGAGGACACCTCACCAAAGTGCCAAATGCCATTGAATGTGAGCCTTTGCTCACTCAAGATGTTTACAAATAATTGCAGCCAGGTTGAGACCCCGATGAGGACAACAAGCATGCAGATAAGTTTCCAAGAGACAATTCCTGACTGTTATGCAGAAATTTTTTGGTTTTACAAACCAATTGTTGAAGCAGCCCAGCAAGCATTTTTTGTTTTTAAAAGAGAATAGACGTCTAAACATAGTCGTCTTGTCTAAAACAAGGCTAAATTTAGGCTGTCAGTGAAAATCTAATACTGTAGATGTCTAAGAATAGGCCAAAACTAGACTAGTCATCAAATAAACATAAATGAATGACTACACATATAAAGTCTGTCTAATCTGTCTACCCCTGATGAATAAAGGGAATAAGCCAAAAAGAAAATGAATGAATAAATGATAGCATTCTACATGTAAGCAGAACTCTTCTTGTAGAAGTGCTGATACAGTTCATATACATTCCTGTGCATCACTTTTTTCAGAATACTGGACCGGTGTAATGAATGAAGGGGATACAAAATCATGTTTTATAATTAACAAACAACAGACTATTACCCTCTCCTATCCAGCAAATTAATGGCTATAGGGTGAAACACAACATCCAAACACGCTATTTACAAGCTAAACTAATGCATGCATTAACTTGGGAACAGATTAAAATCTTTTTGTAAAGCCCATCTAAGACCATGTACTTAAGGCTATGTACTTTTTACATTATCACTTGTGATTGAGAAAATCATGGATTCCATGTCTATGTGTAACCAAGTGTTTGCAACAAGTTTGTTGCTTGTGTATTTATATTCTATGTAGTAAAACTCTATGAATTTCTTTAACCCTTATGCTGTTAACCAAGATAGCAGAAAGGACGTGCTGTAAATTCAGTTTACTGAATGATCATTTATATGTTGATACTTCTGCATATAACACATATATCATAACACCTAATAACTTTAGCAATATAACGAAGACTAACTAAAATCCTCTTTAACTGTCTCTTTTTAAACATAGTACTGTTTATGTGTCTTTGTTTTTAAGTTTTAAAGTTTAGTTTAATTGTGCAATTCAGGCTTTTCCCGCTTTCCATTTGCAAGCAGAACAACATGACCTCTGGAGGACATTCAAAACTTCAGCATAGTTCAACCCACAGCCATTAAATTGAAATTGTGCAATCCTGCTCTTTCCCAAAACACTGCTTGGGCTTGTCATGTTTGCTATGATGACATCAGCAGTGAAGCAAGCTTTGGGTTAAAGGGAGGATCAGAAGGTCAGGAAAGTATAAAGCTTGCTCTAGCTACAAACTTTCAGACACAGTTTGCTGCAGTGATCATGATGTCCTTCAAGACTGCACTGGCTCTGCTTCTTCTAGCCATGTTCAGCATGGTTGCCGAATCATCATGGGGCAACGGTACAGCATCTACAAATCTTGTACATTTTTTCTTTGCTTAGTATTATTATTCTTTTTGCTGAATTAATTGTTTACACATTTACAGATGACATCAAACTGAAAAGAATAACATATGATATCTTATCAGTTGAAATTCAGTCCATAAATGTTGCCAACTTAGGGACCTATGATATTTATTAAGAACATTGTGCTAAAGTTTCATTAAAAAATCTAGCCATGTCACTTTTTGTTGTTGAGAAAATGCTACTGTGTGCTTAATCTAACTTTTTTGTTATTAGAATGGTTTTGGTTGCAGTTTTGTACTCTTGACACTAGACAATCTGAGAAATTTCAGAGCTGTTTGCGATAAAACATTAATCGTTAATTATTTAATCATTAATTTTATAATTGTATTGCACTGTTTTAAGTAAAAAAACTTTGTACCTAAAATGATTCATATGTATTCATATTTAGTGGAGCTTGCTACTTATTTTGTATTGTATTATCAAGCTACAATAGAGCTCAGCTCAAGCTACAGTTTCTGAGTAGCTTCCAGGACAGTGTAACCTACAACAATCCTCTGCACTGAATCTCTTTAGGGAAAGGAAATTCTTACAATTATGACCTTTCCAAAATGTCTGATCTGAGGAAACTATACAACTCCAAAGTTTTCAAGGCAGAGAGAATGACCAGGCCTCTGGAGGGCATGTCTTTCCAAGTCGGCGTACTCAGTCACTCCGGAGTTAGGCAAGTGATCAGTTTTGTAACTGTATTTTATGCGTGGTGAATAAAACATATTGAGTAGATTGAGAATGCCTTGATTGTCTTGCATGTTTTCTGTTGGTCCTGCTTTTAGAGTGACTATAGAAGACGGCACTATATGGCTGGTTCATAAAGGAGATGGCTATGGTATCTCATCACAGACCGTTGTGGTGGCTGCCCGTCATATGAGCAGTAACTGGAAGGCAAGTAATTCTGAAATCACTGCAATTGTAGAAAAGGAAATGTTTAATCTTTGTAGGCTATATGACTTGTTTTAAGGTCAGTGTTACATAGCCGAGGCCTATAAATTTGATTATTTAATAATCTCAGTTTGTTTGTTTGTTTGTTTGTTTTTGAGCAGATTGTCGAGACTAAAAATTTCGGTGGAAGCAAGACGGTATCTGATTTTGTGAAGGCTGGAGGAACAGACTACAAACTTTTGTTTGATAACTGCCATGATGCCGCAAACCGGATGATGGGTGGTTAAATATACTATAAAAAAACTACACTGAAGCCTAAATGGTTTTCTTGTGAAGAGAACATTACTTTTACAAAAAACATTTTGTTAATGTACCTTTTTATTGAATGTTTTTCAAATGTATGATTGTGTATAGATGTGTGTTGAATATTAGTATCTTTTGACGTTTTAAAAATGTCCGACTCAATAATAATGGACTTGATATTAAAACATACCTGCAGGTGGCGACAGAGGTTCATGTGTCCATTTGCTTATCCAGAAGGTAAACAGATTTTAGTGATTGATTGTTGTATGAATATTGCACATGTACACAATAAAATAAGCACCTAGTTATAAAAAGCAAAAGACACCTCGAGGCAATTGCTTTTACTACAGTTTTTTTTTTTTTTTTACCTCTATGTACATGCATGCCATGTTTGTTTTGAGTATGGTATAACAAGAAATGTCAGATTAATTATGGGTGTCAGTTGTAACAGTACAAACATCAACCTCTTTGGCAAATATATGAACTAACTTCCTCCACCCAACCAGTGCTTTCCATGAGAGTTTAAAACATATGCATCGCATGTTTGTTTTGATTAAGCACAGTTAAGTTTAGCTTTAGGTAACAGGGATGTAAAAATATAGCTCTGGTAACAAAATCTCATCAGACACTCACAAGCTTGAGTTTGCTGTGAGCATGACGCCCTATAAGACTGCACTGGTTTTGCTACTCCTGGCCATAAGGCTTAGTGTCTGAATACTCATGGGGCAAAGTAGCTACATTTACAAATCTATGTCCGATTCGTTTACAACTACATTGTTATCATCACCCAAGTCAATAAATACAATTAATCAACATGTTGTTTGATCTACGGTTTGTATTTCTGTCTCAAATGGCTAAAATTTAATGATACATATTGATGTAATAATCTGATTTCTGTCACTTTTTGACTTTAGAGAAGGGTTTTATATCCTACATACAAATCAGAAATATGGCAGTATATGCAAATTACATATATGAAATACAATTTCATATTTAGATTTCATGTCCCACGGCTTAGTCCATTACTTGGGGTTGCCACTGCGGAATAAACTGCCAACTATTCCGTAATGTTTTACACAGCAGTTGCCCTTCCAGCTGCATCCCAGTATTGGGAAATATTTGGATTTCACATTCATTCATTCATTCATTCATTCATTCATTCATTCATTCATTCATTTTCTATTGGCCTAGTCCATTTATTCATCAGGGGTCTCCACAACGGACTGAACTGCCATCTTATCCAACATATGTTCTACATAGCAAATGCTCTTCCAGCTGCAATCCAGCACTGGGAAACATCCATACACTCTCAATCACACACATACACTTTGGCCAATTTAATTTACTGAATTCTCCTATAGCGCATGTCTTTAAAGTGTGGGGGAAACCCATGTGAACACAAGGAGAACATGCAAACTCCACACAGAAATGTCAACTGACCTAGTTGGGACTCGAACCAGTAAGCTTCTTGCTGTTAGGTGATAGTGCTAACCACTGTGCCACCGTGTCACCCATGGATTTCACATTAATAATATAAATGTCATACACGGAACATATTTAAAAGTATATTTTAAAGTATTCTGAAGTTTGCATATTTCTACATACAACAACTATAAAACTGCACGCCAGATCTTTGAAAGGGATGCCCTTACACAATGGCAATTTACTAAGTTACCCCAGAGTCAGGTAAAATTTGTATAACGCCTAATTATGTAACTTTATCTTGAGTTGTGAACCACAGAGAACCAAATGCTCAAAACACCTACAGTACAGTACACTGTATGAATATCTTCTACTTGTTTTAAAAGTGATTCTAGAAAATGGCACAAAAAAAGGTTCATAAAGGAACTGACTGGTAAATCATTCCAAACTGTTGTTGTTGGTGGCTGTCATACGAAGTGTAAATTATGTTATTATTGATATCAGTAAATTAATAGCATTGGTCACTCAGAAATGAAAATATGCTTATTGGTTAACCCCTAAGTGATTTTAATCTAAATAACTAAACAGATATATGACATGCAAGGGAAAAATACTGTGTAAATCAACGACTATCGTATTAGCGTTCTTAAAAAGAAATCCCTTTTGTGTTCATCAGAAATCAAAAATTAGAAATAGGTTACCGGGCAATTTTTGGAACTAGTCCAGAAAATATTGTGCTGAAAGAAGAAATATGTAGAGTGATTGCTTTTAATACGCTACTGGCAAGGCGTTTAATGATTCTGTATTGAAAAAAAACTGAGATCCCAACACATAGTAGATGGATTAAAGACGTTATGTATTTTATTCAGCTTGAAAAAATCTAATTTACTCTCAGAGGTTCAAAAAATATTTTTTTTAAAACATGGTCTCCCTTTCTTACATACGTTGACAATTTAGAATTGTTAGAGCAGGAGGATATATAAAATCTCATATGATCCCAAAAGACACCCCCCGTCCTTTTTTTTAATTTATTTAAATTAATTTATTTTATTTTTATTTTTTATTCCTTTCATGTCCCTGTAACCGTGTAATGCCTTTCACAATGGCAGTGCTTGTAAGAAAAGTATACAGAACCTTTCTTTTATTACACACTGAACTGTTCACTTTTTATGTGTATCGTATATCTTTTTGCATTTTGTCATTACTGTATTGAAGTTGTGTATGCACTCTATATGTACACTTGCTGTGCATTTGTGTAACGCTCGAGGACTTTATGTTTGCACACTGTTAGCTATTTAAATCTTCTGTTAGAGCCACAAAAGGGAAAGTAGTGTTGGGTATATTTGTTTATATATTTTGTTTTGTTGTTGTTGACTGTTTGTCTTTTTCTGTTTTGTGCAAATGTATATGTACATATGTGTGTTTATATATATATATATATATATATATATATATATATATATATATATATATATATATATATATATATATATATATATATATATATATATATATATATAAACCTTATAAATAAAGTATTTAAAAAAAGACAAGAACAAGTGAGTAAAGTAAATGATGAAAGAATGTGCAGATTTGGAAAGAATTTCCAAATTTCTTTTTTGGAAAGAAGATGATCCATTATAATTTCAATGCAAAATGATTATATAGTCATTTTGGTATTTTGATAATATTTTTAAATGTATTTTTTGTTTTTACAGTTTAAGGAGCAAAAAGATTTTGAATATGGCTGGACAAGCAGAATACAGCAATGAGTTTAGGTGATTCTATGCTCTTCGATAGTCATAGTACCACAATATGCTGAAGACCAGACGTTGGACGTTTAAATTCACTGCAATGTAAATTTGCTGTACCTACGATATAAATGTTTTTCTTGAAAATATATTTGCTTCAGATTTTTAAATAGTTGATTACATTTTTTAAAATTTGTATTTTTTTAAATAAATACAATAGCATAGATAATGTAATACTTTTTTAAAGTTTTAAAATTAACAACAGCATCATTGTAAATAAAACTGCTGAGCTGCACATGGTGAAAGGTGTTCATTTGTCTCCCAAGTTATCAATAAATCTATACTAAAACTAATATTAATTAATTAATGCTAATCTATAATTTATACATGACTTGATATCATTAATGTTTAAACATAAATTGTCAGCTAATTCTATTTATTATGTGCTAGTTAAATAATTAAAATGAAAGACAAAGCAGAAACCAAGGTTCTTATATAGAGAACTGAACACTAAAATATACTTTTTTTCACTGTTTATGATTTAACACAACTGAATATTTTCCAAAAACAGAAATACACTTGACTTTTTTTGAGGTGAGCTTTTAAGTTTAGAATTTAACATTGACCACTTTCTTTGTATCTGTATAACTTGATAGCAGTTCGAAGATGTCGCACAGAAGATCTACTCCACTTCAACTTCAAGCGAAAGTAAGACTGCTACTGTCTCTTTTACAACAAAACAAAACAAACACAAAAGCGTCTGCTTATTGGTCACGTGTCGGTCTGCGGTGCGCGTGCCCTCGGGCATTTTGTACGTCGCGTGCGTGCGCGCACACGTTCAGTTTGGTTAAAACTAACTGAGCTGGAATGAACACAATACACTATAGGAATTAATTGCTATTCTCTCAATGAATTTGCAAAGGTAAATCTACATGTCACGCATACAGCGGAGGTCAGAAAGCAACTGTCATTCTTCGAGTCGTGTTAACAAAGACACTGTCCTGTCATTTTTTTTTTCATCTTTTTTTGCACATAGTTTTATCCCCTCGGAACGGTTTAGCTAGTCAGCTGGTACAGCATTAGCTGTTTGCTAGCTCTGCTGTGCTAACTGGACAATGAGAGGTTTGACCTAAAGTTTTGTCTTTTAAATATTGATATGTATCGTGTATGCTCACGGGTTTACTAGTGTTTTCAAGAAAACCTTGACAAATGTATTCAAGCTGGAAAATATTTACAAGAAGCTCGTTACTCTGTACCTAGCATTAGCGAGCTATGGTAATCCAGTAAAAAGAGCAAACTGCCCTCCTAATATTATCATTTGTTTTTTTCAGGATTAAATTTGCATCAGGTTTTTTTAGAGAGTTCGGTTTTATATATGTGGTTGCAGTAGTTTAAAATGGGGATTTATTTCGTGTGCCAAGCTGCCATAAGTGAAGTACAGTAGCTGGTTAGCTCAGTTAGCCACTGTCCAGCTTGAAAGCCTATGCATTCACAGTTCTTTTTGTTTTTTTGTTTTTATCTGTTGTTTGCATGCAATTGTTATGCTTCGTAACACATTAAAGTGTTAAGACTTTTGTGAAATATTGTAATTTCCCTAATAAGGAAACATGCTAGACTAGTGTACTATTCAAAGGCCTGGATTAGGTACATTTTGCAAGCTTGACAAATAGCTGAGCTCTGGAAACTGTGCATGCTTATTCGTAGATTTGCAAATACAATACTACACTTACAAATGAGTCAAAGATTTGTCTGTTTTTAATATAAAGTGGGTGATGTTAATGTCAAGCATTTGACCTTACAGTGTGGTTTAGCTGATTTATATGTATAGACTCATAGGTCTTCTCTTTGCATTTATAGGTTTGTCCACAGGACGAGAGAGCGTTTGAGTCTCGAGAAAGACCTGGTTAGAGAATACTCAAAATGAGCAAAAAAACTCCAAATCGACCAGGGATCACGTTTGAGGTTGGTGCCAGGGTCGAGGCCCAGGATTATCTACAAAAATGGTATGAATACATTTTGAAGATTAATTTTTAAAACTCGACAACCCATGCCAATTGATTATAAATGAGGAAATAGATAAAAAAGTGATCCATATAAGTGGAAAAATGTGAGTGTATGGTATATGATGATAAAAACACAATGTTGCTTAATTGTAGCTAAATATTTACTTAATAGGTCATTTTTTATTTGATAAAATGAATAATTGTTTGAAGTATAATATTGTCTTGCAATATGAACTGGTTCCCTATATGTAAAAACATACAAATGCCTTTTAATATTTAGAATGTGAATGAAAATCAGGTTCCTGTGACAAGATCATTTAATCTTGGGTTCTGTGGCATTTAAAAGATTGAGCACTTCTTCATTTAGCTGTTTTTAAACATTCATGTAAATTTAATTTTTTGTTATATTCAATGCAAATAGAGTAACTTTAGTCTGTTTGTGGACACTTTTAGTTCCTGAATGCATTGTAACTAAAGTCTAATTGTGATCCTTGCTTTTTTTTTTTCTTGCCGATTTTCAATTGTTGTCTGCAGGTACCCTTCACGCATTGAGAAGATTGATTATGATGAAGGAAAGATGCTTGTGCATTTTGACCGTTGGAGCCATAGGTATGATGAATGGATTCTGTGGGACAGCAACAGACTTCGACCCTTAGAGAGACCGGCACTCCGCAAAGAGGGTCTCAAAGAAGAGGAGGTGTCTGTATGTTTGCAGTACTTCCTACTTTTTTTTTTTTTTGTAAAGATATACATGTATGGTCTAAAATGTGTAGGATGATTTGCCAAGCATGAGAACTGCAGGGACTCCATAGCTCAAAAATTCCCAGCCACTCAAATGAAATAAAATAAAATCTCATTTGTTAATGAGACGATTGATTGATTAATTCTTGTCTTACAAACATTTCTGCCAGGAGAGACTCAGCGAGATGAGAGCATCTCGCCTTCGTGAGCTTCCTGGAAGTACAGAGAGCACAGAAGACCAAAAAGACTTACCCCAGCAGAGACAAGTACATACCTCAATTGACCATCTACCTCAATCTGGCTCTCTCAACTGCTTGTCCCATTCTTGTTTGGGTTTCCTCCATCTGCATAGCCAAAACCTTGTAATGTTTTGTTGGGCCAAAAGCAATCATCCATTTAAAAAAGATCAATAATAATATACAAAATACACAGGTCTTTCATTAAACTTACAGTACTTTTCAAAGGTCTGGGATCAGTAAGATTTTGAAATTATACCAAAGTAACCAAGGAATATATTAGTTTAAATATATGGCTTAATAATATATATTAGATTGTTTGTTAAATAGAAAGTTTACAAAGGAAAAGTGTTCACTTGAAATAGAAAAATCTTAATGACCCCAGGCTTATGAATGGTAGACTATTTTGAGAATGCTTCACTCTCTGATGTTTGTACAAAAAAGCAACAAACATAGTTAACAGTTAATAAATAATTTTGTGGTTTTCTTGAATTGGGTTTTTGCAAGTGTCTGTGTGGTTTTTAATAAACTTGGCAGGTGCTATATGAAATAATCAAGTTTTTGGTGTTCATCACAGTTGGTTCTGCTCTAACCATTCACTTTTACGATCACAGCACATCCCATATCGTCAATGCAGGCTTGCTTATTTTGGTTGTGTTGACTGTAATTAATGGCACGTCTGTTTTGGTTTTTGTTTTACCTTCAGGAATTGAGAGACGGGGAGGAAGTGCTTGCACGATGGACAGATTGCCGCTACTACCCTGCAAAGATAGAAAGTATCAACAAGGAAGGTAAGATCACCTTGTTTGCGCTTCTGAGCAGAATTGTTTTTCCAGTATGCATATGCAAGAAGCATCTCATGGATGCAGTGGCGACAGGCAAAAATGAATGAAAAATGAAATGAAAATAGACAAAACGAATTTGTAATTCAAATGCAATGGTTACGTTTCTGCAAGCCAGAGTTGAAAAAGATGATTCAGACTTTGTCTAACTACTGTGTTATGATGTCCTTGGGCTTATGAATTTATATCTCTCAGTTGAGACTAGGGATGCTCATTTCGGTTAATTTTGCTAACCGACAACCGCCGCTCAATTATCGGTTATTAACGGTTAACTGGTCAGATTACTATTAATTTTATATTAAACAAATTGACGTGTCTATTTTGTGTCTGACACATTAAATATTGCATTTTAAAATACTGATTTATTTTATATGCTAGCATATTAATAATAGAACAATACAACAGAGCATTTTCACGCACCTGCAGTGTTTAGCACAGAAGAACAGAATAAACTAAATAAAATGAATAAAATAAATAGGACTGCCCTAAATTATTTTCACTTCAATAATTAATTTATTTTACAAAATGAAAATACTGACTGATTCTTTTTAATAACCGGCATAAGCTGTTTTTTTTCCAATCATATTTTTGTCTTTCGTCAAATAAAAATAGCTGACTAATCCGCTATTAAAAACAACAACAATAACTGAATGTTTTGAATGGGTAATGTAGCACGTGTCGGGATGAATTTTGGTCCTCGCCATGGAAGAATGAATGTAGCGGAAACCAAGCTCTTTAAAAGTTCTCTGTAGTTGTCTTGACAACACAAACTGCTGCTCTGGGATGAGCCGCGTGCAAAAGATGCCCCTCTTAACGCAAAGGCGCATTCAATCTGCCCCTTATGCAGTCAAACTAAAAATATATAAAATAATAATTTTAATCGTTTAACTGATAGCATTAATCGGTTACAAACGCACCCTTTCGGTTAACGGTTAATCGATTATTTTGAGCATCCCTAGTTGTGACTTTTTTTTTTTTGCTGAAATTGCAAGAAAATTCTGGCTCAATTAGGTTAAGTTTGAGTATAGAAATAATTTTCAAATGCATAAGAAAATGTTAACTTAAACCAAGGTGTTTATACATGTGAAAACATAAATATAGCAGAGTTTTCTTGTTGACATAATGTTTATTTAATATTTTGAATCATAACTTTCAATAATGCATTTGTAACTGATTTGCTGATTTTTTAATATTTATTGTTTTAGGAACTTACACTGTACAATTTTATGATGGTGTCATTCGCTGTGTGAAAAGAATCCATATCAAGTCCATGCCAGAAGATGCAAAAGGACAAGTAAGTTTATAAGTGACTTCACAATTTCCTTTAAGTTTATTTTGCTTTATGGCATTTACAACATCGTCAATAGCTTAAATGCTATTGTTTTAAATAGCATGTTATGTGCCCTTGTCAATGTCAGATGTGACTTATAGTGTATTGGTTTGTGTTCAAGCAGGACTGGATCGCACTGGTGAAAGCTGCCTCTGCTGCGGCCAAGAATAAAGGAGGAAACAGACCACGTACCAGCGCCAACAGCAACAAGGACAGAGAGGATAGGAGAGAACAGCGGTCAGATGAAGAGGAGGATGATGATGATGCTGACGAGGATGATGATGATGATGATGATGATGATGGGGAGGAGGAGGAGGAGGAGGAGGACAGTGAATCGGAGAAACTTGGTGTGTGATTTACTATGCCTTTTTAAGCCTTATGAAATGTATTTTGTAGACAAGTTCTTGCTGATTCGTGCTGATCTGTTAAGTTACATATCTTTTATAGATATTGTTCATGTAATTGGAACTCATCTTAGGAGGTCTTTTTTTGTGGCCACATTAACAATGTGTATGTTTCTATATCAGCAGATCTGGACTCAGAAGAAGAGGACAGTAAGCCACCTGCTGAGGAACTTGAATCGGCTATAGCAAAGAGGAGGAGCAAAAGACAAGGCAACCAGTGCAGCATTAAAAGGAGTCGCCTTGGCAAAGGAGCAGGTAAACATTTGCAGAGAACTACCCAAAACAAGGCTTAGTTTCTAGGGCCGCATTTACACTGCATGGTTCAAGTGACTCAATTCCATTTTTTTTCCCCATGTGGCACAGATCGGATGTGGCCCATATTCATGTAAGCAGGAAATATCACATGGATTCAGATTTACTCAAATCAGATTCAGTCCTTGTTCATATGTGGAAATTTATCCAATATGAAACGTATCTGTTCTCTCGTGTCTGCAATATAAACAGGTAGATTGGATTTTCTCCTGTCAATGTGAGTCACGCATCATTAAACACCATAACAAATGACGTAGTCTCGCTTTCATTTCAGAACAGACTTTAGCAGAGTCCCAAACCTTAAATCTCATACACAAGGACTAAATCCGCTTTTATATTGTCATATAGCACACGTATTTAAGCATGTTAATGAGAGAGAGAGAGTGCCAGAGCGTAACATCCGCCACGTAACCAATATAAACTAATATAAAGCTGTGGCATACGTCACGTGCATAAATCACGCCATGGACATTACATTAAGATGCATACTAGTTTAAAAAATCCTAGATTAAAATAAGATGGCCAAATAAGAACATTTCTATCATAAACTATAGTAAAACAATAAAAAGTCAAAAAATTAAACCCCGTGATCAGATTAAATACAGGAATAGAGGAAAGAGCGCTCTTTTGTTATCAGCTGTTAGTCAGCGTTTTTTTCCTAGTCATTGCATTTTTGCCGTGTGCTTTGTAAATGCAGACAATCGGACACGAGTCACTTTAAAAAGAATATGTAAGCAGTTCAGCAAAAAAATTGGATACAGTCACAAAATCAGAATTGATCATCAAGATCTGCAGTGTAAATGCAGCCTAGAGGTCAAGACAAGCAGTTGCTGAAACATCTGTACATTCAGTTAAGCTTATAGAACATTTTTAAGTAGTGGTTGTCAATTAGGGTGAGCAGTTTTGAAAACATAAAGATGTTTTTAAAACTGTCAAGTTATTCAATAAACTCTTCTTGAAAATGTATGTATGTTACTAATTTCTTTTGAATGCCATCTATATAATTTTTCAAGTCATGCCTAGTTTTTAAATATTTAACCTGGAATCATTTGTGGAATTTAAGCAAAATTCATGTCAATGATGATACTATTGGCTTTTGAAGCTGTTAAGTCAAATAACCACAATGGTTCCTCTTATTTTTAACACTCTTTATTCAATTCAACTCCTATCTATACCAGCAGTAACAGACAGTGATCTTTATATACCCCGAAAAGGCTGCGCTAGCACATACACACACACACACACACACACACACACACACACACACACACACACACATATGCCCCATTCACACAAGGCTTCAGCGTCAACGCTTGATTGAAGGCGTGTCTGAAGTTGGGGCTGAAGCGATCGTTATAGAAGCGTCAGCCAATGGAATTCATTCAGGCATAGGTCACTGTCTAGCTGGTGTAATTGCATACAGCGATCTGATTGGCTGGCGCTTCCGTTGGCGGTTGAAAAATTGAATTAGTCCTAACTTCTGCAGCGAGCAACGCCTCTAAAGCGCTGCCGACAGATCTACAATGCACTTCAGCAACACCTGACGTCACCCATTCAAAGTGAATGGGAAGCGTTGAAGCTGACGCCCCGTGTGAATGAGGCGTTACTCATGCACAGCTCATTAAAAATAACTTAACAGAAGCTTTAAGCCAATTATGAAAGCTGTCCTGTAAGAATGCAATAGTTACCCTAAAAGTTAAAGTTTTAGCAAATTAATATCAGTAGTATTTAATAAAGACAAACAATTAAAACATCAACATCTAACAGAATTCCTTAAAGAGTGCGAACATTTAACTTTATAGTAATAAACAAAGCCTTATTTCATATTAGAGACCAATATGATTGTTATTGTAATAATTTCAACATGTCAATATTGCAACAGAAATCAAAGTGTTAAACATTTACTTTTGGAATTCCCTGTTTTTAATATTATTAGACAATTCTTTTTATCAGGAGAGAACGTATAAGAAATATTTTTAAATACAAATTCTTTTTTTAAATATAAATTTTTTTTAAAAGATTCATATCAAAAGTAAATATTATTAAAAGTTTTTAGATTTGTTTAACTTATTGCTGTTAATGTCCTTTTTATTGTTATTTTTTATTATTATTATAAACAATTTTTATTTATAAAATGTTGTAAATTCGATTTGTTTTTTCCATGAAATACTTAGAAAAGCTGATATGGCAATACATATAAAACTTTCTCTCATTGTAATAATTTCTGGTGTTGTCCTTAATTCTTCAACATTAAATCATGAAAAAAAAAGTTCTGTGCTTTATTTCTCATCCAGGGTGTGCTGACACTGAGACTGAATTGAAAGCAGAGACTAAAGAGCTTCCAGTGACACCACAGCAGGTATAGAAGAAACTGGCTTACTATTATCAGTGTAATGAACACTTTAGTACACACTAATGAACACTTTTGTACACACTCTGTGTCATGTTTACTTCTCTGTCCCTTAGAAAGTACCAAGTCCAGAGCCTAGTCCAGCTGATGAGAAGTCCCAGTCGGTCAGTGCCCAAAAGACAACCCCATCCCTCTCTAACCCACCTGCATGCAAAGCTCGTTCAAGAAGACTGAAACATGACTCTGGAGAGTCCGCATCCAGCTGTCAGAACACACCTGCAGCCCCCGAATCTAGTCCTTTACCCAGCCCAACACAAACCCTTCCAGACAGCACACACACTGGTGGGTCAGCCAGAGGAGTTGTTTTATAAATTGTCCACTATCAGCAGTTACTGTGTATTATACTTGACGCTTTCAGTGATATTCAATGATGTTTCTGCACAGCCCCTTCCAGCTCCCCCCAAAGAAGGAGACGATCTCAACGTCTAGCAACAACCTCTGACCTGATCTGTCCGCCGTCACCACACACAAGGGATACAGCTACTCATCCTACACCACCACCAGATGGACCTCTGATAGCTGGTGAGAGACACTTGCATAGATACATAAATAGCAATTTTAAAACTAACTACTGTTCAAAACATTGAAAAAAAAGCCTAGATTAGGATTATAGAATTAAGATGTTCACATTTGAAGTTAATCTATTTTAAAATATATAAAAAATAACAATAATTTAATCATTCATCTGTTTTTTTTTTTTATACCAATAAGGTAAATCAGCATCATATCAGCCATCTCTGCTGCCTAAGTTATTATAAAGAATCAGTATTTGTCGATCATTAATTATGTGAAAAATGTTTTCTATCTAGTTTAAATGATAGTTTTCAGAGCAGTGACACATTTCTTTAAAAATATTTTGTGGAAGACACTAGGACTTTATAGGTTGACAGTTAAAACAACTGCTTTTTATTTAAACCTTTTCTAACATGATTAAAATCTTTGCTATCACTTTTACAGCTTAAGTTTTCCCCACAAAGCATTGAAAAGTAGTGTGCATACTATGCATGTGTTTTTTCAGTAGTTCCACCTTAGAATCTTCTGTTTAAATTATGCATGTTAAAATGTTTTCCAGATGAAGACAGCAGCACTGTGGTTAAAACAGAAGCTATTTCACAAAAGCCAGTTTCAGAAAGCCCATCCACAGCTACTTCCACTGCCAGTGCTCAGGCACCAATCACTGAGAAGGAGAAAATGAATGATGTTTTGCCCAGTAATCAAGCAGCACTTGAAGGGAACTCACCTGCTGTAGTCCCAGGTAGTTTTCAATCATTTTACTGTATGTGTTTCTCTATAAACCTTTTGAAAGGCAATTTGTGTTTAGTTTCTATAGTGAACAGCACACACCAAGGCATGCAGAATATCAACAGTAGATTTGACTTGTTGTCATAGCAATGATGTAGGCTTTGTCAAATGTTAATACAAACTTTTTTCTGTCTTTTACTTTTTTGTTTAGCTGCAATTCAGAAAGTTCCTTCTAGAACACCTAAAGCCAACAAACATGCCAGAGAACCAAGTAGGAACCATGACCAGCATTCACATACTGCAATTAAAAAATGACATTTATAACAATACATTAATAAATTATTTATTATTATTATTATTATTGTTAATATTATTACATGTCTCATTAATATTATCTTTCTTCTTTCTCCCCAGTCATAAACACCAAGAGGTCTGATGACCCCTTAGCTCCCAACGAGTGTATAATAGATCTGGACCATAATAAATTTAAGTGTAAAGTCTCTGGCTGCTCGAAAGCGTTCCGGAAAGCTAAGCTGTTGGACTATCACCTGAAGTACTATCACAACACTGAGAAAGAAATGGACACCGAGGTCTGCTCCCCAGAGAGGGAGGGCCGCACCAGGGCCACGTCTGCTTCCATGCCTACAAGCACATTATCAGATGTCCCCGATAACAAGAGGCGCAGGACCGTCTCTACTTCTTCCTGTAGGTGGCCTTTTCATATTTGTTATTGGAATTTCAACCACGTTTTTATGGAATAAAAACACTAATATACATTTTTGTGCATAAGTCAAAACCATGCATGTGTAGTTCCAAAAATGTAAAAGAAAACGTAACATAATCGCTGAATTTTATTAGGGTTTAATTCCAAAATCTGCATTTAAAACTGACATAGTTGCAAAATTCTCTGTGTCTGCTTATGTAAGACTGTAAAATGTACGGTTGGTCTTAGGGCTGCACAATATATATTGTTTCAGCATCAGTAGGCCAAAGTGTCTATTCGCAATAGTCACATCGCAGGATCTGCAATGTTAAGCTAGGATTACAGTTTATCAGCAATGTAGACTGTACAGTGTTATTTCACATTAAATTTGATTATTTAATTATTGTACCCGAGCATCTTTCTACTGTTTGACTCTCCAGAGCACCACCGCTGCTTATTACACTTGTATCTTTGTTTTTGTTCATCAAACCCTATTTATGCTTGCAGTTTGTTTTAATTCACTCTGCTACAAAAATATCCCAACCCAAATGAATGATGTCATTCAAAATAGAGCTATTCAAGCCATCTGCTGAAATTGTATTCATATCGCAATATGAATCACAGAAAAGTCTTATATTGCAATGTCAGAGTTTTCCAATATTGTGCAGCCCTAAAGCCTCCTTTCCACTGCACACGACAAACGACAAGCAACAGACCGGAAGTCATTCATTTCCAATGGAGAGCAGTCCGGGAGCTGCATTGAGTTCCGACCATCTCTGTATGCGGAAAATTCGGATCCGAATTGAGCAGCGGATCTGTTTAAATATTTGAACTCCTGCGACTAGACCGTATGCGACCTGCCGACCGAATATGATGTATTACAGTGTTGTCCAAGCAGGTCGTGCGCGCAAGATGAGAAATGGGAGTTATAAAAAGTCTATATTAAAAAAAACTTTTCTGTTCATAAATGTATGTAAGAAAGTAATGAAAATATATATTTTAAATGTTGTCTCCACATTCCCTCCAATATTTTAGTGGTCTATGAGTTTCTTGTATTCATTCATTCATTAAACCATGTAAAAGCACAGAGAATAAAGGTTCTTGCTTTTGCACTCCTTTATTTCGGACACTGTGAACCCCTATGGTGCACGACAACACTGAAAATACTGTGCACCTGCCACAAGGGGGTGTATTCCGACAGTCGTGTCCAAATGTTGTGTGCAGTGGAAAGGTGGCTTTAGTTTCAACACTGCTGAGCTACAAACATAAAGTCTTAACTAGGAGTATGAATCTATTAAACCTACCACCTATCTACCATGGCTTGTTATTATATATTCTTACAATGTGATGTCTGGCATGTGTATTTAAAAATGGAGCTTCCTTTCTTTTCATCTCCTGGCTTGTGCATGAGCCAGTGACCTATCTCTGTAAATCAATAGCGTTCAGTTTTGTGTCTTGCTTTACCTTTTGGTACCCTTTTGTTGTGCTAGATATCCTTTTGAAAGGGTGCCTAAAAAGTGGTACTATATGGGTTGCTTTTTCGTACCTTTTAGCAGTGGAAACGCCCATAAAGGCGTACCAAACCGTACCGTACCACTCAGTGGAAACGGGCCATAATAGTTCTTTACAATGTAAAAATAGCTGTCAGATGAGACAGAGCCTTATTAAGTGCCCAAAACAAAATATTTATGACAGTACTTGTATTCCATACATGTAAAACACAGTTCAAGAATTGAACCTTAATAAACATTCTCTTCTGTTTTGTGTCTCAGCTCTGTCCTCTCAGGGCTTCATGCTTCAAATGGACAGTGGTGGCTGTGTGCGGCCTTCTAAGTTTTGTAAAAAGAAACGCTCGTCTGCCTCTATGAGTTCAGACAGTACAGAGGTCTCCCTTCCACCTCCCACCTTTGATAACCTCCACGACAAGATTATCAAGAAGGACAAGCACTTGGATGGTGAGCTGAGTGTGTAGGTTTTAAAGGATCATGAGTTGCTAAGATGTATTTTCATAATATTATCATTAAAGAGAATGAAGTACTACTAATTGTAATTTTATGTAATTTAATGTAACTTATTGTTTTTTTTCTTCAGTGTTTTAAAGAAATATTAATTGAGTATTTTTTTTCACATGATATAATGTGACAATCACCAGTAATCAGTGCAGAGTAAAATTATTAAATAAACACAGTAAATATAGTGTTTACAGGTGACAGGCTATATGTGTACTTGTAAACGTTTGTGAGCTTATGTAAAAAATATGTATGTTTTACTTATTTTTTGCATGTGTGTAATAGTGAAGTGCAGTGTACATTTGTGGAGCTTTTCTTTCAAGATGATTGCATTTGTCATTAAATTAATAATTTTATGTTTCTTGTTTTGTCTTTAGGTCTTTGTATAAAAACAGAGCGTAAATTTAAACTGGATGATAAATGTCAACTGTTTGGTGGGTTTACCTTACTTTTTATTATCATTTTCATATTCTTACACCATGTCATTACTATATGTGATGTGATGTGATAAAAGCTGGTTAAAATGAGTTTATATAGTAACCATCACTGATATAAGAAGTTTTTATTTTAGAAACTATTCTATTTGTATTTCTGCAATGTTGCGGCTGTAAAACAGCCTCTGTAAAACTTTAAACCTCAGTTTTAGTATCATTTTACATGATATTTATAGCCATACTGAATTCAGCAGCAGATAGTTTACCTCCAGATCTAAAATGAATAAAATAATTAGCAAATATATAGTTTAAATATGAATGTCAGAATGGGAAATAATGATTTTAAAGACATTTTTAATAATGTTAATTGTATACTTGAGAGTGCAGTCCTATTTTGTATGTAGAATGTATGTGGTATTTAAATGTTAAAGTTAGTCATGTTGCATCTGGTGTGAACAGCCAAGCTGCTTAAACCATGTTAAACAGGAACCTGCAATTCTTTTTCTGCCATAGTCAAAAAGAGGGATAAAGACCGGAGAGACAGAAAAGAAAAGGACCTTTTCCGAATTAAACAGAAGAAAAAGAAAAAAAAGAAGAAGAAATCAAAACTGCATTGTAAGTGAAATTGTAATTGAGTTTGCCTTCATTGCAGAATTTTAAAGGGCCATGAAACCCTCCTCTTTCGGTTCGAGTCTTCCCCAGATTTTTTTCAAAAAATGCTCCAGGATAGGTGTGGAGCGCTGCAAGCAGATTTAGGAATGTGCATGGCCGGCAGATCAAGGGGAAAAAGAGGGGAGCGAACAACTCAGTTGGCTCACAATATGAGACAAACCGTGAAGAGACCCATAACTTTATAGTTTACAAAGTTAAAATGTAAAGAAATATATTTGTTATTTGTAATTTGATATACACATAACCACAATTTGTTATATAATTAAAAAGCTAATAATGTTTATATAAACCCTGTACATGAGGAGGACTTCTTACCTCTGAATCCCGGGTCTAAATGTAGACACAGTGATAATAGTGCAGCAGGTCTCTTTCCCTGTCTATTTCAACTATTCGTCCTGCCGGTAATCTGGAGGATTTTAAACATAGGCGAACACAGCAGCACGGATAGGCGATGCCTTTTAACGAACTCAACTGATAAAAGGCAAAGTCCGCCATTCTGTGATTTTCCTACAGCTCTCATGGCAAAAATGCTTTGTTGTACCGGACCTGACAGCATCAGGGCGAAAAACGTGCAACAAATACTGTGGATCATGGAAAGAAACACACAAACCTTCCTGAAGGGCTAAATAATGCGTGCCGTGCAAAAACTCAGTCTTACCTAGTCATTGGGTCTCACAGCTTGGCAAGTCTGCCTTGCCTTCAGAAAGCATGTGCTCTCATGAATAATTAAGAAGCAGGGTCTTCTCATAGGATAAGAAAAGTCTGCTATGAATAATAATGAGAAACCAACGTGCCATCACTCCTCTAGCAGATGCATGCTACGTCAAAGATTTTGATCCCGCTCAAAAATGTTTTTGTACCCGAAGATGAAAGTTGACAAAAGCTCAAAATTATCCAGTTTTCCCCACAATTAAAACTGACAGGTGCCAATGTTTCATAATTGATGCTCAACACGCACAAATCTGTTAAAGTTTCTTGATTCTTAAACCTTTTAGTGTTACAAATATTTCAGTTTGTTCTCACCTTTGTGCTAAGGTTACCCAGACCTGGATGAGATGTCGTTGGCTTACTTGGAGAGACCGTCTTCCCCACCGCATCGTTCTTCCTCTAGTGCCTTCAAGCACAGCACCTTCCAATACCCTCGTGCCATACTATCTGTCGACCTCACCGGGGAGAGTGAGTTCTGTCATGTGGAGTTATTTGTGGCTATAAAATTTGACTTGCTTGTTATAATAGATAGTAGTCAACATGAATACGATATTGGTAATGTTGAGCCTCTTATTTTCTTTTCCTATCGCAGACCTTTCAGACATCGACTTCCTGGAAGACTCGACCACTGAGAGCTTACTGTTCAGTGGAGATGAGTATAACCAGGATCTAGACTCAATCACTATGGAGGACTTTCAGGATGAGGATGATGATGGTGCTGATGAAATTGTTCGCTGCATATGCGAGATGGATGAAGAAAATGGCTTCATGATTCAGGTAGGATCATGGCATCAAATCTTAAAGGGATAGTTCACCCAAAAATTGAAATTTCTTTAGCTTTTACCCAAATTTAAGTGCTTCTAAACTTGATAGATTTCTTTTTTCTGTTTAATATTACAATTATTATTATTGTACAAGATATTCGGAAGAATGCTTTAAGTTGTATTTAGTTGACATCCATAATAGAAAGAAAATAATACTGTAGAAGTTAATGGCTTTTTTACAACAGTTTCAGTATGTCTTCCGTTGTATTCAACAGAATGAAGAAGTGAGGGATTAGCATGATGACAATTAAAAATAATGGGTTAACTGTCACTTTAAATGTGTTGAAATAGTGCCTGAAAATGTGTATTTGTCTTTTTGCGTATCACTTTACAGTGTGAAGAATGTATGTGCTGGCAGCACAGTGTATGTATGGGGCTTTTGGAGGACAGCATCCCTGAACAGTACATCTGTTACATCTGTAGAGACCCTCCAGGTAACAATCATGCAACAGTTGAAAATTGTTAGCAGGATCTTTAACTGTATCCTGCTATTACAAATGTCTGTTTTTATTCCTTAAATGAATAAAATTAATTCTAAATATTAAACTGAAATGTCTCCAGATTTGTTACTAAAATATGCTCTTTTCTCAGGTCAGAGGTGGAGCGCAAAGTACCGCCATGATAAAGACTGGCTTCAAAAAGGCCACATGTACGGCCTGTCTTTCCTCGCCGAGAACTACTCGCATCAGAATGCCAAGAAAATCGTGTCCACTCACCAGCTGCTGGCTGATGTTTACAGTGTTAAAAACCTGCTCCATGGCCTTCAGCTAAAGATGGATATTTTACAGTAAGAGCAATTACCAGAAGCCTGCTTAATCCTTTAAATTAGATGTTAACTAATTAACTGTCACTAGATATTTTATGTATAGAATTTGTAGCGCACAGTTGTTACGCTTGAAAAACCTAAGAATTTTAAAGCGTTTTAAAGGGCTTCTTTTATGCTCTTGTTGTCATAAAAATAAGTCTGTGACATTTTAATTGGAAAATTGATCAGTTGTTATATCATGCTTTCCCAACTTTTTGGTTGGAAGCACACACACCGTTTTCGTGGACTAGACACAGCACTACAGTTAAGGTGTTTGAGTTTAGAAGCAGTGCTCATAGATACATACGATATTGGTGATGTTACGATATCAGTGATACAGAGAACAACTTCCATCAGAATGGTTTTCTTTCTTTTTTCCACCATTATGCACTAAAGGAAACAGCAAACAAGCGTAATAGGCCCCATATTAACTGGTCTTTGAATATTTTTCTGTTATAGAAGAAAAACAGGAACTATAATATGCTTTTCACATTTTCTAAGGAACAAGCATAACCCAAGTTTACACTTGTGGGCTCGGTCTTGGGTAAACTCTGATGAGGACCAGCCTATGGGTGGAGTTCCAGACGGTCTACATTTCAAAGAGCACCTTAATCAGAATTCAAACCCTGAAACCTACATTACTAGTGAGCACAGCTACCAAAAACCACCTGGGACTGGTGCCGAGCACACAAGAGATGAGCAGGGGATGCAAATGGGCTCTCAGTTTAACATAAAGGAAGAAGAGGTATCCAAAGGACAGTTAAAACTCATATCTGTTCAGTGTCAGTATGTGGAAGAGAATGTTTAAAGATAATTGCTGTGTGTTATGTTTGTGTAGGTCAGCAGTGCCATTGCTCTGTCTGGATGTGTTAATGACAGCAGTGTGGAGCAGACCAGGAACTGCCTGCAGTGGCAGATGAACCTGCTCACACACATAGAGGACATTCAGAACCAGTTGTCGGGCCGCATGGACCTCATTGAGAAAGAGCTTGATGGTAAGCAGCCAAAACATGGAATTTGGCGCTGAATTACACATTTAAAATAACACCATCACCCCCTAATCTACCAAAGCATTTTGAGTGCTGGTATGGAGTGGTTCTTAAATAGTAGCATCTTAAATAGCCACACTGCTGGGCATGAAGAAAGAAAGGCTTGCGTTAGGTGCTGAGGGCAGGGCTACTGTGACAAACAAGATAAATAAAAACTCTTTTGAGCTGCATTTTTTAAAATAGCAATGAACACAATGGTGAACCAGTTATTACAACTTGAAATCTCAGCAGCATCTTGCAAACCACGGCATACTGCTCACACATTGGATTCAATGTATTTGGATGCCTATGTAGCTAAGCCAATAACATTATTCTAAGAGCAAAGCAACATTGATTGTATTTGTGTTTGTTTGTATTTGCATTGCTGGGAAAGATGGGATGTATTCAGAGAGCAGGGTTCCCACTCTCCTTGAAAGTACTTCAGTTTCAGACATATGGATTTGAGGCCTTGAAAGTACTTAAAAACAAACTTGGGTAGTTTAAAATGCTTGAATTAAACTTAAAAGAAAAATAGTTTGTGTTAGTTCAACAATTTTACTATGCTTCTCTAAAAAAAAATATTGATGCTGGGTGTCACAGTGGCACAATGGGTAGCATGATCGCCTCATAGCAAGAAGGTTGCTGGTTTGAGCCTCGGCTGGGCCAGTGGGGATTTCTGTGTGGAGTTTGCATGTCCTCCTTGTGTTGGTGTGGGTTTAATGCAGGTGCTCCAGTTTCCCCCACAGTCCAAATATGTGGTATAGGTGAATTAAACAAGCTAAATTGGCCGTAGTGTATTTGTATGAATGCAGGAGTGTATGGGTGTTTCCCAGTTTTGGGTTGCGGCTGGAACGGTATTTGCTGCGTAAAAACATATGCTGGATAAGTTGGTGGTTCATTCTGCTGTGGCGACCCCTGATTAATAAAAGGACTAATCCGAAAAGAAAATAAATGAATGAACAAGAACTTTGAAATATAAAGCACATTTTATCAATATTTCAGATTAATAATATTACCAGTATTGCATTCAACAATTTATTAAATTCAGAGCTTAAAGAGTTCCGGCACTGAGCCTGCGCGTGCGGTTTAATTAGGGATGCTCAAAATAATCGATTAACAAAAGTATTGTCTTGTAGACCTCCGAGACAGGATTGTCTCGAGGCACAAGGCTGGGGAAATTACAAAAAAAATTCTGCTGCTCTGAAAGTTCCAATGAGCACAGTGGCCTCCATCATCCGCAAGTGAAAGATGTTTAGAACCACCAGGACTCTTCCAAGAGCTGCACGGCCATCTGAGCTGAGTGATCAGGGGAAAAGGGCCTTAGTCAGGGAGGTAATCAATAACCATATGGTCACTCTGTCTGAGCTCCAGCATTCTTTTGTGGAGAGAGGAAAACCTTACAAAAGGACAACCATCTCTGCAGCAATCCAGCAATCAGGCCTGTATGGTAGAGTGGCCAGACAGAAGCCACTCCCCGCCTAGAATTTACCGAAGGCATCTGAAGGGCTCTCAGACCATAAGAAACAAAATTCTCTGGTCTGATGAGACTAAAACTGAGCTCTTTGATGTGAATGCCAGGTATTACGTTTGGAGAAACCCAGGCACCACTCATCACCAGGCTAATACTATCCCTACAGTGAAGCATGATGGTGGCAGCATCATGCTGAGGGGATGTTTTTCAGCAGCAGGAACTGAAAGACTAGTCAGTATAGAGGGAAAGATGAATGCAGCAATGTACAGAGTCATCCTGAATGAAAAGCTGCTTCAGAGTGCTCTTGACCTCAGACTGGGGCTGCGGTTCATCTTCCAGCAGGACAATGACTCAAAGCACACCGCCAACATATCAATGGAGTGGCTTCACAACAACTCTGTGAATGTCCTTCAGAAGCCCAGTCAGAATCCAGACCTAAATCCTATTGAACATCTCTGGAGAGATCTGAAAATGGCTCTACACTCTTGCTTCCCATCCAACCTCATAGAGCTTGAGAGATACTGCAAAGAGGATTGAGCAAAAATTCCCAAAGACAGTAGGGCTGTAACGATACACGATATAAAATCGAAATCGCGACACTCAGATCTACGATCCTGTGTCGCGGTGTAATAAGGAAGAATCGTGACACGCCCACCCCGTGATACCTTTCCAATAACGTCACGCGTGCCTGCAAAAGTTGAGCTAATTAACACTTTTTTTCGTTCGACATTTCAAGCACTGCTCCGTTTAAGCCCTCGCAATATTTAGCCGGGAGAGCTCGCACAGAGCTCTTAGTAAGGGGCCGTCTGAATGTGTCAAGAATATCAAAAACAAAACCAACTTAACCCCGCTTGACAACCGACAACGCCAGAAACATTGCCAATGCTATCAAAGCGGCTGGATTTTCAGCGCATATACGATGATTTGCTCACACTGTTAATGTGGCTGCGCAGAGAGGGATGGGCGTTCACCAGATGTCAGGTAACAGCCAAACATTTCTGTAACCGTGCAGTGCGCTTTCTGTTTGAACCTTTGGGAGTGCTGAATGACAGGTGCGTGAGGTCAGAAAACACGACGAAGCTTTAAGTTAAAATAAACACAGTTTCTATAGTTATAGCCTACTTTATTTATAGATAAAGGTATATGGCTCTGTATATAATCACTCTATCTTGCTGGAGTTTATAGCCGTTTCGCTTTACTTCAGGACGCATTAACACCGCTCTGATGGTCTAATCGTTGTTTTAAGTTATCCAGAGCTGTATGAATATACAAATCTTGAATATCACAATAGTATTAAATATTACAATTGTAACGACACAGACAGCAACACTTTTGCACAATCAATACCCAGCTGATTCAGTCGTTTATAAGAGGACCGCGCCTCTTCTTTTTTCCTTGTCAACATAAAGGCAGTAAGGTGCGCCTTGTTTTCGCCAACTTGTTTAACTGCAAGGCATACTTAATTTGCGGGATGATAACGTATAACCCATGCCTACAGACACATTTGCTAAACAAGCAAAATGGAAAAGAATATTGCTGTTTGATACAGACCTGTTGATACTAGACCAGCGCTTATGTTGACCTGGATCTGCGTAATAAACGCAACAAATAGGCTTTACTTTTTATTTTACAGCTTACTGCATGTACGCAGATTAATGCAATATCATATTTAAACAAACTGTTTACAAAAAGTCTACATATGCGCGCGTGTTGTTGCTGTCTTTTCATCACGCAGCGCGCGCACTTGAACTGCGAGGGAGAGAGAGGAAACCATAGGCTATATCAGGACAATCTTTAAAATAAGGATTTCTATTAAAATGTAAAAGGTTTTGTGATTATAATAATAACAGCGGGGCATTAAATAAATGCATATTTTCCGTGGAGCGAGCAATTTGAGGAAGTCTGCGATTTTTATTTGACGGAGGAAATAAACATATGATTGGAAAAAAAGCCTATGCCGGTTATTAAAAAGAATCAGTCAGTATTTTCGTTTTGTAAAATAAATTAATTATTTAAGTGAAAATAATTGAGGGCAGTCCTATTTATTTTATTCATTTTATTTAGATTATTCTGCTCTTCTGTGCTAAACACTGCAGGTGCGTGAAGATGCTCTGTTGTTCCGTTCCGCTATTAATATATAAAAATAAATCAGTATTTTAAAATGCAATATTTAATGTGTCAGACACAAAATAGACACGTCAATTTGTTTAATATAAAATTAATAGTAACTGACCAGTTAACCGTTAATAACCGATTAATGAGCGGCGGTTGTCGGTTAGCAAAATTAACGAAATGAGCATCCCTAGCTATTTAATTTACTTTTTCTATGCAGGAGAACTTGATTGAAAAATAATTTTCAACATGCTTGAACCATCTAAACAATGGAGTTTAGTTTGGTTTTTCAACAGTATTTTGTTACAAAGAAAACAGAAGTGATATAGCTTTGGCTATTTATTTATTTTATATATGGCTATTTATATTGTTAATAATTTGCATAGTTAATATTGTTTTTTGATGTTTAGTTTATAAAGATTTTTCAAATGTTATTTAATTAAAAATAGTTGTAAAAATCTTTTTTTTTCCCACCCCACACGAAAAAAATAAAATAAAAAATCGTGATACGAATCGAATCGTGGGTCAAAAATCGTGATACGAATCGAATCGTGGGTCAAAAATCGTGATACGAACCGAATCGTGGGTTTGGTGTATCGTTACAGCCCTAAAAGACAGGTGTGCCAAGCTTGTGGCATCATATTCAAAAAGACTTGAGGCTGTAATTGCTGCCAAAGGTGCATCAACAAAGTATTGAGCAAAGGCTGTGAATACTTGTGTACATGTGATTTTTCAGGTTTTTTTATTTGTAATAAATTTGCAACAATTAAAAAAAAAATCACATTGTCATTATGGGGTATTGTGTGGAAATTTGAGGAAATAAATTGATTTAATCCATTTTGGAATAAGGCTGTAACATAAAATAATGTCGAAAAATGAAATGCTATGGATACTTTGCGGATGCACTATGCATTAAACTGCACCTGCAATTTTACGTAAGGCCCAATTTGCCAAAAAATGATGATGGATTATGTTGATTAATCAGATATTTTCCCTTTATGCCCCTTTTTATTATCTACAAAACAAGCAGCAAAGATGAAATGCCAATCACAGTTGGAAAGAAATCAGCTTGCAGCTACTGTTTTAAAAACCTTTGTGATGCATTTGATGTCATATTAATGCCGATTCTCTTTCTCCCTGTCTGTGTGAAGTGCTGGAGAGCTGGCTGGACTTCACTGGTGAATTGGAGCCTCCTGATCCTCTGGCCCGACTCCCTCAGCTCAAGTGCCGCATCAAACAGCTTCTGACTGACCTGGGAAAAGTGCAGCAGATGAGCACCCTCTGCTCTGTGTGATACATGCATTATAGTGTCTTTTCTAAGCTTCTAACAACAATCTGCGCACTCAAGGAGGTGTATTCTCTTCAGTGGTTGTGTGCTCCCCTTGAAGATGAACGCTGGCCATGACCAAGTCTGAGATTCATGCTGAATGTGTCAAACAGGAAGATGTCAGTGAGCCTAAACTGCATTTGTGCTTAAAGAGAATGTTGTTGTCCAAAATAGGAAAACATCACTATAGGATATTAATTCTTTCATGTGTTAACAGAAGGGAACATAATCTATTTTTAAAAAAGATTACAACATCAAACATGGATTTAGGTTTTAGCTTGTTTGTTTGTTTGTTTGTGTTTTTGCATCAGTTAGACCCCAAAAGCAAATCCAGTCTGTTTTTTTCCTCTCTGTGAGCTTAAGGAAATATGAACTTGACTGTAGTGGGTCTTTAATAGCAGACCATTTAAAAGTTCATTAGTGTTTGATATATATATATATATATATATATATATATATATATATATATATATATATATATATATATATATATATATATATATATATATAAATATTTAATGAAAAAGGTTTTTGCCACTTAAAAAGTCACTTTGAAGTGCCAAGGAAACAGACCCATATGGTCCGTTTTTCTTTATCCAGAAACGCACAGTTCAGAATTTCCAAGTTTTTGAAATTGAATGTTGGATTTTATTAAAGCAGGATAAGGCTAGTTTGCAGTCTGATACACTGGCACTAAAGGTTCGCAATGCCAACAAACTCATTAAAACAACATCTAGATAGATAAATAGTTTTCGTACAACAGCTCGTCTAATATTTTAGCATGTTTCTCTACAGTCTTGATGGATGCTGTAGCGATACACAAGAAAGCAAGCTAATCTAATGGTGGGCGTCTAGAAGCAGGTGACTCTTCTCACTAAGGTCTGTTTATCATGTTGATACTTTTGAGAGTTGCTACCGTGAAGTAAGCTAATCCTGAGAGGGATGTAAATGCATATAATGAATCCATTTAGTTCTGTTTTCTTGTTTTTGAAATGTGTATATACAGTTTTTTACAACTGTAGGGAAAAACAACAACAAAAAACATAAGGCATCGGAGGATAATACTTGAAAATGCCTGTTTAATCTCCATTTCTATTAATCTGTACAAAGAGTGTTTTAGAATTTAGATTTAAAACTTGAAGTTTCGTTTGATGAGAAATACCAGCTGTACATTTAAAGAGTTTATTTAAAGACCTGATGTAATTATCTGTATGTACAACTTCATTAAAAAAATATTCTGAATTAATTTTGTTACGCGTTTATGATGTTTAAAAGGGACGATGTAGCATTTAGTTGAGACAAAGGTAATGTGTGCGACAGATTAAGGATGAGGCAGGAATTGATTCTGAATTTAAGATGATCTTACTCAATGGTTTAAACAAAAGATGTAACAATAATAATGGAAAAAAGAAATAAACATTTACAATATTCTCTTTAAGCGAAAAAAAATTATTGTAAGCCAAATCAAAACATTAACAAAACAATCCTTGGATCTAACATCCAAACTAAGCAACAAAAATAAATAATGAAAATAAAACCAGATCTAAACTAATTCAACTACAAAACTCAAAATTACATGGGGCAAAACACTCAAACTAATCTAACAAAAACAAGTTAAACAAAAGCAAACCTAACTAGAATATCGTAAGGTTCAGTTTAGAATCACAACAACCATCAAAGCTGTTACTTTAAGCCAACAAAGTTTAACAAGTAAACTCTTAATTAGCACAGTAGAACTGAGATAATCACTAAATAAGCATGCCAAAACACAAATTGCATGAAGCACAAAGGTATGCCGAGTAGGCATGGGACAATAACCTTTTTCAAGGTAAATCGTCAAAATTTTCTACTATACTGTTTCTAAAGTATGGGTAAAATATTTTTTTTGTTGTTTTTAGGACAACAGTATCTCCAGGAGAAAAGATCTCCAAAGATGCCGTTTTAAATTGCAAAACAAATCAGTGTTTTTGAAACTAATGAAGACAATAGAAGTCAATGAATATATTTTTTTGCATATATATATATATATATATATATATATATATATATATATATATATATATATATATATACATACACACACACACACACACACACACACACACACACAGTTGAAGTTAGAATTATTAGCCCCCCTTTACATTTTTATTTATTTTTTTATATTTTCAAAGTTATGTTTAACAGCACAGCATGTCTGATAATATTTTTGCTTTTGGAGAAAGTTTTATTTGTTTTATTTAGGCCAGAATAAAAGCAGTTATTAATTTTTTAAAAGCCATTTTAAGGAAAAAATTATTACGCCTTTTAAGCTATATGTTTTTTTTCCCTGGTAGTCTATAGAACAAACCAACGTTATACAATAACTTGCCTAATTACCCTAACCTACCTAGTTTAGCTAATTAACCTAGTTAAGCCTTTAAATCTCACTTTAAGCTGTATAGAAGTGTCTTTAACATATTCAGTAAAACATTATTTACTGTTATCATGGCAATGATAAAATAAATGAGTTATTAAAGACGAGTTATTAAAACTATTGTTTAGAAATGTGTTGAAAAAAATCTTCTCCATTAAACAGAAATTGGGGGAAAAAATAAACAGGGGGGCTAATAATTCTTACTTAACCTGTATGCATGCATGCATGCATGTATGTATGTATGTATGTATGTATGTATGTACGTACGTACACACGCACGTGTGTGTGTATATGTATATATATATAAATGCATTTTATATTTGCATTTATATATTTACATTTTTTAAATCATTCAGCATTTAAACCAATTTTAAAGATTAATTCAATTAAAAAGATATTTTAAAACAGACTGAAACAATGAACTTTTTTATAAACGAATAACTTGCTTGATATCATGCAGCTCTTCTAAATGCAGAAATGGGAAAAATTAAACATTAATGTGTCATTTACTGCATTTATATTTATATGAAAATATTTTCTTTTTCATAGATTTATTGTGACGACAGCAACATTTAAGAAATAACTCCGCACAGCTCTTTTTAACTCTTGCAAGTGGTCTCCAGAAGAGCGATGTTGGTGGTTCTCCTCACAGAAGCACTCTCAAGCTCAAGCTTGGCTGCTCGTTTGTAAAATGCTCTCATTCGTCACTAGGTACTTCAACCAAGCTGAAGAGCTTACTGTTTTGATGGATAAATTCGTAAATTACTACAAAATGCTGAACTGGTATGACAGTGCACATCTTAGCAGTAGTATATAAGAGCCTGCAGTCTTTTAGACTACAGGAGAGTTCTTGCATCCTAGAGAAGATGCAGAACATGGAAGAGATGAAGCTCCTTTGTCTAACCAGCACACTGATTTGTATTTTCTCTCTGACGTGTGGAAAGATTTCAGGTGAGCATCTGGTTTGTGTTTACTGTATGAATGATTGTTTTGAATGAAGAAACTGAGCCACCTGTTTCTCACATTTAGAGTACCAGCTGGAGACGGAGAGTCTGAGTCAATGTGAGCAGCTTAGGTCTGTCAGTGCAGAGCAGGAGCGTCAACATGTTCCACAGTGCTTTGAGGACGGTCGCTTCAGGTGTGCTAATGTGTGACCCATACATATACAGTTGAAGTTAAAATTATTCGCCCTCCTGTAAATGTTTTTTTTTTTTATATATTTCCTAAATGATGTTTAACAGAGAAAGGATTTTTTTTTTCACATTATTTCATAGAATATTTTTTCTTCTGGAGAATTTTTAAAAACTATTTTAAGATCTATATTATTAGCTAACTTAAGCAATATTTTTTCAATTGTCATATTATAGGGCTAATGAATTACTAAATAATTAATACTTAATAGTGTGCTATATTTAATGGTGCTCAGCATAATTTTAATATTCTGAGTATGAATGCTTTTTTCAAGATGTTAATCTGCTTTTTCCCAACATTTTTAAAAAGTCCCTAATTTAAATGCAATGTTCAGTATCATTTGTAAATAGAACTAGTTGCTTATAAACATTTTAAAGTCAGAAAAAATGCTAAAATCATGTTAAGTATAGCTTGTGACCCTTTGCATTTTAAGTGGTTTAAATGTGGCCCGCTTTGCCTCTGAACTTGAATACCCCGTTCTAGAATGCATTTAGGAAATAATTTTTTATCAATGCAAGTCAGGATTGTTGGCACAAGTAAATTATGATATGCACAAAAAAAGGAATATAAAAAACAAAACTTCAACACACTGAACCACTACAGCCTCCATTGTAGTATTGCTTGCTCACAGTAGTTAGTCAACTTTTTTTGTCTCCGTAGGTAAATTTTATTTGCAGCATACATTCACAGACTTCTGACATTTCACATTTGGCATATCTATCTATTTATCTATCTGTCTGTCTGTCTGTCCATCTATCCATTTGTCCGTCTGTCCGTATCTATCTATCTATCTATCTATCTATCTATCTATCTATCTATCTATCTATCTATCTGTCTGTCTGTCTGTCTGTCTGTCTGTCTGTCTGTCTGTCTGTCTGTCTGTCTGTCTGTCTGTCTGTCTGTCTGTCTGTCTGTCTGTCTGTCTGTCTGTCTGTCTGTCTGTCTGTCTGTCTGTCTGTCCACCTGTCCGTCTATCCACCTATCTATCCGTCTGTCTGTCTGTCTGTCATTTAAAAACATGAAACCCCTACTCTAAATAAATATCCAGTCTACTAGACATCAACTGAGGGATGAGGAATTTAAAAACTTAGTTACTTGGGGTGCAAATGATATTTTTTTAATTATACAGTTAACTGTTAGTCATGAACATGCTGATGAATGACAAAACTCTTTAAAACTGGTAAATCTTTATATAAATGTAGACTCTCAGCTGAAAGGGTTAATACAGAAGAGTGTAGCATGAAAAAAATTGTAGTGTAGCCCTACACAAAGGGTGAAAAAGTTTGACAACCATTGGTCTACTCAACAAACTACTGTTATAAAAATGACTTGCCTACTTAACCTAATTAAATTAGTTAAGCCTATAAATGTCACTTTAGGCTGAATACTAGTATCTTGAAAAATATCTAGTCAAATATTATTTACTGTCATCATGGATAAATAAATCAGTTAGAAATCATTAGAAATGAGTTATTAAAACCATTCTGTTTTTTACTGTAATTAAGTAGGTTTTCTCAGTAATTGTACTTTAATAAGTAGTTTTAACATTTTTTTTTTACTTTTGCTTATGCTTGAGTACATTTTAGTACAGTATCTGTACTTTTACTCCATTACTTTCCTTCAACCTGCAGTCAATACTTTATTTTTTCTTGTCTATGGGGATTGGCTAAAGTAGAATGATCAGTCCGGTGATTCTCATCCAGTCAAATCACACATAGAAAATTTGCATCATACAGAGAAACCTCAAGGCACAAAGTTGTTACATGACTGTGTAAAGTGCGCGTCACTGATAAGAAGATGATGGATGTGTGTCTTTGAGTTATGTTTACATCAGATAATTTTACTCTGCTTGCGCTACATTTTTTGGGTAAGTAATGGTACTTTTACTTTAGTATGATTTTTCAGTATTCTTTCCACCAATGATCTCATGTTGCACAGTTGTACAGCAGTCAACATTTGAAGTGGATCACAAAAGGTCACCAAAATTGGCCTAAGACTAAAAAAAGTGTTAATCAATAGTTTTACGACAATTTTGATGAAAGTTGTGATCAAATAGCCAAACAATGCATTTCATGGGTCAAAAATAAATGAATATATAAAAAAAAAAATATATATATAAATATATATATATATATATGATCCGATACACATCTCGATACAAAGAATACGATCCGATATATTAGCGATACATTTGTGACATATTGCGATGCAACACGATACGATTCACACCCATATCACGATACAATGCGATAATTCAGCACTAACTAATTAGTTCAAGTTTATGAGATTATGTGAAAGAGGATGCTGTGCCATTGAATGAGTTTGATTATTTATTAACCAAGCAAAACCAAGACTTTTTTTTACAAACTGGCTCTTCTCTCAGAGCCAGAGTGTCAGTTTACAGTAGAGGGCCATTTTAGAACATATAGCACATATTATTTAAGTATTTTCAAGATAAACAGAATGTATAAGTGCAACATATATTAAAAAATATATATATTTGCACTCTTTCAACATAAAGGTTTACCATTGCACAACAAGAATTGTGATATAACTTTTCAACTATGAAAACAAGTTTTACAAAGATATTTTGCCACTGAATATTCAAAACTTAAGGTGGTGAACTAGCAGTGTTATGCTGCTTTGAAGCATCACTGTCACTGTAAACAACAGGCTAATAAAAATATAATTAAATACAAATTAACAGGAGGATGTGTTTAAAACCTTCGTTCTCCGTGACACTAGGCTGAATATCTTTGCAGATGAACAATGCAGTAATATCCGTTATTGGCGTAGAGCGCACAAAACTGTTGCGCATGGAAAAAAACTTGCAATGCTTTTCTCACCACTTTTGGAGCTGGTAGCTACAGTTGAAGCAGTGCAGGAAGCTGGGGATGCAGAAACACTGGAAGATGCTTCCACAACAACACTGTGGCGCCGCTTCAAGTGAGATTTCAGATTAGTCGTACTGCCCGTGTATTTTACAGATGCGTCCTGTCAAGTCGTCCATCCTTAAATCCATAATGTTGCCATACTTTAGATTTAAAACTCAGTGGGGAATAAAATGTTTGTTTTGCTTCTTGCGCTTTCTGAGGGCGCACCACTAGCTTCATCCGCACACCTGATACACTGAGTTGTAGTGTAAGTGTACACATCCGCAAGCCCGTTGCTAATGCATACTTTATGTAGGTCGATTAAATTATGCGCCAAAAACAGGTTGACAACACTTGTTAATAAATAAAAAATACATTCTGTATTAAAAATATAAGTTGTATCTTGGAAAAACCGATGCATCTCGCAAAAACCGATGCATCTCGATTTGCTTTCAAAATTTCATTCATCCTCTGCTGCTCTACTGATGCACTCGCATCGTGCACGCGCATGACCACGTATCGATACATATCGGTCAATCTTCCCATCTCTAATATATATATATATATATACACCTTGAAGGTGTTTTGTAAATTTCCTTCTGTAAATATATAATGTCCGAATTTTTTATAAGTTATATGCTTTGCTAAACAATTAATTTAAACAACTTTAAAGACAATTTTCTCGTTTTTTTTTTTTTTTTTTTTTTTTTTTTTTTGAACCTCCAGATTCCAGATCACCCACTTTGAATGCTATCACTCGATTTAATATGCGTTATCAGTGGTTATCCACTGATAGATATGGGCCAGGGGCCTTCTATACTTACTGGTAGGCTCAGAAGGCTGTTATCATCCGTCCACATGGTTAATTAGCTATACAAGTAGAGAAGACTCAAGATCTGTTTTAACATTACTGTGACAGTTGGGTTTAGGGTTGGGCTAGGCTAATAAATTACAATTAATATAATATTTAATTAATAATATTAATAATTCTTGTGTTTAATCAGCTATACTAATAGAGAAGACTCCAGATCCAGATCTGTTTTTACATTACCGTGATGGTTGGGTTTAGGGTTGGTATAGGGGTAGACATTAATAAAATTCAAGTAATGAGAAATGTAATAAATAATTTGATAATTTTTGTTAACTTCCGGCCTCAGCCGTATGTGATCTATAGCTGATTAACCATGTGGATAGATGATAACTTCTAAACCTAACAGTAGGCACAGTAGGCCCCTACTTGCCCATATCTTTCAGCTGATAACCACTGAAAACGCCCAATCAATCAAGTGATAACATTTGAATGGGCTGTTCAAATAGTGTTTATCTTGGGAAAATCTAGTCCTGTCACAGTAAACCATACATCAATAGAAAGCTTATTTATACATTGTTCAGAAGAAGTAAACATTGTAAATCATTTTTTAAAAAATTGACACTTATTCAGGGATTTGTGGTCCAGGGTCATGATATACCTGAATATAATGTACTGTGGCGTAAATATATTTGTGCAACAACATTGTAATAATAAAATGTTTGTAGGCATGTTCAGTGTAACCGTGGAGGTGGAGAATGTTGGTGTGTGAATGCAGAAGGATTTGAGATACCTGGGAGTCGACAAAATGGATCCTCAGTTTATTGTAAGCCCCTCTTCATACTTGAGCTTGATTCACTCTTAATAATAAATGTTGTTTTTGACATCGGTGGGTCCATGAAGAACATTTAAAATCCATGAAACATTTACAATGCAAAATTTTTTTTTTATTTGTAACTGATAAGATTTCTTTAGATAAAAATGCCTTTTTTTAATAGACCTGCAGACTAAAAAGTTCTAGGAAACAGAAGGGTTTTCTCTGCAATATGTCCTCAAAAAAGGCTTTACTTTACCAGAAAATGATTAAAATACGAATGAATGTGAATTTGTTTTTATTTCTTTGCTTTTTTGTGTTTTCTATAAAGGAGTATGGTAACAGTTTACTGTATTTACAGGTCCACATGTTATTTATTATCAAAAATAAAACTGCTGTTTGTTATTGATGTGAGCTCAGTTCTATTAAACGGATATTTTACCCCAATAAAGTTTTTTTTTTTTATCCTGTTGATAGCAAAAAACGTTTTATTGAAAAATGTTAGAAACTTAATTAATAATGGAATTAAAAACAATCATTTACTGAATGAACTAAATGAACATGTTTTAATGATGTCTGAAGAATCATGTCACACTAAAGTCTTAAGTCAGGGGTCACCAATCTCGGTCCTGGAGGGCCGGTGTCCCTGCAGGATTTAGCTCCAACTTGCCTCAACACACCTGCCTGGGTGTTTCAAGTATACCTAGTAAGACCTTGATTAGCTTGTTCAGGTGTTTTTGATTAGGGTTGGAGCTAAAATCTGCAGGACACCGGCCCTCCAGGAACAAGTTTGGTGACCACTGTCTTAAGTGATGATCATCAATACAATAAATGTATATTTTTTTTAAAAATACAATGCAGTAGAAAAAAATATTACAGTAAACCTTAATTGCAATCCAATGCATTACTGTTTTTTGTACCTCCAATAAAAAAGTATAAATTACAAAAAAAAAAATTAAAAATAATAATAATCATTAAATAAATAAATTGCAATGTTTGATCACAAGTGTGTTTTCTTTGATTTTTGTTTAAACCAGAAAAATTCCCAATTCTCTAACACTTATATGCTACTAAAAATCAAATCATTATCATCACGTTTAAGTCAATTGCTTCTATTATAAAAATAAATAAAATCATATATGAATCAAAAAAATGGACTGAATTAAAATCAAATGAAGTGACCAGCCCACAATATCCTCTCCTTCCCTCTCTCTCACTCTTCATAGGTTTAACCACCTGCCAGCTCCAGAGACAGCGGGCACTGCAGACTGAAGATGCCACCCTGGTGCCCGTGTGCTTGGACTCAGGTGAGTACCAGCAGGTACAGTGTGATGCGTCTCGCAGCCAGTGCTGGTGCGTCGACCTAGAGGGCATGGAGATCTATGGAACCAGGCAGAACGGAAAGCCATCCAAATGTAAGTGCACTCATTCAGGGTCATATTTATCCATTTCCCTGGATGCTTTTATTTAGATTATATTCTGAAAGACTTTTATTGCCCTAAAGGGATAGTTCACCTAAAACTGAAATTTCTGTCGTCATTTACTCACTCTTGACTTTTCACAAACCTGTTTGAGTTTCTTTTTTTCCTCTTTACCACAAAATAATTTACTTTGAAAAATGTTGGAAACCTGTAACTATTGGCTTCCATGTTATTTATTTTTCCTACTATAGAAGGCAATGGTTACAGGTTTTCAACATTTTTCAAAATAACTTATTTTGTGTTAAACTGAAAAGGAAATTCAAATATGCAATTGCTTGAGCGTGAGTAAATGGGGAATACATTTTCATTTTTGAATGAACTATCCCTTTTAGTCCAAAATCTTCTGAAGTGGATGTTCTTTGTGATCGGGTGTACTATGGATCTTGAATGTAGGTCCTGGTACTTGTGAGGTGAGAGAACGGAGACTGCTTCATGGTATTGGAGAGCGTTCTCCTCCTCAGTGTTCAGATGATGGAGGCTTCTTACCTGTGCAGTGCAAGTTTGTCAACACCACTGACAGGATGATCTTTGATCTCTTGCACACTTTTAACAGGTGAGGCTGCCTATTTAAACCATATATTCATTCATTCCTTCATTTTCTTCTCAGCTTAGTCCCTTCATCAATCAGGGGTCACCACAGCGGAATGAACCGCCAATTTATCCAGCATATGTTTTACGCAGCGAATGCCCTTCCATCTGCAACCCAACACTATGAAACACCCATATACTCTTGCATTCACAAACATACTTTACACTACGGCCAATTTACCTTATTCAACTCACCTATAGCACATGTCTATGGACTGTCGGGGAAACCGGAGCACCTGGAGGAAACCCACACAAACACAGGGAGAACATACAAACTCCCAGCCAGGGCTTGAAACAGCGACCTTCATGCTGTGAGGCGATCCTGCTACCCACTGCGCCACAGTGATGCTTAAACCATATATTATTTTTTTTAAAGTATTTATTGGTACGATTTTATATCAGGGTTTTGAAAGTCTCATTCAACAAAACTGTATTTGTCTGAAACAAAGTAAAATATGAAAGCATTGGAAAGCAACATGTTAAGTAGTCAGTTAAATAGATCTTTGTAATATGTTGAATTTATTTAGCTAGGATGCATTACATTTATTAGAAGTAAAGACTTTTACCTTGTTTTAAAACTATAAATACTTTGAATAACGTAAAAATATTAATCGTTAATAAAAATAGTACATGTGTATGAAGCACCAATTCATTGTTTGATTCAATAATGATGCTAAAAATTCAACTTGATAATATTTTTACAATTTTAAAAACAGTTCTATTTTATTTTAGTTAGTTAGTATATTGTGAAGTGTGATTTATTCCTTTCCTCCAGTCTTTAACATCACATTACTCTTGTGAGCTTTCTAATATGCTGACTTGGTGCTGAGTATACATTTGTTGTCGTTTATTAATATTAAGCAGTTTAATATTAGAACAATAGCTAAGTAATATACGTATGTAAGGATCTTTTTTTTTTCATAGTCCTAAGATGTAAAGAATGTTCAAATGAGTTCCACACACATTTAAAAAATGATTTTCGGCTGCTTGTTCAAACCACTCATTTAAAATGAGCTGAATCAACACAATACTATTTTGGAGGACAGCTTAATTGTTTAATGTTCAATCCACTTGCATTTATAAAACAATTCAGTTATTCATTCATTCATTTTCTTGTTGGCTTAGTCCCTTTATTAATCCGGGGTCGCCACAGCAGAAGTAACCGCCAACTTGTCTAGTTCACACATTCACACACACATTCATACACTACGGACAATTTAGCCTACCCAATTCACCTGTACCACATGTCTTTGGACTGTGGGGGAAACCCACGCAAACGCAGGGAGAACATGCAAACTCCACACAGTAATGCCAACTGAGCCGAGGAGCGAAAACCTAACAGTCTACTTATAATCTAATGAGAATTAGTTGGCATGTGGATGCAATGTAACTTAAACTCAACAAATGGACCATCAAAACAAAGTGTGACCAAATCTTTTGTTGCATTAAAAATATATTGTAATTTTTTTCTCAGTTTAATGAAAAAATTTTCAATCTCTTTATCTATGTATTTTGACCGTATTTTGTTTGTTTTCTCATATTTACATATAATTCTTTAAATAGAGATTTCCTTCTGAAAGCCGTTTTAGTGAAGCTAGACGCCTGTGTCTGAAAAGCAGGCCAAACTCTTCATCTTTAACCACTAGACAGCAGTATTGCGTCAGAGGAAGCATTTGTAACACTTTTCCTATTTCATCAGTTTTCCTACTTAAACCATTAGTCTTCTCAAGCTCTTTACAATGCACCTGCTGCAAATGACTCATTTAAATGAAGTTTTTTTTTCTTTACCAGACAACCAGAAGTGTTCCAGACATTCAGCGGTTTCAGAAAGGCTTACCCAGAGCTCTCTAGTTATTGTTTCTGTGCAGACAGTCGTGGAAGAGAGATGCCAAGCACAGGTGAAACACACTTCTTCATTTTCACTTCAGGTTACAGAACTGTGCCCACATAAATTGCAGTAAAATTTTTCACTAAGAGTTTTCTCCTTAAACCCATTCACAAATCTGCTGCTACAAACTTTCACTAAGGAATAGAGAGAAGTCAAAAGGGTAAAACTGAAAATTCTCCCACCGTTTACTCAGCTTTCACTTGTCACAATCCTATTTGAGTGTCTATCTTCTTGAACACAAAAGAAGATATTTTAAAAATGGTAACCATTTTTTTCATAGTGTATTGTTTTTTTCCCACTTTATGGAAGTCATTGGTTACAGATTTTCAGCTTTCTTCACAATATTGGCCTCTATTTTGACTTTCCATGCGCAGAGCGCAAAACGCAGGGCGCAAACGCTTTCAGGGCATGTCAGGACGCGTTTTTGCTAATTTAAAGAGTGGAAATCTGCCTTGCGCCGCGGCGCATGGACTAAAAAGGTTGAGTTTATTTTCTTAATGAGTTATAGGTGTGTTTTGAGAATAAACCAATTAGAGTCTCATCTCCCATTACCTTTAAGAGTCAGCTGCGTCGCGCCAAGAGCGCATTCGCTATTTAAAGGACGCAAAGTAAGTCTAAGTGGAAAAAAATGAGCATTTCACAAGCAAACAGTTAACTGTTTTTTAACAGAAAATTGTTAAACAGAGCATCTACTGCGTAAGAATGAGAGATAATGGATCTACTTTCACATTCGCTTTTGGATAGGGAAACCTTTACGCACAGACATCAATTAGTCTATAAATAAATACTTTTGTTTGTTAAGCGCAAATATTCGTTTCAAAACTATTTCTAAATTCAGTTCTAATTTCCAGCAAACGAATAAATGAATCATAATAACAAAGTGTGTTCAAAAACCCGAGTTATATCCTAAAACACATGCTGTGCCTCTTATGGTCTAAAACCTGACAGGTGGGCAAATCTATGCGTGTTTTTAATAAAACAAATATAAATATGGATATAATAAATAATACTGCTAATAATAATAACATTATACAAAAGCAAATTGTTATGAATGACATAAAAGCAGTGATTTTTCATATATATGTAGGCTAGAAAATAATGTTTTGTAATATTTTAATCCTTTATATTTATATTCTATATCTATTCTTATTATATCCTATATATATCCTTAATATTTAAATGTTTTCATATGTAAAGATATTTGCCTATTGCTCTCTTGTGCGTATTAAGCAGTGCGTAAGCGAGGCGCAACTCTGCGCCGGAGTTTAGACCGGGTTAGTTTTGGTCTAATGAAAAATCTATTTTAGTTTCTCAAAATAGCAACGCGCCAGTAGTCCGCCTCAGAACGCCTTCCTTTTTAGACCAGAACGCCTATGGGCTCACAAATGAGCGCTAATGCATTTGCTATTTAAACAGCGTAGCGCAACGCCTCAAAACGACTCTTGCGCCAAGCTGAAACTACCAAAAGACTATTGCTCCGCGCCTTGCGCCACACTGCGCCAGGTGTATGATACGGCCTATTATCTTTAGTGTTCAGCATTAAAAAAATTCTTAAAGGTTTAAAATCACATTAGGGTGAGTAAATATTCATTAAATCAAAATATTTGAGTGAACTATCCCTTTAAGCCATAGGTCCCAAACTCCAATTCCTGGAAAGCCACAGCTTTGCACAGTTTTGCTTCAACCCTGATCAAACACAGCTGATCCAACTAATCAAGGTATTCAAGACTACTAGAGACTTCTAAGCAGGAGTGAGTTGGAGCTGGTTGGAGCTAAACTATGCAGAGTTGCAGCCCTCCAGGGATTGAGTTTGAGCCCATTGCTTTAAGCTAAGAGTAAGGGGAGGGGTTGACTTTGTCTCTATGGATGACGTCCTCATGCTAATTAACTATGCAAAAAGTGATTGGCTACAATTCAAATAAAGGTTTAAATGCATGCTACCAGTGATCAAATAAACAAGTATACAGTACGTTCAGCTAATTATCTGTTTCATACATGTATGCTTCTTATAAACAGAAAGCAGATATGCATTTAAACAGTTATAGTTGGCAGAGTAGATTAATCTTGGCTTATAGCAAGACATGCAGACGTTTCATATTCATGGTGAAGTGGCTTTGTCATAATACACTGTAAACAATGCTTGGTTTGTGTTGAGGCGACATGAAGGGATTAAGTTAACTTATTAGTTTTTACAAATTTAGGTGGACTGAACACAAAACAAATAAGTTGCCCCCCGCCCTACAAAAAAGTTGTTTTTAAGTCTATGCTTGATATCAAGACAATACCTTTTTAAAAGCTTGCTATTAGGGATGCGAATATCGGTATCGGCCGATAATCACATTTCACGACTTGGTCAATACTTGTTGCCGTTCTCATGAACCGATCACAAGTAGTTGTTTACAAGTTCACAAGCAGAGGAAGATGCATCCGGTTTATGAACCCGGGTTATGAATCAGCAAAGCTACAACCAGGGCTTTACATTAACACCCGCCAAATGCGGGTAGATTTTAGCTGTGGTGGGTTAGACAGACACCACCACTAGCCACTTTGGCTGGTTGAAAGTAATTTTTAAATTGTAGTTTTCTTAAAAGCAGGGTTTGACAATATGGGTGCAAATGTGATTTTAGAATCTAGAAGCAGCATGACTGAAAAAAATAATGTACGAGCAAAAGAAAGCAGTTTTATTTTTTTTTTTTTTTTTAAAGCAAACAGTACATGTTTGCAACATCCCTAATTATCTTAGGTAAATCGAGATCTTATACTTAAAGAGTAATTGTGCTTATATATGACAAAGTGATATAAAGTTTGAAGAATCAGAATGGTTACTCTGTATTAGCCGATTACCATGACAAGGAATCGGTACTCGGTATCAGCTGCAAAAATCCTGATCAGAACATCTCTACTTGATATTGTAAAATGCTTTAACAGCCGTTTTAGGATGTCTTGTGATTTGGTCTTAGTAATTCTGGAGTCCTCTTTACTAGTCTCAGTCCTAAATCTACAAGTTATGAGCTACTTTTAACTAAATACATTTTGCGAATACAGACCCTGTTTTATTAATACATCACTAAAATGTCAAGTTGCTGTGTGATTCATTGTTTTTATTCCAGGATTAGTTTGTCTTGAACACTTGTGACATTTTTTGTGCGCTGCAATAAAAATGAATTATTCTGACTTTGTTTTTTGCAGGTGTGGAGCTGTTGCTGGATGAGGTGTATGACACAGCATTTTCAGACCAGACTGCAGGAAGTTCATTTGCAGAGTCAAACATGTATCGGATTCTAAACCGTAGATACCTTGCTGTCCAGTTGGCCATAAATGGAAAATTTAGATGTATGCATTTTGTTAAAAATGAAAGAATATTGATATATTGATGTTTTTTGAATCAGTAAAACACATCTAATAACCTAAAAGATATATACATTTGCTTCTAAATTAAATATATTTTTTATATAAAGTAATAATTACAAAGGTTTATCTTTAAACATCACTTCTAAATAGTTTTATCAGAAGTCATAAACTTACATTGCTTTATTTTATTACATTTTTTTGCTGGAAAATGAAGATTTGTTTCATTGACATGTCTATATTGTAAAAGAGAAAAATAGTTATTATTGCAATGCAGAAGTAAAATGTACCTCTCATAAAATTATATCTAAATCGCAGTACTCTAACTTACCCAACCTTTATATTTTAAGGTCCCAGCCCGTGTGAGAGTGAACGGGCTGCAGCTTCTCAGGCTGGTAATTCCTTTGTACCCTCCTGTACCGACAATGGGGCGTATGTGCCAACCCAATGTCAGTCTGGTGGGCAGTGTTGGTGTGTGGATACTTACGGCAAAGAGATCTTTGGCACCCGACAGAATGGAGTACCAAAATGTAGTGAGTTTGACCTAATTTGTGTAAACTTGCACTTGTGTGAATATTATTTTCCAGAATGATGTGGCATTTTCTTTCAGCTTAGTCTCTTATTTATCAGGGGTTGCTACAGCAGAATGAACCGCCAACTATTCCTGCATATATATTTTTTTTTTACTTAGCGGAAGCCCTTCCAGCCGCAACCTAGTACTGGCAAATGCACATACACTCTCAGATTTCCATACATACACTCATACACTACAGCTAATTTAGTTCATCCAATTCACCTATAGCACATACTGTACTGTATATTTGAACTTTTCGGAAAGTCTGAGCACCAGGAGGAAAACCTTTGCAATGCAAACTTCACACAGAAATCCCAACTGGTCTAGCCGAGATTCGAACCTGCAACCTTCTTGCTGTTAGGCAACAGTACAAACCAATGAGCCACAGTGCCATCCCTTGCTGCTATCAGTCAATAACATTATTAAGTATAGTTAACATTATAACAGAGTGCATGCAAAGAGCTTAGAATGACCAAGAGGCGACACTCAATGGAATGTTCCATTGCAACAGCAGCGCCCAGCGACAGCCCTGGATTCCGCCATTTTGAAGTGAAAGTGATCGGCCGTCCATTGGATCTCATTACTGTCGCGATTGCAAGCAGCAGCTTTGTTTTTTATTTATTAATTTAAAAAGCGCATTAAAGCTGAGATACAACCTGAAAGACGGCAATACAACACTTATTATCACAATCATCAGCACTTTTAATAGTTTATTTTACAAACTTATATTATGCTGTTGTTCTATTAGAATTTTCATTCCAAAATGGCCGCCCAAATTACAATGGTTTCCCAAATTACACTAGAGTGTCGCCTCTTGGTCATTCTAAGCTCTTTGGTGCCTTAAAACTACATGTATTAGCACACTATGAGCTGTAATCAGTTTGTAGTCTAAAGTTTGTGGTGATGTAATTGTACTATTAAGGCAAGACAAAGCAATTAAATAGTTAACAAACATTAAAAAATTCCAAACATTTTTGTATTAGCTTTTTCTAAAATTGTATGTTTAAATATTCAAGTAAGAAATAATTAATCTAAATATCTGATAATTGGCATAAAACTGTACTACAAAAATCTGAAAAAATTGATTAATTTAGGTTCAAGATTTTATTTTGACATTAGTCAAAGGTTTTTACTGAGGGTTTATTTGATCAGCCAGATCAAATATACATCTTAATATCACTCTGTAAATACTTTCAAATATATTTATTTAAAAATATAAAAGCTTCAACAAAGGAAATTTGGAGAAAATGGCCTTAAATATGTAATCTGCATTTGAAATCTACAGACACAAAATAAAACCTCACAGAGTCTGTCCATTAAAACACTTAAAACACTCCTTAACTGAATCTTAAAGTTGACAGGTGCTTGAAAAACGCCTTGGTCACACTTTACAGTAAGGTTTCATTATTCATGTATTTACCAACATGAACTAATAAAGAACAATACTTGTACAGCATTTATTTTTCACAGTACTAATACATTACTAAAATCCAAATTCATGCTTGTTAACTTTAGTTAATGCACTGTGAGTTAGCATAAACTGACAAGGAACAACTTTATTTTAATTAACTAACGTTAACAAAGGGTGTCAAAATGAGTAGCACGATCGCCTCTGAGCAAGAAGGTTGCTGGTTTGAGCCCGACTGGGTCAGGTGGGATTTCTGTGTGGAGTTTGCATGTTCTCCCCGTGTTGGTTTTGGTTTCCTCTGGGTGCTCCGGTTTCCCCCACAGTCCAAAGACATGTGCTATGGATGAATTGAATAAGCAAAATTTGCCATAGTGTATGTGTGTGAATGCAAGAGTGTATGAGTGTTTCCTAGTGTTGGGTTGCGGCTGGAAAGGCATCTGCTGCATAAAACATGTATTCCGCTGTGGCGACCCCTGATTATTAAAAGGACTAAGCTGAAAAGAAAATGAATGAACATTAACAAATATATAAACTGAACAAAATTTTTTTTTGTTTATTGTTTGTTCATGTCAGTAAATACATGAACAAACAATAACTACTGTAATTCAACCTAAGCCTTCTGTAAGCAGTGTCTTGATTAATTCTACAGTCATTGTGATTAAAAGCATCAAGTTTATTACACCCATTAATGGACTAGTGAAGCTAAAAAATCTAGTCTTTGAGATCTGAGAGATGTTGGTTTACCTGATTCTTGTTGAGAGAAACATTAACAAGAAGGTTGTGCACTGATTAATGGTGTATATCTTTGTTTGTGTAGGCACTGGAGTGAAAGACTGCCTGTCTGAGAGGAGACAAGCCCTCTCCAAGCTCTTTTATGGCCCAGCTGGAGACTTCAGCAAGAGCAACGTGTTCTCCTCTTCCAAAGACACCGTCTCTTTTCTTGGTACTTGCAGCCCTGAATTCCAGGAGCTGTTGGCCAACTCCGGTCTTCTGCAGTCATTGCCAGAGTTGGAGCGTCCAAAAGTCACAAACATCCTGGCAGATGTTCTCCAAGGGATGTTTCCCTCTGGCGCTCTTGCCCTGAAGGCTTTAGCTCTCGCCCAGAATCCCAAGAGACTTCAGGAGAATCTTTTTGGAGGGAAATTCCTGAAGAACGCTGGAAATTTCAACTTCTCAGGGACTGTTGGAGACAGTGGCACATTGAGCTTTAGACAAATTTTCAGTCAGGTTGGTCTGACCCAAGTTGTGACAGACTTAATGCAGTTGGCTAAGACCTTCACAGACAGCTCTGAAAATCTTAATCTAGACCAGGAGATCTCTGATGCGTTTGGTCGATCGGTAAACCTGAAAAACAACAGAGAAATGATTAAGCTTGTTTCAATGGCTCTTGAGAATACGCATTTTCTTTCTACACTTCGAGTAGCGATCAAACAGTTGAAGGCAGAAGAAACAACCCAGCTGGGTTCATTGTTTCGTGACATTTTCCAGAAATCAGATGTTTGTAAGCCTATGTCTTCCAGCTCAGCTCCATACCTGCCCCAGTGTACTGAGGATGGACTGTACCAGGACGTTCAGTGTCAGGGCTCTGAGTGCTGGTGTGTGGACTCTCGTGGTCTGGAGGTACCAGGTTCTCGCACCACTGGATCCAGGCCGAGATGCCCATCCCAGTGCGAGAAAGAACGTCAGATGGCAATAGCAGTGAAAGCCAGCAGCTCTGCAGGATCTGAGGTCTTCATTCCTAAATGTGAGACTGATGGTGCTTACGTTGCACGGCAGTGTCTTGGCAAAAGTTGTTTCTGCGTGGACAGATCTGGAACCAAACTCGGCATTCAGAGTTCAGGAAGTTCTCTTCAGTGTGAGTCTTGCACGTTAAACACAGATGATTAATTACAGAGCCGGGGAGCATTGTTCCTGTGTTCATACATTTAATTAGGCACACATTTAAATGATCTCACACGTGTGCAATAAACAGTCAAGCAAACATCTCAATGATGCATTCTAGAGACTATGTCTTCTTGTTTAATCGAGCTTAAGTGCTTTTACTTTTCCAAGGCTCTCTGTCAGTAATTTAATTCAAAATAATCATTTATACCTTACAGACTCCTTAAAGGTTAGTATTCTTTAGTAAGACATTTTAAATCATATTTAAAACATTATTAGTTATTAGTTTTCTAATGCAAGTCTGCTTTTGCCTCCATGTTGAAATTTATTTTTTTATATGAAATAAAACTGTCTGGCTAACACATAAATACAGGTTCTGTCTTACAAATGATAAAATATTTGGAAAATGCTACCAGATTTTTTAAAATTTAGGTACTGTAGTTGCAAATGACAAGGTGATTCAAAAAGAATACCACAACTTTGAGTATCGAAGACTCAACAAAAGAAGAGCTAATCGCTTTCTGTTGAAGACTTAAGGAAGCTATGAAGCTTCATTTGGTTGCTCCTTTGGTCGCTAGGAGTGCTGTTGTCACATACAGTTGAAGTCAGAATTGTTAGCCCCCCTGTTTATTTTTTCCCCAATTTAACGGAGAGAAAATTTCTTCAACACATTTCTAAACATAATAGTTTTAATAACTCATTTCTAATATGATTTATTTTATATTTGCCATTATGACAGGAAATAATATTTTACTAGATATTTTTCAAGACACTTCTATACAGCTTAAAGTGACATTTAAAGGCTTAACTAGTTTAACTAGGTTAACTAGGCAAGATATGGTAATTAGACAAGTTATTGTATATCCTTGGTTTGTTCTGTAGACTATAGAAACAAAATTTAGCTCAAAGGGGCTTATAATTTTGACAACTGCTTTTAGCTGAAATAAAACAAATAAGACTTTCTCCAAAAGAAAAAAATATTGTCAGACATACTGTGAAAATGTCCTTGCTTTGTCAAGAAATTTAAAAGGGGGCTAATAATTCTGACTTCAACTGTACATACGCGTGTGTGTGTGTGTGTGTGTGTGTGTGTGTGTGTGTGTGTGTGTGTGTGTGTGTGTGTGTGTGTGTGTGTGTGTGTGTGTGTGTGTGTGTGTGTGTGTGTGTGTGTAGTTCTTGAATAACCCTGTATTTCTACATTTTCAGTAACATTAGTTTTGTGCACTAAATTTAACTTAAATAACTAATACTATAATAAAAAAATATAAAACATATATTGTTATTTTAAAAACTAATATAGGATAGAAAAAACACAATTTCTAAAACTTAAGCTGTTGTTATATAATTAATAAAAAAATGCAAATAATAGTATATAGTAATTTTATTCAATTTTCCACATTATATATACTGTATATGGTTGAAAATAAATTGAACTATGCATTTTAAACTATATATATATATATATATATATATATATATATATATACAAATATTTGTATAGTATAATTTTTTATTCTATGTGTTTTTATTTATTTATGCATACAACATACACACGTTGTATGTAAATTGCAATATGCAAACTTTTATTTTAGATGCAGTTAACCATTTGAGAGTACCAACAAAAAGTGATTCAAATTGTTGTTAAAAATAAATGGAAACTTGATAGTAAAATTAACCATGCAGTTTTCCAACAACAAAAGCTGTTCTACGATAATATACATTATACCATATCACCTATTACTCCGATCTGAAATATAAAAGTTAGGTTGTGACATTTCATTTTTTTAAATTATTTACGTTTTGTCCTATTTAATAAAATCGAAATTATATTAACATATTAAAATAAATCTAAATCTGATAAAAAATAATACTAATAAATCTTCTGATGATCTCTCTTAGGCCCAACCAGCTGCCAGGCCATAGCGATTCAGCAATTCCAGTCTACAATCCGCTCTCTTCTCTCTGATCCACTTTCTGTAACCCAGCTTTCTGAAATATACATTCCTCGATGCTCCTATGATGGCAGCTGGCACCAGATCCAGTGCGATGGACCTCCAGAACAAGCCATTGAGTTCTACCGTGAGTGGGTACGGATCATAAATTTGGGACAAGACCTGCCTGCCTCTGAACTTCTGGGAATTCTACAAACATATGCAAGAAACACACAAGCAATGGCATCATTTAGAGCCTTTGTATCTGAATTGTTCAAAACTGGACACCACAGAGTGTTCCCTGTCCTAGCAAGATTTCAGAAGTTCTCTGATATTCCATCAGATCTGTTAGACGGGAACAGTGAAGCGGTTTATGGACCATCAGTTTACTTAAACCCATTATCCTTATGGCGACTAATCAGATTAGATGATTCTGGTTATCCAGGTCTGCTCTCTGACTTCAGCGTTCCTCTTGGAAGCTTTGATCTACGTCAGTGTTGGTGCGTTGATCTTGAAGGAGACATGCTAGCAGGTAGCAAAGCTCCTGTTGGGCAAATCCCAAAATGTGAGTTATGCGTTTATCATATCCACAACACATTTCTTTGTAATCTGTTGAAAGCGTTCTCATTAGATCTCCTCTGTGTGTCTTTTCAGGCCCAGGTCCTTGCTCTGTGGTTCAAAGACAGGTCTCTGAGTTCCTAAAGCAGGCAGAGGAGCTGATCTCTGCCTCAAACAGCACACATGTGCCTGTGGGTTATGGTTTTCTGCTGGCTGAGAGTGTGTATCTGAGCCCTGAGGAGCTGGAGCAGACGAGATCCTCAATGATCCCTGTCACTCAGACTCTTCTGAGCAACACCGACACAGCACTGAGACTCGCAGCTCATTCCAGTACAGTCTTTGTTTTATCTGTCAGCATAAACATTTGAGGAAACTTCAGTGGAGAGTGTGATTGGGTTTAAACGTTTGAGACAACATCTGAAAAAGCTTTTGGTCACTTTATTTTGATGGTCTGTTTGTTGAATTTAAGTTACATTACATCTACATGCCAACTAATTCTCATTAGATAATAAGTAGACTGGTAGGTTGGGGTTAGGGTTAGTGCAAGTTGACATGTACTTAAAAGTTTCTTATAGTCAGTTAAATGTTAGTTGAAGGAGCATATCAACAGATATTAAGCAGACAGTCTACTAATACTCAAATGAACCATCAAAATTAAGTGTTACCAATCATTTGAGTAAAGGTTTCAGGTTTTTTGCCAATAAAGCAATGTTAAACACGCTTTATTTTACAGTATGTTTACTTGATGTTTACCTACAATGCCTCATAAAACACTGGGTTTTGTAAGATAACTATATTTGAAGAGTTCAGAAGCAAAAGTCTCTAAATGCCATCTGAAATTTTCTTTTACCATTAGCATTTTTCTGAACATCCTTTGTTTATATTTAGCTATTTTAATTAAAGAAAAAAAAGAACTTATTCTTTGCCATAAAAGTGAAAATACTGAGCCTACACACAGGAACCTGAGAAAAACACTCGTTTTAGAAGAACATTTCTAATGTTTTTCAAGCATTTAGAGACTTTTTCATCTGATCTCTTCAAATGTAGTTATCTATATACAAAACCCTGTGTTTTATGAGGCAAGTACATTGCAGGTACACATCTATTAAACATTCTGTAAAATAAGAGGTGCTTAATTGTCAAAAACTGAAACGTTATTTATGTTAGGATCATGGGTAGCTTTATGGCTAGTACCTACAGTAGGTATTACCCACAATGCATATGTGAAACAGAACTATAAAATAAGTGCTGAAAAGTCATTAATGTTATAAAGTAGAAGTACAAGCAGTTTCAGTCACTTTTTAAATAAGATAATTAGTCCTACCAACAATGTGACACTGTTTACAGGCCAATATTTCTATAATGTTGCTAATTTTACCATAGAAAAACTTGGTAGATATTTAGACCCTACTGTGCTTTTTTCCTGATGTTGTTTGTTGGTGTTGTTTTCTCTTTATAAACAATGTTAAAATGGGAGAGAATGCATTTGATATCTTTAGTGTGGTTTAATATTGCAACTAAAACTGAGCATGCTTTCTATTTTTGACAGCCTTGCAATTCTACTGGCAGAGCAGACTTATGGCCAGTGACAGAGATAGACAAAGTTTAATGTTGGGTTACCAGCCTTATATCCCACAGTGTGACGCTTATGGCCAGTGGCTGCCTAATCAGTGCTACCAAAGCACAGGTAAGGCTATTTTCCATAATCTTTTTGGAGCATTAGTTCATTATTGACACTTTTGGCCTTCTATAGCTAGGCCTTTCATAATAATCACAACACGTGGACATGGCCTCAATCATTTTTGGTGATATAGTGTATATCGGCCATACATAAAAAACAGTTCTAGCAACAGTTTAGCTGATTGTGCAACCTCTCTATCTCTATTTATAGTACCCACTCCTTAAGGATGTTTTCATGTGGGTGCCTGACAACTGAAAAAAGATCTGGTACCAGATATTACAGCCTCTGTTACATCTTATTATGCACTTTTTTATTAACATTTATTATTATTTATTTAGGTTATGCATTTTCACATTCCTATTCCAGTGCCCAATTATTACATTGCTAAAATGACTAATTAAATAAATATTCTTAAGATTAAAATATTATTGGTTTTATATTTTATTCTTTGGATCATCCATTTTTATTTGGAATCATCAACGACCCCCACCCCCCCAAATTGAAGAACTTGGTAACAAATGGAGTGATATTCCAAGATTACTTAAGAAATCTTTTGCATGTATATTAATTATTACAATTCTATAGAATACATAAAAATAAATATGTTTTATAGAATTAACTGTAGTCTTCAACCTGATTCATGGCTTAGAATTAATGTTTTGAAGTCTTACCACCCTGTCTCTTTATCTCTACTTTATAGTCAAGCTTAGTGAAAGTTACTTTATCATCATTTTACATAAACTTTAGTTTTGTTGAGTTGCAAAAATCACTGCATGCCGACATCTCTGCAAAAAAGGCTGTTACTCTGGTTTCATGGCGCAGGAACTGTGCGTATTTTATCATGATGCGCATAGGAAGTTTTTTCTGTGAGTATGCGTCAGTTTGCTTTCACCAGAATTGTTACAGTTGCACATAGAGAATGACAAACTTGTTCTTGCAAAAGACGGCAAATTTAAATGGCCCCTATCGTCTTTCTGGGATTACCACTCTAAATTAATACACTTGCATAAAGTAATGTAATGTAATGTAATGTGTATTTATATAGCGCATTTATTGTGTATGGCCATACACCCAAAGCGCTTCACAATCATGAGCGGGGTCTCTCCACACCACCACCAGTGTGCAGCATCCACTTGGATGATGCGACGGCTGCCACAGGACAACGGCGCCAGTGCGCTCACCACACACCAGCTATTGGTGGAAAGGAGAGACAGTGATAGAGCCAATTCGGTGGTAGGGGATGATTGGGAGGCCATGATCGTAAGGGCCGATAGAGGGACTTTGGCCAGGACACCGGGGTTACACCCCTGCTCTTTCACGAGAAGTGCCATGGGATTTTTAATGACCACAGAGAGTCAGGACCTCGGTTTAACGTCTCATCCGAAAGACGGCGCCCACTGACAGTATAGTGTCCCCTTCACTTTTACTGGGGCATTAGGACTCACACAGACCACAGGTTGAGCGCCCCCTGCTGGCCTCACTAACACCACTTCCAACAGCAACCTAGTGTTCCCTAGTGGTCTCCCATCCAGGTACTGACCAGGCTCAGCCCTGCTTAGCTTCAGTGAGTAACCGGTCTTGGGCTGCAGGGTGACATGGCTGTGGCTAAATCGTATCATTTTTTTTGCACCGTTTCCTTTGCCATCCCCAGCAAGATGCCACCCTGGATGATTGCCCATGCCTAAATCCACCACTGATATAACTAGTGGCATAAAATGGTCTTAAAATGACAATAATATTGTTTATCGCAACATATTTTGGTGCAAAATATCATACAACAAAAAATAGATATCATAACAGGCCTAGCTACAACTGTTGTATCATGCTGGGTTACACATGTGTCTATTGCCTCATTACAAACATGCATTGCAAATTTCACAATATACATTTTATAATAACAAAATATGCATTTAAACAGACCTTATGCATCTTTGGGTTGTTGCTGAACACATTTATAAGTTAGTCAATTGTAGCCTGGGGTGTGCATATTAATGATCCCATGTGGGTTAGGATTCATTTTTTATTCTTATTGGGTGGTTTTTCCACCAATATTTTACATCCATGAGCATAAATAGTATCTTACTGTATGGCATTTCCATGGACTGGAAGCGTATTATTCAACTATATGTAGGTATATCCACATTTTCTTTCTACAGCTAATTTTTTTTAACAAAAATATAACTCTTACAGAGCAAACAATAATGCAAAATGAATGTGCAGATCACCTACTTGTTTTTGCTTTGTCTGAAAGGTCTCTGTTGGTGTGTTGATGAAGAGGGTCAATACATCGCTGACTCTCTGACGTCTCGTTCCTCACTACCTCAGATGTGTGAGCATCCAGTCTCATGTTTCTTTATAGTCTTAATATCGAAGTAGTTTGAGGAGGTTTGGCGTTTGCCACTTTTGGAGTGTAAATATGTATTTAATCTGATTTGTAACAATTTTTCTCCCAGGCCAAACTTTATGCCAGAGGCTCCAAAGTCACACTTTGCTCTCTGACTGGAGACAAACAAGCTCTAATATCACTTACACATACAGACCGTCATGTGAAGAGGTGAGGATTCTTTTTTATTGTAGATATGCATCATTGTTGTTGTGGATTTCAATAAAAATATCTTATCGTATGTGTGCATGTGTTTGTAGGATGGTGAGTTTTCAGTACTCCAGAAGGCCACTTCTGGCCATATGCAGGGGTTTTGTGTGAGCCCAATAACTGGACGATTCATTCAACCAGCCATCACCAATTCCTCTGGAGAACTGCAATGTAATTCTTTCTTCCATCCATATGTAAAATGTGATTTCATGCAACATCACAAACACTTCATGGTCTTTCTTAGTTCTACTGCCGAAGAAAGAAAAGCAGTAAGTTAATAGGAGTTGTGTTCCATGTCACGAGCAGCATTTCTGCATTGCTTTGAACATTGAAGTTGGAAAATCTTAAAAGACCAGCATTTCCCACAATTCCATTCCAATCTATCTTGCAGCCTGTTTCAATCTGTCATTAGCATCCATTCAAATGCTACTGTGACTTCTTGTGTGTGGATTTCTCAGAGGCCCTTCTAGGTCTTTAAGATATCGTAAAAAAAAAAAAAAAAAAAAAAACGGACGCTGCGATATTCAGTTTTCCTGTGATATATGCAATGTAGCTACTCCATTTGGGAACAACTGATCATTTTAGATTAATGTGATGATTTTGAAGCATCTGCATAAAATATAAGAACTCATAAATACAAAAGAGCAAAGATACGAATGAAATCGGCAGTTCATTATGGTTGTCTGGTCAGTATAATAGCTTGTAGGTAAATAAATTGAATAATCAAATATAAAATGACACTTTCGTCGTTGTCATATAAATAAATAAATTAAACATTACATTTTATATTAAAGTGACACATTTTCTTGTAAATACTCACACAGTCACACATGAAATTTATAAACTTCACTCTGTTATTGTTAAAGTTAAAGATTCAAGAAACCCTGGAGTACTTTTTTTTGGAGATTTTAACAGATTTGTGTGTGTTGAGCACCAGTTAAGACAACCTTAGCACCTGCCAGGATAATTTCGACAGCTAATTTCCTCTTCTAGGATTAAAATCATTTTTGGGGATCAAAATCGGTGACGTAGTGCAAAACTGCAAGTGGAGTGATGACGTGTCAGTTTCTCAATATTATGCATAGCGAAGTTTTCAAATCCTATGAGAAGACCCTGCTTCATAATTATTCATGAGAGCATGTGCTTTCCGAAAGCAAAGCAGGCCTGCCAAGCTGTGAGACCCAATGACTGGGTGAGTCTATGCACTGCTATATACTGTGTCTGCATTCAGATCCAGAGATTGAGGAGGAGAGAAGTTTCTATAAACACGATTATCTTTGTAATGATATAACAAATTGTGGTTATGTGTATATAAAATTATGAATAACACATGTAGCAGGGCATTAAGTTACTATGTAGGTATGTCCAGATTTTACTGGACATACCCGCATTACTTACCCACTTACTTATACCTACATTACTTATTGTTTTTTTCTTTGCATTTTAACTTTTTAAACTATAACATCATGGATCTCCTCATGGTTTGTGTCTCATTTTGTGAACCAACTGACAACTGTTGTTCGATCCACTCTTTTTCCTCATAATTCTGACGCAACATTGCAGATATGTACATTAACAAATTCTTACTAAAAGGATATATTGTGTAGCCCTACTTTCTTCTTAATTCATTACCCTCTACATCAGTTAAATACAAATGAATAATGTGAAACACTAGTGTTATCAAATAGACAAATCTATGTTAAATAGTTTACACCCAAGCAGGAAAGCAAGAAAAGGAAAAGAATGTTGGGTGGCAGATAAAACATGCATTTTCTCACTTTCTTTAATGCACTTTCTCACAACACATCCTATGATGATTAAATGTTCAGTCAACAGACAGAAAATAGTTAGCCTTTTGGGACTGTTTAAACACATTAGACCATGTTAGCATTATGAAAAGGCCAAAAGTAGACTGTCTTTATACAGCCTTCTATTATCAGTCTGATTAAAACACTTTAAACAAGCTTACTACACATACTTTGTTCTTAGCATACAGTTTTCATAGGATTTTATGCAGAGAAAATCTGCATATTTTATATATAGATATAAATGAACTGCTTATAAATTATAACAAGAAACATAGTTCATAGAAATGCAACTCTTTACATCTGACCGTTGGTTCACAAACATGAGTTTGAAAATTTTTGAAAATCTTTGCCAAAACTCAAAGCAAACCGTACTTTAACATCTGATAGGAATATTATTTCAGAAGTAACATATACTACAATATCTTTAAGCAAGGCATTGAAAAAGTATACCCATGAAGGAACATATATTCAACAAGTTCATGTCTTATGCTGTGCGCTGTAGGTCCAGGCTGGTGTTCTCTGCAGAAAACTCTGGCACTGCAAAGAGAAGTTGCTCTCGGGTATGAGCCTGAATGTGTGCAGGATGGGCAGCACTTTTCACCCCTGCAGTGTGACCTGTCAGATTGTTGGTGTGTTTCTGATAGTGGAAAGGAGCTTCCAATGACACGATCACCCCGCAGCACAGGACAAACCCCAGCCTGCAACAGTAAGTTATTAGAACACACTCTACATTTCTTTACATTTTTGGCAAATGCATTTGCCATCAGTTTTGTTTATTTTCAGTTCCTGAGTGCCCTCTTCCATTTGGAGACATTTCCCATGGTGCCGTACTCTGTAGCTCTACAAATGTTCCGGGTCAGCAGATGCAGCGCTGTGAGCTGTACTGTGACCAAAGTTACGTCAACACCCTTCCTGTCGCCAGCTTCCTCTGTGATCCCCAGGCGAAAAACTGGCTTGAAGATGCTCCACTTTCTAATGCCTGCCAAAGTAAAGGCCACACACACGCTGTCCTATTTACCTGTTATAACGCCATTGGAGCTTTTCTTTTGCTCTAGATTCTGAGCATCTGTGTTTCTGTGATGTCTATCAGAGCCTCAGGTATTGCAGACAGTGCAGGTGAGCGTGCAGCTCCAGCTGTCTCTGAATGAGGGTCAGCAGAGTTGCAGCACTCAGAGTGTTGATCTACAGGCTGCCTTGCTGAGAGACATGAGAGCTACAGGCCTCTGCAGCCTACAGGTACAATATAAACCGTCTACTGACAGATATTATTAAAAACATTTTATAAATAATTAATATGTATTTTTAAGTTCTAAAACGGTTTTAAAAACACAAGAAAAAGCATTTATTTTATGGAGGTCACGTCTCTTTGGGGTAAACAAGAACTTTTATGATGTTGTTTTTTTAAAGGTGTTCTTAAAAGCATTGGCAGGTTTGGTATCACAGTGTGGTTTGGTAACATCTGTACAGTTTAAATCTAAGTTGATGCAACAGTTAAGGACAGGATGAAATATTGTTGGGCACGATGAATATTATAATCCTCATGTTTTATATGAGAACGATGTCCTTAATCAGGTGGAAAGGATTCTGTATGATCCAACTTATTTTTTGTTTCCACGTTATAAACTGCTTCCCTCTGGTAGGAGACAGAGTACCTGTGTAGGTAGAACGGAAAAGAAATACTTTGTAGCTGTTTCAGTGAGTTTATCTTAATTATCATTATTATTATTATTATGCTATTATAATACTATTATAGTATTTGGCTGTTAATTCGTGGTTCTACTAAAGCTAAAGCAAATTTAAAAGAAAACTGTCGAAATAATACATCTATATTTATATATTTTGGTATGTATGTATCCAATTGTCTGTCTGTGTGTCTATATAAAATTCAGTTGGTAGTGGATTAGTGTATATAATTAATGTAAATGTGCATTATATTAAATATTTAAACATTACATTTGTTAAGGTTTCTATTATTATAGTTTTACAGGATTGTTTGTCTAAGGATTATAATTTTTTTTGCAATATCTAATCTTAAACAAATAGATTTACTTTGACAGCCCAGAAAAAGCTCATTTTTTGTAGAATGTTTATTTAAATTGTAAATTTATTTATAATTTATTTTATATGATTTATAATGTAAGAGTTTTTTGTTTATTCATAAACCGCTTTGTAGGAAAAAAAGTATAAGAACACAAAATAATTAACATAGAATTACTCTAATCTGATAATTTTTTCTGATCTTTCTTTAGTAAACCCTATTTTGAAAACCTCTTTTTTAATCTAATACTGTTATTTCCCACTATTGCACTTTTAGTAAATAACACTATAATGTGCAATTGGTATTATTCACACAAACTGCATCATAAGTATCATATTTAATATGTAGGTGTCACAGTATCACAAAAATGTGCTGCTCTATAAAATACATCTCACATATGAGAAAAAAAAACATTCAAAAGACACTTTTTTTTTATTGGCCTTCTGTCATAGTTTAAATGTCTTAAAATGTTGAATAAATGTGTGTTATTAATTTGCATACTTGTGTCTTCTTGTTTGTTAGCTGACCTCCTCAGGCCAGACCAGCTCTGTTTCAGTCTGTGACGAGTCGTCTGTGTCTCTTGAGTGTTCGAATGACAAGGAAGTCACTGCACGCATCACCTTAATGGCCCGCCTTTCTGACCTACCATTGGCTGCTCTTCCTGATCTCCATGACATTGGTTAGAGCATCCTTAATGTCCCTGTTCTAGTCAATTTTCTGTAAATGTAATATACTTTATATCTACGATAATAACAAAATCATAACATAAATATTGCACAAAATCACTAATATATGCTTTCTGAACATATGCATGCATTTTTTTTTTCAGATACGGCTCTTAGCGAGGAGAGGTTGTTAAATGGTTTGAAGAAATTAATCCTAAGTGGGTCATACCAGTCCATCTTTCTCTCCGACCATTCTCTCGCTCTCTCCAGTCCTCCTTCATTTAGCTGTATGACAGGCTATTCGCAGCTCCCACAATCCACTGGGTGTGGTAGGTTGGCTTCTGTACCACTCGGCCATCTTAATGACAGACTGGCCTGTACACCATAAAGGAAAATAGCTTCACTGGTGTTTCCGAATATGCACCTATAAAGTTTTCTTTAACTGGTGCATTTTTTACCCTACTGGCTTGTGCAAAAATAGAAACGTGGCATGCGAAAAATGTAGAAATGTGTTTGTGACGGATGTATGTAATGTTTTAAACTGCATGTAATATCTATTATCTATCAATCTTTTCTGTATTTCAAACATTGCCTTCTTTTTCTACTTGGCACTATCATTAGTCTTGCTTAATCACTCTGTGTTTGTGATTTTATTCTCTCTCACAAACAGTGTTATGTCCAGCTGGGTCTTTTTTCAGTGGTGGTGTGTGTACTCCGTGTCCGCGTGATACTTTTCAAGAGGATGAAGGGCAGGTCTTTTGCTCTCCCTGTCCCGCAGGAACCTCCACTGTGGCCCAGGGAGCCTTCAGTGCTTCTCATTGTGAGTAAAGGCTAGATTTAACTAGTTATACATGGCAACTCGGTCAAAATGTAAATCACAGCTTTCAGAGGCATAGGAGTGATTCGTTTGGGAATTTTTTTTAAACTGTTTTTAGTGTTTAGACATTTTTTTGTCCTTTTAAGGCCTTACTGAGTGCAAGAAGAGTAAACTGAGTTGTACAACGAAAGGAGACTTCCTATCAGCACAGAAGGACCCTGTGTCTGGAAAATGGAGGTGTGTTTCTGCACAGGGGGAGGAACTTACTTGGACGTCATCTGATGGTCTGTTGACTGTTGAAGAATGTAAAGGTATCCTGCACCATCATTATTGCATAGTAAAAAAATTAAATAAATAAATAAAAGCTTATATGTTTTAAACCAGCGGTTCTCAAACTTTTTTCACCAAGTACCACCTCAGAAAAATATTGTCTTTCCAAGTACAACCATAATGACCAGTATTAAAATAAAGTAGCATAGTTGGCCAAAATAAGCAGTTACAACACTGCACAGTTCCAGGCAGAGTCATATTCATTTAACAAAATTATATTCCATACAAAATATAAAGCTTATCAGTCGGTTCTTGTCATGTGACTTGTGGTGCGGCATTCTGAAAATTTAAGATGTTTTCAATTGGGGACGTCTGGAATACACAAGCGCATCGTGATGCAGTACTTATTTGTTTTGCTAGCCAGTTGGTCAAATTTTGGTGCTCAAGTGACCAAGAATCATTTTTATTTTTTTTTAAATGATCAATCAGACTGAGATTATAAATAAAACATAAATAATTTATGATTATTTGTGCAACCTGGTACCAATTGATCTTTAGACAAGAGCCAGTCTGTGGTCCAATGTTAAGGGAACACTTCTCTAACACGTATCTGCTCTGCAAGCACCATGCACCTCTTTCTCTAGTCATGCGCCAATTGAATTGCTTTTTAGCAGCTAATGAAATGATGCACTAAAGTAAACATTCTAAGCACAGCGCTTTGATCGTAGGCTTTAGAGAACAGCCAATGCTGATCACATTGGTATTATCGTAGTCGTACGCATCAAATAATTAAAATTAAATTCATTTTTTCTTTCATTATTCAGGGATTCCTCCATGTACCACTAGAATTAAGCCTGCGTACCACTAGTGGTACACGTACCACAGTTTGAGAACCACTGTTTTAAACAGTGTGGCAGTAGTTTGGGTGATTTTTAAGTAGTGTAAATAGTGCCGATCACTAATCTGCAATCTGGCCGATCTCATGAACCAAACGCAGGTGTTTGTTTAGTAGTTTACAAGCTTATGTATGGCGAGATCTACTCTTAAGCTTTATTCTCAGAGGGAAAATATGCTTAATGCATTATAAAGCTTGAAGCATTAGAATCAATACTCTTATCAGCCGATTACCATGACAAGGAATCAGTACTCTGTATCAGCTGCAAAAATCCTGATCGAAGCATCCCTACAGGCAGTTTATTTATTTTTTTGACGTATCAATTTTGAGATGTTTATAATGCATCGCTATGGATCTGGAGGAGGTCAATCCAGGCTTTTTCCAATTCCTGAGGCTCTGTGCTGGTTGTGGAAATTCAAGATTGACCCTAATATAATTACGATTAGCTGAAATCGGCAATGAAATCAATTTAATTAAATTGAATGAATTAACGAATTAAAGAATAGAAAGAAATTGGCCTTGAAATCATGTCAGCTGGAATACTAAGGGCCGTTGAAAATATAAAAAAATGTGCTCATCTATTATCTCTTGAGCCGTCCTCTGCATCCAATTGTTTACAAAAAACATTTGAATATAAAATAATCATTAATAAAGTTTGGAATGTTTTAAGCAGATTGCAAAAGTGTTCATAGCTAGCTGTTTACATTAATCTTGTGATATAAAAAACAATTTACATGACTTGCGCAAGTGCTCTCAAATTCTCTGAGTCCACGAACAATCGTTTATTTGAATTATTTTTTGGCATATATTTAATAACCAAATTATAAAAGTTTAAATAAGTACAGTAAGTCAGCATTAATATTAAAAACCTATTTTCTAAATACAAGATGTTTATCACTTGCAAAAAAATAGCTAAATAATCAAATATCTTTGATTTGACAGACTTTACTCTGGTAAATAATACAGATTTACTGATCTTATTCAGAGAGCCTTTTTTGTTTTAGTACTGATCCAAATGCAATACTGTGTGTACTCATATCATAACTGTTATTTTTGAGGGTTCCTGGAATGCAGTATTGTTTTAACTTAAATCAGTAATTCTTTATCAGCATGAAAGCACAAACGACATATGCATTTGTGTGTGTTTAGCATATCGCTCTTTGTGTGTTTGCAGTAATGGAAAAGTTTGAGGTGGTTTCCTCATCCTCCCTGCTGCTGAAATCAGAGAGTGCTGACACACTGAGCTCTGATTCCTCAAGTCAGCCAAAGGAAACACAACTCAGGAAATGTGTGCTTGGTGAGATGCACTCCTTAATATTGCAGCAGTGCACCTGCGCTTGAACGAATCAGATGTGTTTTCTTCATGACTAATACTGATCACATCTCTGATCTCTGTTAGATTGTACCCAGGACGATTCCTGCCTATATGTGGCTGTTTTCAGTGATGAAGAGAAAACTCACTGTGAGATGTACAGCACAAGTGCAGATAATGTTGAATGCAGGACCACTGAACCAGTATGTGCATTCCCATGTGTGAATTTAATATTGCATCCTGTGAAAGCATATTTGTGTGTCTTAAATAATAATATTATTAATAATAATTCATTATTCATTTATTTAACACTTTTCTTAATGCACAAAGCACTTTGCAATGTGTAAATGCACTAAATATTTTCAATATGCAGGTTGTCCAAATATTGTTGCATTTCTTTAAGGAAGTCATTTATTATTATTATTATTATTATTATTATTATTATTATTATTATTATTATTATTATTATTATTATTATTATTAATATACCTTTTTTACCAGGAAAAGCACACTTAGATTAAAAAATCTCTTTTACATTAGCTTCCTGGCCAAGATTAGACAGTATACAGTTCACATGGGTTTACAGGTAACAATGACAGTTAAAACTATTCAGAACATCTACAGGCCAATGTTTTAAACTCCAAATCATTTAAAAAGCATGCAGTGAAACCAACTATTTAAACTTCCACTTTTGTTTGTAGGTTATTCCATGCAAAAGGTGCACCATATTTAAAAGCTTTTTTCCTAGTTCAGTACGCTCCACTGGTACAGACAATAAAAAAAACTTCCTGAGAGCGAAGGCTATAGCTATAAACAGTTTGGAGATGTGAGAGGAGTAAACCCAGAATTAATTTATAAAAAAGAAATGCCAACACTTGAGCCTACGAGTGGACAAAGCAGCCTATCCTACTCGAGTGTACAACTCACAATGATGAGTGAGGGATTTAAGATTTGTTATAAACCTTAGTGAACCATGGTAAACAGTGTCTAAATCATGCAAACTCTGAGAAAATGCATGCATAAAAATAACATCGTAATAGTCCAATACAGACATAAAAGTTGCAGAAACAAGCTTCTTTTTTGTATCAAAAAAGGCAGGATATATCCCTTTAACTGCCCCACCAAGAAAAAAATTGCAGAAAAGATTTCTTTACTCCTTATGTTGCTAATTAACACACTCATTGCATTTTTTTTCCAACACATCCCATCATTTCTGAAATATCGACCTATACCAAATGGTTGATATGTCGGTTTCTGGTAAAAGTACCGGTTTTAATACAGATAGTAGGAAAAATCTGAAAATATGAAGTGTAAGACCAATTCAAAATAAAACATTTTTGAATTCCAAATGATCTTTTTTTTAAGTATGCCAAAAAATATTTCAGATTCTCATTTAACATGTTTCTTGTAGTGTAATAGTGCAACAGGATGTTTATTTGAAATTTTTTTTAAACCAACAATGCTGTGTATGTAAGCTATTATTTAAAACAGTCATTCTTTAAATGACTTTAACAGTCATTATTTAAAACAGTAAAAACATGGTCAACCATTTGGAAGAGGGCCAGGTAAAGGGTTAATTCTAAAATCACTTTTCACTAATTTCTGAACATGAGGGCAGAGTCTTGATTAGGCCTTGTTTATTTAATTTGAATACAGTAAAACAGCAATACTGTGAAATAATAGTGATATATATTTTAAATAGTAAATTATTACTGTGCTGGCAAAGCAGATGAGTCAGTACACAACATGATCTATAATAAGCTCAATATGTGATCAAGAAAAAATCCAATATATAAGCATTGTTGAGATTAGTTTTTTATTGAAAGAAAATTCCAAATGTTTGTTGTTATTTTTATTTATAATAGATATTATATACACTACCGGTCAAATGTTTGGGGTGAGTTTTTTATTATTGTATTATTATTTATTTAAAATCACAGCGGCATTTATTGAATGTACAAAAAGATTTTAAGTAGTTTAAGATTAAATTATATTAATAATTTATTGCTTTATTGAATAATATTGCTTTTAGTACTATTAATAATAATAATAACAATAATAATTAATATTAAAGTGATTTCTAAAGGATCATGTGATTAAAGACTGGTCTAATAAAGCTGACAGTTTCATCTTTAAAATCACTAGAATAAGTGATTAAATGATAAACTACTTTTGAACAGTTATTTTATAGTGCAGTAACATTTCACAATTGTACAATTTGTACTGTATTTTTGATTAAATAAATACAACCTTGTTGAGCAGGAGAAGCTTATTTTAAAACATTTAAAATTCCTACTGAACCAAATTTTTTTGTAGTTTAAATAGATTAAATATTTTTAGAATTATATTAGTTTGAAATATAAATGTTATGTAACATAAATAGCCACATTTAATCAATTAAATGGATGTTTGCTAAGTAAAATAATTAATAAAAGGTCATTAATAATTAAAAATAGAACTATAGTGTACTGTACTACATGCTTTCTCCATTAGCTACTGTATATCGTCACTTTAAATGTACCTGATCATCTCTTCAACATAAATCATAATTGTCCCTCACATAAGCTAATAAATATAATATACATCACATTTTTATTTAAGAAATAATACATAAATCCTATTTAAATGTTATTTCTAGTGTTATATTTGGCATTGGGTCTTTTTTATGTGACTTGATGGCACTCACACCTCCTTTCCCAAAAGTGACATAATTATTGCCAAAGGAGAAAAAAAGTCTTGTGGTTTGTTTGGCCTTGCAGAGCAAAGGATTTCTGGGAAACGACGGCGCTGAGGCGTTCCAGACTCTCATCTGTGTTCTGAAAATAAAAGGAGATGAACCTGATCTCACAGTGCTGAGAAAGAAAGGTAAAATCATCAGCTATTAGTTACTCACTGCAGTTAAATGTGTTGATACACAGTATGTGTTGTATAGTTTGAACGCGTTCGAGAGGAGAATTAATATTATTAGAAAACAAAGAGTGTGTTTTAATGAAATTAAATCAAAGATAAGTATCAGAATTGAGCCGTGACCTAAAAGATTAAGTTGTGGTTTTGTAAGTAATGATTTTAACTAAGTGGTCTAGTCGTCTGTGGACACAAGAATAAAGCAAATTGTCATAAAAACATTCCTCAGACTTGCTCTGTTAAGAGATAAATATTTTTCCCTGTGAATTAAATGACTTGGTACTTTAAGGCTCTCAGTTTTTGGTTATTTTTGGCGACCCTAAAAGCATTCAGATGCACTTGTGTTTCTTGGCCATGGCATAAAGAACATCGCTGCTTCTTTCTTTCTCTTTTACTCTCCACCCTTCATCCTCTGACAAAAGGTTATGAATTCAGCACAGCGGGCCTGAAGAGATTTGAGAGGCTGAATTTCCGCAAGGCTGGTTCTGGAGTGTATCGCACACTTGTGTTTGATGCTCGTGGATCTGCTCTGGCTGACGTCCATCGCTTCTGCGTCGACTCTTGCGGTCGCGAGACCTGCTGTGATGGATTCATCCTCAACCAGAATGTCCTCAACGGAGGTCAGATTCCTTGTCAGTCAGTGCATGCAGATATCACTTAGATTCCACCACTCAAAAACCAAGAAGTATCATTCTTACTGCAGTTGATTGAGGCCTGTGGTGATTTGTCTAATTGAGCATATTTTATAAATGAAGGTTTGATAACACTTTAAAATAAGGTTGTATTAGTTAATGTTTATAAATGCATTTGTTAATATGAACTAACAATGAACAGCACATTTACTTCAGTATTTGTTTATGTTAGTTGACGTTAGTTGATGAAAATACAGTTGTTCATTGTTAGTACATGTTAACTAATGGTGCAATAACTAATGGTAACAAGCATGAATATGGATATTAATATTGTATTAGTAAATGTTGAACTGTGATTAATAAGTGCTGTACAAACATTGTTCATAATTAATTAATGTTAGTAAGTGAATTGATTAACATTCTAGTGAAATCTCATTGTAAAGTGTGACCAAGGTTTTAGTATTTTCTAAAAAAGAAAATTAAATATATATATTTTTAAACATTTCAGTAGTAAATTTTGTAGAGCTACAGAGGCAATTTGTCATTTTGACAGTTTTTATATTTTGGTAGCACTTTATAACTGCACACTATGAATCATCTTGTAAGCAAGAACAAATAGTCCATTCATTATTTGTTAAGCAATAACTCAACATTAATAGACGTTAGTAAGTAGTTTATATATAATTGCAGATACAAATGCTCTGTTCTTGACTTAAAAACACATAAAAATGTGCTTAATGTGTGTTCTTTCATATTTTGTTACTGATTAATTTTTTATGACTAAATTAAGTATCACATTATTTACAAACAATTTGTATTTAAAAGTAGTTGTTTTTTTAAGATCATTCAAAATTTTAGTGAATTAATAATAAACTATTCAAATCAACATTTCTATTTTATTATTCAGGCATACACTAATAGTTAATTTGCCAGTTAAAAAATGCTTTATTAACTCGACTTCATCCAGTTTTGTGACCTAATCTAAAGTAAGGGCTATATATGCTTAGTAAATTCCTAATAAATGACTTTTGAAGGCCCTAAAAGTGGTTATTTGGCTTGTAATCATAGGGAACCACTTTACAGTAAGTGCTGCATAGAAGTAATATCTGTGAAAGCTGGTGCTTCTGTATATAGCACCTTAGCCATCCCAAAAAAAGCTACAGAACAATCATTACCGCTATGTAGCACTTAAGTTAGTTCCCATATGATTACAAGCCAAAGAAGTAGCTCACAAAGCTTAGAAGAAACTTTTTTTGTTGTTATTTTTGCATAGGATCTCTGGAGTGACAGAATAAGTGACATAACCCGCCACCCTCCCGTTTTGTTATTTTTCCCGGAAAACTCCCGTAATTCCCCCCCCCTCTGTCCTCAGCTTTTTGGCACCGTCTGTAACACCACCAGGTCCCCAGAACCCAGTGGCCACTCAATAGTACAGTTACTAACACCACAGGTCTACCGGATTTTCAAAGACAATGTTGGCAGGTATGCTTTAGATTCGGTGACAAAACAGGATGAAGTAATAAAGTGTTTATTAACATACAAATTAACTATTAGTTAATGACTGAATAATAAAATATATAAATATTAATTTGAATAATTTATTAATCATTTACCTATGCATTATGTATGATCTTTAAAAACCGTTAACTTCTCTCAAATAACTGGTTTGTAAATGATGCAATACTTAATTTAGTAATGAAGAAAAATACATTAAAGTATGAGAATACAACCATTAAGCACATTATACACGTGCTTATAAGTCATGAATAGAGCATTTTTATCTGCAGTTATAAACTGCTTACTAACACCTATTAATGTAGAGATAATTAACATAATGAATTCACTATTTGATAATGCCTAATAAATGGTTCATGGTGTGAAGTGTTATCATATTATTATATTACAAAATGATTAAATATTTAGAGTAATAATGAGTAAATAAACTATGGTGACAGACATTAAGCTTAATTCTAAAATCTAAATAGATGCATGGAATGTAAATATGTTGTGACAAAAATGTTATTCTTATATGAAAGGTCAAAATCACGAGATACAGAATTCTGGTAGTTCCAGTGCTCATACTTCTCAGTTTAATGCATTTAAACTAGATTAAGAAAGTGATATCATATATAATTTTTTATCCCATTATTCTCATTACTTCAATCATAGAAATACTGTTGTTGTTGTCATGTTTTCCAGGCTCTATCATGTGTGGTTTTCTGACTGCTCCGACAGTGCTGCAGTGCAGTGAATCAGACTGGGATGTGAAGAGTCTTTCCTCTTCCAGCCGCATCTGTGGTGCTGGTGTTCAATACAGCAAACAGCTCAAACGTTTCACTTTCAGCTTTGGCGGACAGAACTTCACCATCAGTATGAGTCTACGTCCACAAACACACTCCACAGTCATTTAAACACTGTTAGAATCAGCTGTTATCTTTCATTTAGCAGCGGTTTAGTTTACATTTGTACTTGACAGCATTATATAGGTGCACCTCCCCTCAAACGTTTACCAGTTTTTATCAGAATTCAACACGCTCAATGTTATATGTTCAGTATGCTTATAGTGTTTACTCAATTTGATTATAAATTGACTTGATAAATCTTAATGTAGAATGTGCAGTGTTTAAGATCAGTGCTTGATTTGTTTACATTTAAACTCAATCCTCTATTGTATGGCAAATGTTAATGAGGTATAAAAAATGTATTTCTTGCAGCTGATGCAGCCTTACCAGCATCCAGCAAAAACAAAACCGGTTACCAGGAAACTCTGATCAGCTTCCAGCGTGTCTACCTTTGGAAAGGTCTGGATGTTCTTCAGCAGTCGCCTGCCATGAACAAGTGATATATCTGGATGATTAATGATCTAGATTTGATTATTTTATTTCTTAATGACTATAATTTATCCCATCAGAGTCTGATATGAACACGCGTGCAAAAACTCTCTCGGCTTGCAGTGGATCTGCTGTTGGCGAGGATTCTAGAAGTGCACTTTCTGGTAAAAATGAGTGAAATTAGGCTGTATATTACATAGTTATGTATAGGAACTGTTGTTTCAAGCATCATATAAGTAAACAAGTTTTTACAGTGTAATCTAATTCTCTTTTATTTATTTTAATAAGTGCAGGTCAGAATAAGTATATAAGTACATGAAAACATACATAAATATAAATATAATATAAGTTCAGATGCAAAAATCTTTAAATCCATCAGACCTCTTTTCTTGTAAATGAGCATTTTCTATCAGGCTCCTCTGATTAGGTTTAGATGTTTCATTTTATATGTTATGATAAGGTTATTAGCAAGTACATAAAATACCTTTTTTTCAAAAATGTCCCTTTAGACAATTCTTTGTTTTTTGACAAGGTAAATTTTCTTTTGCGTCAAAACCAGCTAAATCAACGTCTGCTTTTTATGCGAAACCCTCTAATTACACTGTCTTGTTCCAATAAGGGGATTTAGTTGAAAATGAAGATGCCATTAGATATTATTTTTTTCCAAATATAAAACACATTTCACAAACCACCTGAAATTTAAAATAAATAAATCTGTCAAGTAAGTGGCGGTTCATTCCGCTGTGATAAACCAGGGACTAAGCAGAAGGAAAATGAATGAATGAAATCTGTAAGTGCATTAATCAATAACATTAAAACTGACGTTAATTAAATCTTAACAATCTGTTTTCATTTCTGATATTTGGGATTTAGATTTAATGTAAGTAATGTAAACATTGTAAGCTAAGCTTGGTAGATTCAAATAATATTTTGTAAAAACACTGAAACATCAATATCTGTGCATTGTCCATTATTAGAAAAAGCTTATCTGATCTATAGGTATTATGAAGTAATATAAATAACGTATAGTTTTATACATTATATTTATCTTTTAAAATATGGCTTAAATTAGCAAATAAAACTCAAGGGATGCCTCTTAGTCATTTTAGAAGCTGTCATTCATTCATTTTCACCATACTTAAGCTCTTGGTCCCGTGTTTATCCTCATAGCATCCACGTGGGATAAAAAAACAGCATCTTAACTCTGTCTTTCGTTAAATGGAGTTGCCTTTTAATTGTATTCATTTAATTCACAAATGTACCCGTCTAATCAATTTAGTTTTCCCTTAAATGGATGAAAAATGAAAATTTGGTCATTGTTTACTTACCATCTGCTTGTTCCAAACCTTAATTTTTTTTTCTTCTGTTGAACACAAAAGAAGATATACCCAAGAATGCAGGGTAGAAAAGCATCCATTGACTTCCATAGTGTCTTTTCCCCTAATATGGATGGCAGTGGCTGCTTTTTACAAACATTCTACATAATATCAAAAAGTTTTGGTTCAACAAAAGAAATACATTTATTAAAGATTAGAACTACTTGAGTGTGAGTAAATGGTTTTCTTTTTGGGTATTCAAGTTTTTGTTTTGGGTCAACTATGCCTTTAAAAAACAATATGTCTTTCATCAACATTTCGGTAACACTTTAGTTTAGGTGACAATTCATGTTATTAACAAACATTAACTAACACTAATAGCTTAATAAACTACATATTAGCTGTTAGTTAATAGTAAGGTAGATGTTAGGTTTAGGTATTGGGTAGAACTAGGGACGCAGAATAAGATCATACTTTTGTAATGTCTAATATACAGTTAATATCTTAATAATAGGCAGGTAATTATCTAGTAGTTAATAGCATGAATCATGGCCTAAACTAAAGTGTTACCAGCAATTCTTCTGTATTGTCCTCTTAGACTCAGTGAAGGAGGCTTTTGATGTTCTGGACAGTGGCGATGTGAATGTAGACCCTGAGAGAGAACTTCCCAATCAGCTTTACTGGATCTTTAAACACCAGTACTCTTTCCAGGAGGCTCAGCTTTGGTGTCTGAAACGTAGGATGCAAAATTTCATGAGAAACTCTTCACTTGCTACTCTTCACTGTCTTTTTTATGTGTAGGCTGGGCAAGTTTCACTTTCTGATTTGCTTTCAGGATGTGAAGAAGAAGAGCTGTGTCATGTTTCTGACATCCGTGATGAAGGCCCTCTGTATTTTGCATGTGTTTTATATCCTGACACACGTGTGTGCGGAGCATATGACAAACCTCTCAGACAGACATGCAGTTTAGTGATGACACAGAGTCTGCAGACCGCATACCAAAAGAAAGGTGAGTCATTTAAACACAAAAAGGCCATGCTTCTCTTTATACAAATAAATGACAAGATTTTTTATAATAAACTAACTGCTGTATGATCATTCTCATTTCTTAGCATTAGCTGTCTGTTTTCAGAGATTTCTTGTGATTGGACAGACGGATGGGTTTTGCATTACCTTTTTCAAATTGCGTGACTGTGGTCTACTGTTAAGTCTGATGTCAGACTCTTAATACCGTCTTTGTGACTGTCTCCTCCTGTAGTTTACTTTATTTGTTTTCAGATGTAATCCTAGCAACTCAACATGGAATGCTGATGATTCAGTGGTTTGTGTAAAAGAAGGCAGACAGATGGTGAAAAGGCAAACAGAGACAATTATGATGGATAAACTATGCCTAGTTTTGAGAGTCTGACTAGTTGTAATTCTGCAGTTTATTATTTCATACAGATCCTGATGATTTAAGTAAAAAAAAAATCTGTCCCAAATAGGGCTGCATAATATATGTATATTGCTAATTTATCGTCATTACATTTATTGCAGACATGTGTGATATATTTATTTTATGCCTTGTTTACTTATCTAAATTTGACTAATCAGAGAGGGCTTTTACAATCTTTTTCCCCACCTGCCCAGTTGTTGTCGTTCTGCCATTGGCTGGAGCTGCCCAAATGTGAACCCAGAGCTGAAAATAAACAATAATGACAAGAGAGAGAAATGACTAATTAGATTCTGAATATCTGCTGAGGGTTTTCACTAATTAATAGTGTTTTTTAAAGACTAAATGTGTGCACATTGACACGTTTTTTTTAGTTTAACTGTTTATATATGTTAACTGTTTATTTTAATGTCATTAAATAAATAAACTATTTAAAAACAAAACTAATAAAATTAGCATTTTTCTAGAGAATGATGTATAATAAGAAATTTCATTATTGCAATATATTAAACAACAATTTCACATATTTTTCCATTATTATATGCAAATCACATTATTACTTCACTTAAAACACTAATATAATATAATATAATATAATATAATATAATATAATATAATATAATATAATATAATATAATATAATATAATATAATATAATGTAATATATAATATAATTAATATAATATAATATAATATAATATATAATAAAATAATATAATATAATATAATGTAATATATAATATAATTAATATAATATAATATAATGTAATGTAATATACAATATAATTAAAATAACATAAAATAATTAATATAACATTTGTTAATATAATATAATATAATATAATATAATATAATATAATATAATATAATATAATATAATAAAATATAATATAATATAATATAATATAATATAATATAATATAATATAATATAATATAATTAGCTCTATATGGGACAGACCTGCCAATGTACAATTGAGCAAGAATGTTTTTTGACTAAATTGATACAAATTGAACAATGTCGCTTTTAACCACTACCTCAAGAAATTAGCAATAAGTTCTAGGCATGGTTCATGTTATAGTTGTTAAAGGCATTGTCTTGATGATTGGAGAACATTTCACCGAATTGAAGTGGCAAAACTCCACCTCGCCCATGTGGCGTGCAGACAGGGGTGAGCTCATGCTGTCTGCAAGACGTGGAAGCAAAGACTAACACCATCTAATATGACTTTTCTCAACACCTATCAAGAACCAACAGACCTATAAAATCAACAAACATTAGCACTCATGCAACTTGTACTGTTAGCGATGTCCTGGCATTTAACATCTGCAATATGCTGTAGCTGCTGCCAAAATAAGTGTAAACCTTTATCTGTTAGCGTCTCAGAACATGTAGTTTAGTGTTTTTAATGACACATTAAGTGTGAAATTCAACTGTCACTTTTTTTGCTTTAATTTTATTGTATTATATTAACAATTTAGTCTATTACTCTCAGTTTTAATGAGATCAAAATATGCTGGTTTATTCCTAAATACCAACTTAAAAAAAAAAAAAAAAAAATCAACATTATCTATTTTAACATATCCTCCATCTCCATCTACTATTTTCCCATTTCTTCCAAGTGTCAGAATTAGTTTCCCTTGAGTAAAAAGCACTTACCCGAGACTGTAGACTGTATAACTTTGGCTTTTATGCATGATGTTCATTGTTCACCTCTGGATTAGAACTGGAACCGAAGTGTTATGTAAGAGTTGGTGAAGTGAGTGAGTGACCACACAGTAATGTGGTTATTCTGGATGTCTGTCTGAACTGGAGAAAAGCTCTAGGAGCGAAACCATGTGCAAGAACAAATAATTGATTTTAACAGTAGTGGACAGACGGCATGTTTCTCAGATGACCTTAGTCATTCATTCCTCTGCAGGGCAAAGACTGTGTCCATTTGCTATTTGGCCCATTAGTTTTGCTTTTAAAAAGCACTGCTTATTTAGATTTTATGTAGATCATTTTGTTGGGGGTTGCAGGGGTTTTTTGTTTCCTTACGGTTGTGAATTGTATTATGGGATCTTTATCTCTGCTCTGTCGACTTTTGATGTTGAAAATTCAACTCTACAGTTTAACAAAGTGACTTTTATTGACATTTTAGTTGTTTGAGAGGGGTGATGCTGTGGGGCAGTGGCTAGCTCTGTCGCATCACACCAAGAAGGTCGCTGGTTCAAGCCTGGGTCAGTTGGCTTTCTGTGTGGAGTTTGCATGTTCTCCCCGTGTTCACATAGGTTTCCTTTGGGTGCTCTGGTTCCCCCACAAGTCCAAAGACATGTGGTATAGGTGAATTGGGTAGACTAAAATTGTCCGTGGTGTATCTGTGTAAATGAGTGTGTATGGATGTATACCAGTGATGGGTTGCAGCTGAAAGACCATCTGCTGTGTAAAACATATGCTGGGTAAGTTGGCAGTTCATTCCCCTGTGGCGAACCCAGATTAATAAAGGGACTAAGCTAAAAAGAAAATGAATGAATGAATATAAAGAGAAATAAGTCTGTAAAATAACAGAAAATGTGCTGCAAACATACTAAAAGGTTTTTCTACCATAATATACAACACCAACCCAGACAATATATCACTTAAAATCTATTAAAAATGCCAATAAAAGTCACTTTAAAATGTTTAAGGTTAAAAGTTGTTGGTTGTAAACTGCTAATTTACGGATAAGAAAATAAATGATGAGTTAATATTCATTTTATGGGTGAACTATTCCTTTAATTAATGTTTATTTGGGGGAAACTAAATGTATACAGTTTATAATAATTTCACCTGAATTACCCCTAAAAAATCCTTATAGAGGACCGATAAGTTATTTTAATTATACTGGATGAAGAGAGGTTTCAGAAGAGCAGTATGAATTTGAAATAGGAATTTTCTGCATCTTTGCAATTGTCTTTAATGCCATTTTTTCTTTTTAAATGTAGCATATGTGTTAAGTATTTTTAAAGTGCAATAGTCTTATTATGTCTTCCTGGAACACAAATGTAGGGTTTTTCAGTCATAATAGGGATCACAGGGGATTGAATGTTTCATGGCCTATAAAGTAATCCACAACAAAAAGGTGCGATCATAAACTCTTAACATGTGGTCTGTCTGCTGTATGTGTTTAAGGCTGGAAAATAATGCTACCTAGGTGGAAATCTGCCGTAAAGGCTTTTTCTCACTGCTGTTAAAAAAAAAAAAAAGTTTCCAGCTTTATAAAGCTGGATTTTAGATCAGACCAAAAGGAATAGAAAAAAACCTCATGATTAGCAAAAGGTTTTCGTCATAAAATTGTCGCTTGAAAGGTTTTGTTTGTATCAATGGTCCACTGTTTGGATCATGGCCGGTGCTTTTCTACACTAGTCAGTATTTGAAGAGGATCAAAAAAGTTTCTCAAATAAGCCAAGAATGGATGTTGTTTAGTAGTTTTAGGACAACTTTGCTGAAAAGTCTCTCTTTGATGTGCAGTATCTCTGACTGGAAGTGTGAAGAGTTTCTACAGCCGTGTTCCTTTTAAGAAGATGGTTTCATACTCTGTACGCAGTCGAGTCAGTGTGTCCAGTAAACCTATTACAGAAGGGTGAGGGGAAATGCCAACAAAAGCTGTGCCTCCATCAAAGTTTATTTGTTTCCCTGATGAATAATGCTTTAACTATTTTGAGCAGGTTTTTCGAGTGTGAGAGGCGATGTGATGAAGATCCATGCTGCCGTGGAATAGGATATGTCAAAGACTCAGGTGTAGCTGGTATGAAAGAACACTCGCATATAGAGGAATCATTTGAGTTGTTTGTTGGCTCAAAGCATATGTTTTGTCAAAAATAAAGAGCCACAGATTTTTTTGGCCCATTATCTATTCTATTTATTGATTATTTAACCACTATCGAGTGTGTTTATTTACCTATAAAACTGAATAAATATATAAATTTACAGTAAACTATTGAATAATACTTTAGTGGAAATATTATATGAAACACTTAATTTGTTTACCAAACAAGTGGTTCTAATTGGATTTGCATTGTAAACCTTAAATACATTTATTATTTTATATTTAATATTATGTTTTTAGTTACTATACTCTCAAAAGCATTCCACATAAGTCTGCTGATTTTATTTTATTATTATAATTATTTTTTTTTTTTTTACAAAATTCAAATCAAATTGTCTACAGATTTTGTCGATGGCAAAATAAAAAAATGAAGAATGAAATCCCTCACAGTGGTTGGTTTTTGTTTTGCTCTTGTGCAGGATCAGATGTGTTGTGTCTGACTCTGAATAGTCTGGGCATCCAGACGTGTGGTGAAAATGACAGCACTAGCTGGAGGATTCAGGACTGCTCTACTTCTCAAGTCCAAACTCAGCTCTATCCTTTCGGCTGGTATGAAAAGCCAGGTATACAGTATCTAAATTTGCAGAGACCTTTGAGAGAATCAACTCATTGTGGTTGAATTGAGAATTTCCTGTATGTGAATTGTGGAAGCGTGGTTTGATGATTACATTGTAACATCAGCTTTGTTTGTTCTTGTAGTGAACCAGTGGCCAAAGAATCCCGATGTCTGTCCGCCATTTAGTCTCCGCTCTCCTTCAAAAAATGGTGAGAGACGAATCAATAGTAAATAAAATCTCTAATAATCCCTATCACTAATGAATTATTTTAAGGCATTCTATTGTGCTTTGCATTTATGGTATACAAGTAACAATAGTCCTAATTTAAAGCTGGCATTTTGTACAAATTTGAAAATACCTAGGCATAGCTGAATAATAAGATTTCAGTACATAGAAAAGATATATCATATGTCTAATACATACTATTTTCCTCGTTCTCATGTTAATACAATGAGTGTAAAATCCAGGTGAAAAACAGGCTATTCAGAACAAAACACCAACTCTGACAATCCACATGTAAAATTATTCCATAATTTAATACCTCTACTTGTTTTAAACTAGTAGGCACAAACAAAGATATTTTGAATAATTTTGGGAACCTGTAACCATTGACATTCATAGTTCAAAAACAAATACTATGAAAGTCAGTGGTTTGCAACATTCTTTGAAATTAGTTTTTAACAGCAATTAATTGGCCACAGTGTTTCCTAGTTAGATTACAACAATGGCATCTGCCCTTATTTCTCTTTAGTTTATCAATGCTTGATTTATGCTTACTATGTATGTGGAACTCTTATTTTGAAAACAAAACAGCATTAGTATTGTTTACCATGTTCAAGTGACATTTTTTAAAAGCTTTAAAATATTTCTCTCCAACATTCATTAACATAACTAACATTGTGAAACTGAATTAGTCTTGTTTGAATTAAAAAAGACACATGCAAATCAGTTTTTACTTTAAGTGAAAAAGGGTGACTTAAACATAATAATAAATGATATGAGATGTATTTTGAAGTAAATCCTCATATACACATAGGCAGAGGTGGGTAGAGTATCCAAAATCTGTACTCAAGTAAGAGTACAAGTACTTGCCAAATTTTTTACTAAATTTTTAACAATCTTAAAAGTTACTCGAGTAAGAGTAAAAAAGTACCTTATGAAAAAATTACTCAAGTAATTAGTTACTTAGTTACTTTTAATTTTATTAGATGTGTATGTATATACATGCGGTGGCGCAGTAGGTAGTGCTGTTGCTTCACAGCAAGAAGGTCGCTGGTTCAAACCTTGACTGCGTCAGTTGGCATTACTGTGTGGAGTTTGCATGTTCTCCCTGCGTTCACTTGGGTTTTCTTTGGGTGCTCCGTTTTCCCCCACAGTCCAAAGACAGGCGGTATCTATATAAACACTCACACACACACACACACACATATATATATATATATATATATATATATATATATATGTGTGTGTGTGTGTGTGTGTACAGTATATATATATATATATATATATATATATATATAGATAGATAGATAGATAGATAGATAGATAGATAGATAGATAGATAGATAGATAGATAGATAGATAGATAGATAGATAGATAGATAGATAGATAGATAGATAGATAGATAGATAGATAGATAGATAGATAGATAGATAGCTAGCTAGATAGATATAGATATATATAGATATATATTGTATCTATTTATATATAGATTTTATATATATATATATATATATATATATATATATATATATATATATATATATAGAGAGAGAGAGAGAGAGAGAGAGAGAGAGAGAGAGAGAGAGAGAGATTGTTAAAATTAATGTTACTCCTGTGAATTTTTCTTTTCTTATTTCAAATATTTCCTAAATGATGTTTAACAGATTTTCACAGTATATCTGATAGTATTTTTTTTTCTGGAGAAAATCTTATTTTTTAGAATCAAAAAGCAGTTTTTATTTGTTTTAAACCCAATTTTAAGGTCAATATTATTAGCCCCCTTCAGCAATATTTTTTTAATGTTTACAGAACAAACCATTCTTAATGACTTGCCTAATTACTTTAACTTAATAAACAGGTCACATGAGACTTGTTTTACAACCTTTAAAAAGGTCATAATAAGATACCCTTAATTAAAACAAGTTATTTTATTTAACACATGAGATTTAACATGTTCTTTTTGAAACAGCTGATTTGCAGAAGTGGAAGAAGTTGGATGCCGTCTCTGTGTACGTGGACGCATCTGTATCAGCTTTTGACATTGTCCACATAAGCAAAGACATAGCAGAGGACCTGGATAAAGTCAAGAACTGGTGTCTTTCTGGTAATCTCTCTCTGAAAATTAAGAAGAATATTAAGCTGCTATTTACAATACAGATATTTGTGTATGTACTGTGTTCTCATAACTTTTTTTGTATTATAGCCTGTGAGGACAGTGAGTCCTGTTCGGCTGTGTCCATTGATAGCAGAGAGTCAGCTGTGAGATGTGTGATGTATCCAGACACACACACCTGCCTTCCTACGACAAGCGGCCGGCGCTGTTTACTAGTCACCAAAGAGCCTGCTCAATCTGTTTACATCAGAACAGGTGACGCCTCAAAACATTCTTCAGACTAGTCCAAACTGTTTCTGATCCTTTTTCTCTCAAATAACTAAGAGACTTTTCTTTACAGGTGTGCAGCTGGAATTCACCTCTGTGTCCATCCCTGATCATGGCACACTTCTTGGAGAGAGTGAGGTAAAACCGATAACTGGCTCAGATAGCAAGCGTGTGACTTACTTCTTGGGTGTCCCTTATGCTCGTCCACCAATCGGAGACCTCAGATTCAGCCCCCCACAGCCTGCTGACTGGACCGGGACCTGGAACGCCACATTTTCCCGGTGAGCTGGCAACTTTGATTGCAGATTGTTAGAGTAGTGTATGAGGTCCAAAACAAGATTGCAGTCAAACCAAAATTATCCCATTATCACAGTTTATTCTGTATAGTTTTGAAACGGTAATAAAATATTGTAAGAAATCTTGCAGTTAAAACTTGTCTGAAAATCATTTGTATTAGTTAACTCTGATAAAAAGGTACAGTTTAATTCATTACTATCAACCAAAAAAATATTTAGATGTTTAGCATGACAGTGTTTACACAACTATCAGTGTTCTCTGTAAAAAAAAAAATGCTGGGTTCCATCAATCAATTTGTGTTGGCACAACATAAAGGAATAAATAAACTAATTAATTTTTATAAATTGTGAATTGAACATAAAACAATTAGATTGTCACAAAAAAACATCAAGAATTGTGTTGTTTCAGCTTATTTGTAAGCCAGTAGTTTGAACAAACAGCAAACATATTTTTTTGTGTATTGTGTCAGCAGCTTCTTTACTTTCCTCTTGCTTTTTAATCCACTGTATAAAGAGTCTTTGTATATAATACGTTACAATTTTTATTTTTATTTTGCTATATTCAGAAAAATAAACTATAGTGTCCTGCATGCACCAGAAAAAATATATAAAAAATTGATCAATAATTTTTGGATTTACTGTATATTTATAAAGGTCAGGTTTTATTTTGATGGTCTGTTTGTTGAGGTTAAGTTACATTGCATCGAAATGCCAACTAAGTCTCATTAGATTATAAGTAGACTGTTAGGTTTGGGGTTAGGGTTTAGTGTAAGTTGACATGTACTTGCAAAGCTTCTTATAGTCAGTTAAATGTCTGTTGTAGGAGCAGTATCAGCAGATATTAAGCAGACATCCTACTAATACTCACATGGACCATCAAAATAAAGTGTTGCCTTTATAAATGCATATGTGCCCTTATGTTAACCTTGATCCGGTCACTTTTTGTGTGAGATGTGATTTGTATGATCTATAAAACTGTTTTAGATCCAGTTGTCTTCAGCCCGGTGATCTCACTGACTCCACTTCTAGTGAAGACTGTCTCTACCTCAATGTTTTTGTTGCCAGCAGTGTGGTAAGATCCCCATGACAAGCATAAATGCATATAAACACATATGTAAACAGTTCCATTCAAAGGATTAGTCTTGGCTTAAATATTTTTAAAGGAAATCCCTCATTCTCAGTCATTTATTTGTTTGATACTTTAAAATGTGATGCATTACAGTTTAGAATGGCTGTTTTCTATGTTGTTTATCTCTCTGTATTTTAAAATGTGTATAATTCTAGGATGCCAAAGCATTCATTTCAGCAACCATTACTAAACCTTCCAATGTCACATCTTCAGAAATCATTTGATATGCAGATCTGGTGCTTAAAAACATCTCTCATTATTATCAGTATTAAAAAGAGCATTGGTTTTAAGTTGATTATGTATAAATATGTAAAATGTTGATCAATGCATCTTTGCTGAATGTTTAAATAACAAACAAATAAATCTTTGTAGTGTATAATACAAACTTTCAAAGGTACAAGTACAGGTTTCTTTAATTAAGTGTGTCCTTGGACCATGGGTTGTTAATACTTCTCTCATAAACCTCTATATCTGCTAACTATGGGATGTAGTTATTGACAATATAATACAGTTTTTCTGTTATGTCACAGGAAAAGAATGTGCCGGTTCTGGTGTTCTTCCACAACTCTGCATCGGATCTTCTAGATGGTTCATACCTCGCTGCTGTTGGCAACATAATTGTAGTGACGGCCAGTTTTAGAGTGGCTGCTTTTGGATTCCTCAGTGCAGGTACACAAACAAACACTTATTTGAAATTTGTGTGTCTATATACAAACGCACACACACACAGACACATGTTTTTAGTTCAGTACCTCAGTCTCACATGATCTTTCAGAAGTCATTGTAATATGCTGATTTTGTTCTTTCAACAATAATATTATTATCAGTGTTGAAAACTGTTTCAGCCATTGTGTTTGCTTTTATGTAAATAATAATTTTCTAATGAATAAAACGTTAGTTTAAACGTTAGTTTAAAATCTTCATAGGTTTGTAGAGCCCTGTGTTTAAGCCCGAGCCCGTCTTGGCCTGATTTTTTATTTTTTTTTTTGCCCCTTCAGGCCCTTTTTCACGTCGTAGCTAGCATGCATAACAGGTTTCAGCCCTGCTTTAGAAAACCCTTTTAAACAATGTTTAATGAGATCTAATGCATGCGGTCCGGAAGCACCAGTGATACCTTGCACATAGAGATTTGCAGCCATGTGCAATGGAGAACATAAAGAGAAAAATTGCCAATTGCTAACTTAAAACTGTGAAAAATTACAACTTTAAATCATAAGCCAACTGGTTATGCACAATGCACAACTTCTAAGTAGAGTAAACTGGACCACATACCGCTTAGATATCAATGACACTTATAAAACTAAAACTTACATAAACTCCAAACACGTCTCTAAATTATTCTGATAAAAACTAAATGAAAAAAACATTAACTTTCTATTAAATACAAATCTGGTTTATTTTAATGGCTGTAACAGTATAAGGCTGTTTGGCGGAAAAAAGACGGGCTTCGGGTCGGACTCGGCCTAAAAAATTTGATAAGCTGTCTTGGACAAGGGCAGGGCTACAGCCTGTGTGTCTCAGGCCAGGGCCGGGCTAGGGCTTAGATTCAAGGCCCATGCAGGGCTCTAAAGTGATGTTTATTAAAGTTAATGTATCCTGATAAATAAGTGATACCACACACACTTGGTGTTAAGCAACATATCATATCAATTCTCTATAATCTTCCGCAATATAAAAATGTGATAGTTTGCATAATTGTAATGTGCTCACTGCATGTTATTATGCTGTAAAAAATGGAAATGGCTTTCTGGACACATTATTGTTGGAAAAATGTAAGTAATAAATCTGTATATTATAAAGAAAGTTTTATAATATATTTTACCTTACAATTAAACTTTGTCCTGGAAGCTTTCTTAGGGTCGAACTAAATGACGTGTTGTGCAAATTGCATAATTTGTTCCATAAAAAAAGAATTCCAAAAAAAAAAATGCAGTGGAATCCAGTTATGGAATATGGTTACATAAGGTTCGTGTGAGAAGTTCCATCCACACAGTGGTTGTGAAAATATTCAGATTCTTTTCCCCTTTGCCACCGTTGGCTGACTGAGTTTGAAAGCCGCTCTAACTGATGCCTTTGAGTGGCCAGCTATGATGAGCTTTCACCGTCCAGCCAAAATCAACACTGTAAGCTCTGCAGGAGCCTGATTGGCTTCAAATGCTATTTCCAGACTAAACCCTTGCGGGGCTTTGAACATTTCTTGCAGCTTTTAAAAAAATGATTATTATAAATATTATTTTTGTTGTTAGTTTGACTGATAGACTTTCACATGCTGATTATAATCTTTTGGTGCCATCGTTTTAATTTATGCACAGATGGAAAACACATTTGAAGATACAGAATGAGTTGAAGTCTGTTGACTCTGTTTAGGTTCCAGTGCTCTGCCGGGGAATTATGGGCTGCAGGACCAGGCAGCGGCTCTGGGATGGGTTCAGAAGAACATTGCACTTTTTGGTGGAGACCCCACTAAAGTTACAGTCGGGGCAGAGAGAAACGGAGCTGACATTGCGAGCCTTCATCTCACCTCTCCATCAGCTTCATCACTCTTCAGTCGAGCTTTATTAATGGTAAGAATAATAAATCTTACAAAGCTCCAACAAGACTGAGGTCACATTTTTAGTGAAATCATCTTTCCCTAGTTCAAAAATAATAAAACTAAGTTGCATAAGCATCTTAAAAACATTAGTTTGTGAGGCTAAAATTAAATAAAAGCATGCCAGAGGAGCTATATATTATATATCACAAATATATTTCTCACAAAAAGTCAGTCTGTTTTTAGTTCACACACATTAATGCCTCTAGATATCCATCCATCAGCTTCTGGAATGAGTCGGCTGTGATCTATCAGTGCACTTCCTCATAGTTGTCTTCCACTATAGCCAAACTTTCAAGCTGGTGGTTCGGCAGTGAGTAGACAGACTTCCACCTTTTCTTCTTCAAGCTAAATTTCTTCTTCTCTGGCTTTTTCTCCTGCTCTCCTAGCAGTGAGAGGTAGGAAGAGACGCTGTTCTGAACTCCATAGCTCACATCTGAAGAGCTAGTGCTTTGCTGGATGAGCTCTGAGCTGAGAGAGGCAAAGTGTAATGCTATTAAATGTAGTTTTAAAAGAATTAAAGTACTTACTTCATAGTTAATATGATTATTCAAACAAACCCATTAAGTGAATACAAAAATAATTATATAAAAATTATAATATATTATAATAAATTATAATATTTTGTCTTGATTCTAGTAAACATATTTTACAAATTTTAAATCATGAATCATTTTCTAGACAAGATAAAAAAATGTCTTATTTTGAGAAATTATATGTCAAAATGAACTGAGCTTTTCTTAAAACAATCAAAATAGGCTGATAATGGTGGAGGCAAAAGGATCTTATATTTTTTTCCCCTAATTTCACACTGCCCTACTTTAACAACAGTCTGGAATAGTTTTTTTTTGCTTCCCTTTTCCTTAATCATTTTTTTTTCTTTCTTCCCCTATGATGTTTGTGTATGGTCGGAGGGGTCCAATTTCGCTACATGTAACCGTGTATGTGATTAGCAAAGGCTTTATCATCATCATCAACATCATCATCAAAGCAAAAACAAGATTATTTTGCTAATCCTATTGGCAGAATATTTTTCTTGTATTTTATTATTCTTTTTTTAGGGTTTTCACCTTTAATAAAACCGAAGAGAGTATTGACAGGCATGTGTCGACACACTAACCACTATGCCATTGGCACCAAATAATTTTTCTTGTTTTAAAGAAAAACTCACATAATGTTGGCATATTATTTTTTTTAAAACAATACAATATTTTTGCTTGTCTAGAAAATGCTTCTTGATTTAAGAATTGTTAAATATTTGGACTAGAAACAAGACAAAAACTAAGTAAGAAAGGAAAAGAAGGATTTTTTTAAAAAATGACATTAGTCTAATGCAGAAGACTTCCACATTGCTATGTTTTTTTTCAATAAATACTGCTATTACTAATCAATCAATTGTGATTTATTTTTAATTAAAAATATTTTTAAAATTTATTTTAAACATTAATATGATGAAATGTATTTTACAGGGATTTCTAAAATATAGTCTGCAACTCTAAAGACCAGTAACTGTTGAAAAATTAAGCTTTTCCATCATAGAAATACAATTCTTGTAACGGTTGTTCACAAGATTTGTGTTTTACTATATTCCTGATCAAGTAAATGCAGTCTTTATTAGCAGACTTCTTTAAAAAAATAATAATAATTAGAAGCTAATATGTGGGTTACCATGATTATATTTATAGCTTTGTCTAGTTTTTACTAGTTCACATAGAAAAATAATTGTTTTGATGATCCTACTACCTTCTCACTGCTCTCCAGTCAAAGGATAGCTTTCTCCCCTCAGCTTTTCTCGTAACTTCACTTAGAGGTGTTTCACAGGCAGTCAAGCATGGACCGGTTAAAACACAGCACAGCCCGTCTGCTATATCTAAACAAGAGAACAAAATCTGCTTAAAACTGATTTAATATATTTGCCATCATTCACACAAAATCAGCAAATTAAATCAATAAATTAAAAATCAGCTATTTATCTGTGATTTACCAGAGTAGTGGTTGACCAGATCTTCCAGACACTGAAAGGTGAGGCGTGCAGATATGTAGTACCAGTTGTTTGGCATTCGAACTATCCGATAATGCTTAATTGTTCTGTGGCGCACAGATAAGGAGTAAATACCTACAAACACACAAGCAAAATGATTTTTGGATCTATCATATATAAGCCAAAAACACTTGTTTGCAAATATTTGTAATTGGTCTATTTTAGAGCGCAGTTTAAGATGTTGATTCAATATATTAGTTATAGGGAAAAAAGGCACATGCCACCCCGCTCCCATGCAAGTCACCATATATTTCATACAGCTAAATCATGAATGGAGGTGAAAAGCAGGATTGAGCCTACAGAAGGCAATATATGGCTTCAAAATTCAGCATACGGTGGTAAAAATGTCTTATTTAAGTTGTTCTCTCATTTTCCCATAGCATAGTTAAGCAGTTTCAACAAGTTCAATATCACAGGACTTCTTTTTTGTCCAGACTAGCACAATTGCAAATGTCATATTGATTTTCATGAAAGGTCATTCAACTTAATTGTTAATTTTATATATATATGTTATATTTTTGACAGACAGAAAAATAAGTCATTGGATGTACTAAATTGTTTTATAGTGCTTGCAAACATTTAATATAGCCTGAGTTTAAACAAACAAATTAAATTTAGTAATGTTCAACTTAATTTGTATGCAGCTTTATTCAGCCCATATAATTTGGTTGCAACCACCTACCTTATAGAGCCAGTTATATATATAACTAGACACACACACACACACACACACACATATATATATATATATATATATATAATATATATATATTATATGTGTGCGTATTGAAACACAGAACTATGTTTCTTCAAGGTGTGGGGGCAGGGTTAGGATTAGGAGGTGTAGTTGGGATTAGGAAATCAGGTACACTGAAAAAAGTGTTGCATGCAGAATTGTTGCAAACAATTTATTTGTGTTGAATTTAAACAAACAAATTAAGTTTAACAATGTTCAACATAATTTGTTTGTTTAAATTCAGCCCAAATAAATTGTTTACAACCACTTAACGTAAGAAAATTTAGTAAATCCAAGGAATCATCTTTGAACATTTTTTTTTTCAGTGTAGTGAATCTAGAGTTGCATAATTTTGCAGGGGTGCATTTCATGGCCCAACATCGTTGTAAACATAACACTAACTACCTTTTTAGTGGTAATTTCTCAACCACATTTAAAATGCAGATATTTAATACGATAATACGTTTTTATTGATTGGTAGATTTAGTCTGTTATTATGTTTTTGTCCAGAGTCTAATTTTTCTCCTGTTTGTTTCTGTTCTCATCCAGAGAAGCACCAGACCTTATGCCATATATGGCTATGTGAGATTGCAAAGTTAAACATCTTAAACATATTTTCTAACCTTTAGAGCTCTCTCTGATCAGGAACGAACCCACTCGGTTTCCTGGGAGCCGAAGCAGATCCTCAGCTTTGGGTCTGGACAAGTTTTCAAACAACCAGCTAGGCAGTCATGAAACATTTTCCATTAACATTTAGAGAACATTAAAATGCAAGTGAAGCTAGACAACAAGTAAAACCTACCCATGGTAGACTTTTGTGGCATGGCAGTGCGGTATAAAATTCACTTCCTTGGTGCTGAGCGACAAAACTTTCCACCAGTAACCTTCCCTGAAAGACAAGAAGACTTGTAGAAATGCTGTTGTACAGTTAATCTTTTTTGTCATTTAATTATTTTTAACGATTAGGCTATTTATATCAGGTGAAAACGTAAAAATAAGTTTGTTTGTGTTTGTTAAACAGGCTAAATTAGTGTTTGTGTTAAGACCAACTGCATGGTTTTGTGGTTTGCTTTCACACATTGTGACAAGCAAACTGTCAGTGTTATTTCTGTCATCAGCTGAAACACTTTGAAAGTTTAGAACAATGATTGCAAAATACACAAACATTCCTGGACATTCTACTGTTCAAAAGTTTACAATCAGTATATAGAGACTAGTCACTTTGTTTCTACCTTATTTTTACATGTCCTCTAATACTTTCTAAGAATCCTAAAGAAAAAAGATCATAGTTTTCATTAAACATATTACAATGTATGTTAATTGACTGTACTGTATAAGTTAAAATGTACATTGTAATATGTTTCTCTGGCACCAGATCAGCATATTACAAAATAATTAATAGAATCTGTAGGCTGAAGTAATAATAATATTAATGAAGTAATATTAATGATATAATAGACTCAAATAATAATGATATAATAAAATATCTTGAAAATGAAACTATTTATTGCACTTCAAACATATAAAAAAATAGAAAAGGGCAGGTAAAGGAATTCCAGGCATCTAAACAATGCTTTATTATTATTATTATTATTATTATTATTATTATTATTATTATTATTATTATTATTATTATTATTATTATTATTATTATTATTATTATTATTATTAAAATGTTTTTAGTCAATTAAAACATCATATTTATTTATTTATATGTTTATTTAGGGCTATTTTCATATGTTTTGGAAAATAAAAGTAAAAAATGAATGTTTTTAAAATTAAAATGTTACTATTAGTGCAGAAACTGTTGTAGAAACATAAAATGCTAATACTCACTCAGACACTACTTTCAGCCAATCACCCACTCGAAATATAGGCTCGCAGATATCAGGGGGAGGGTAGTTATCCAGCACTATTGCTGTATCGTTTTCAAGCACTGTAAAACAAATTATTGCATCTCTATATTAGAAAAAATACATATTTAAAGAATATTTACCTCAGGCAGCTTTTTGAGTCCTGCTAATTAAATAAACATCTGTACATTTACATATTAGTCTGTTATTTAGAAGGCCAGGAAGTAATAAGCCAATGGGCTGCTTTACCAATAAGGCTTTAAACATATTGAAATTAAATTATTAAAAACATCTTGAAATGTTTTAAACGTCTTGAAATTAACATTTTTTTCTGGATCAAATGTAATAAGAGAAAAGCAAAATTCCATTGTATTCATCAACAATACGTGATGTTTTTTTTTTTACACTTTTATAGAGCTTGCTCTGTTTCTGTTTTAACTATTTTGATTATTTTTTTGCCCAAACAGGGAAGTTCATCTTAGACTTTTCAATGCTATTTCTATTCAAGGACATGATCGCAGCTTACTCAGCATGTTTAGTCTAAACAGAGAACTGATATATGCATGTTTAAATACAGTTTGAGTCTCTTCACAGCATCTGTAAACGATTGAAAGCGTGTGGTTATCTGCTGAACTGAAAATGTCACTTAAAACCAGTCAATCATTCAGTCACTCAAATGGCGCTCTGTATTTTCATACCTCCCGCTGGAAGGTCTTCATTAGCACGAATTTGTCTGAAATCCTCTGGGGTCCTTTGGCTTGTCAGAACGCCTCCCATTTTCATTCGGCCACAACTCTTCCTACAGATATTTACCACATCAGATTAGCATGTCTGTCCTAAATGAGACCATGTTGTCTTCTGTAAGACAGACTTAGCTGATGTTGCTGTTGTTTGGCTGTGTAACTTCCCATTGATAAGAGCTGAAGGGCATGACTTTTCTCACCACACTTTCCACTTCATGCACAAGCAAAAATAGGAAGTGATGAAAGCAAATGGCTGTTTAATCGTACGCAAATGTATTCAGATATGCGTTGCTTATTGAAGTAGCATGCTTCTGGTAAATATGCGTATAAATAGAAGTGATATGCAAACTAAACCACACCTGGTTTCATGTTTTTCCTATTTAGATTTTGTGTTTTTGAGAAAGATCTATGATAAATATTACTGTGCAGTTTGTGTAAAAAGGGCCATAAATTGTGAAACTGAGTAAAAAAGGATTTAGAAGTTAGATAGGAGAATTTATATGATTCATTTCTAATAACTGAAATATTTTATCTTTGCCAAGATAACAGAAATATTTTACTAGATATTTTTCAAGACACTTCTATACAGCTTAAAGTGACATTTAAAGACTTAACTAGGTTAATTAGGTTAACTAGGCAGGTAAGGGTAATTAGGCAAGTTATTGTATAGTGATGGTTTATTCTGTAGACCAGGGGTTCTCAACTGGTTTGGCCATGGGACCCACATTTTTACATGGTCATCAAGCCGTGACCCAAATTTTTAGGAACTATAATACAATTTTAGGAATTATACTTAATTTTTATTTGTTTGTTAACATAAACAAGTAGTGACAGATACATTATGAGAAATTCACCAAGACTTACAAATAAACACTATTTTATTGCTGTCATTTAACAAAATGGATCAAATTATAGAAGTATTACAAAGTAAAAATGACAAATAGAAATAATGTTATTAATAATAAGCAGTTAATAAAACATGTCTAGTTTCTAAATGTTGTTTAAATATAGAAGGTTTCATGCTCTCTGCTAAGAGCACCTCTTTACACTGAGGCTTTAAGTCTTTTTTGTCGTTAATGTATAAATCCATACTTTACATATTCGAGGTCGTACTTGCGCTTCGACGTATTTGTTGCAGTAATTAAATGAAATTTCACATGTCAAATGGTGGGGTCGTAGCACACACGTTTCAAAATAAAAGTCTGGTATAAGCAAAATAAGTAAAAAATTTTACTTATTTTTTTTGACCACACACTCCGCGACCCACTGAAAATGTTCCCGTGACCCACTTTTGGGTCACGACCCACCAGTTGAGAAACACTGTTGTAGACTATCGAAAAAATATATAGCATAATGGCTTTTAAACAATTAAAAACTGCTTGTATTCTAGCCAAAATAAAACAAATAAGGCTTTCCACGAAAGACAAAACATTATCAGACATACTGTGAAAATATTCTTGCTCTGTTAAACATCATTCGGGAAATATTAAAAAAACTAGAAAAAAAATTTATAGGGGGGGCTAACAATTCTGACTTCAACTTTTAAGGTTAATATTGTTAGCCCCATTAAGATTTTTATTTTCTTTAAGATTTATTTACTTGTGTCTAGTGACTTGCCTTATTAACTTGATTTTGCCTGGTTAATCAAATTATTTAAGCATTTTTCATTTAAGCATTTTTCATCCTTAATTGGGATAGGACAGTGAAGGTTACAGACAGGAAAGTATTGGGAACAGAGCGAGGGGAAGGGTAGGCAAAGGACCTTGAGCCAGGAATCGAACTTGGGTCGCCATGAGCACCATAGTACTATAACTTAACCAAAAGGCTTTTGGCACCAACTATTATTTAAGCTTATTTAAGTAATAATTCAATAAACAATCCCTCTGAACAACAATTCTTTAAGCTGAGTAATAGTATCTTGCAAAATAGCTGGTGAAATATTATGTTCTGTCAGCATGGCAAAGACAAAATAAATTAGTTTTTATAATAATCAACAGAATAGTTGTTAAAAAATCCATCAAAATAAGTATGTAAACTACAATAAAAATGTAGCAATTTTAAATTATTTATTTATGGCTATTTATACATGTTGGATAAAAGTTTTGTTGAAAAATATGATTTTACCATTAGAAAAAAAAAACCTTGTAGACACACAAAATGCTTATGCTTACTCAGACACTACTTTCAGCCAATCTCCCACTCGAAATATATATATATATATATATATATATATATATATATATATATATATATATATATATACAGTATATCTACTTCTTCTTCGGCCTCTGTCCCGTATGGTTGCGGGGTCGGCTCTTTGGAACAAGTCCTCCATTTAGACTTGTCCATATGATAACGACTTTTTTACACCATATATATATATATATATATATATATATATGAAGAAGCCCACACAAAAACTGGGAGAACATGCAAACACCACACAGAAACACCAACTGAACCAGCAACCTTCTTTCTGTGAGGCAAACGTGCTACTTACTGCACCACCTTGTCACCTATTAAGCCGTATTTCATACTATAATATAGAATCATATTTTTTAGGTGTCCTTATAGTGCTTATATGCATTACTAAACCAAGATGTTGGTTTCTTGCAGGGAGGCTCAGTGTTTTCTCCAGCTGTTGTAATGAGTTCATCCAAAGCCCAAGCACAGACTTCATCTCTGGCCAGAGAACTGGACTGTCCGGCCGCTGATCCTTCACAGCTGCTGGACTGCCTGAGGAGCAAACCAGCTCACAGCATCAATGCTGCGCAGACCAAGGTATGACCACTGAGAAATAAAACGCAAAATGCTGTCAAAAAGTCATCGCTATTTTAGTAGTTTAAAATTTTTTCTCTGTGTAGTTGTTAGCTGTGAGTGGTCCACTGCAAGCCTGGTCACCTGTGGTTGATGGAAATGTAGTTCGGGAAAAGCCTTCTGTGGCTCTTCAGTCCGGACGCTTCCACAAAGCTGAAATATTATTGGGGTCTTCATTTGAGGATGGACTCATCAGCAGAGCCAAGAACATCAAGGTTGGACCACATTGAGCAATCCGACCGAGATGACTAGCAGTGTAATGGCAAACACATTCAGAAATTTAAACTACAGGTCACTAAAAACGCAGTGTGGATTTAGCCAGTGTATATGCAGGGAAACTTTATATGTATTCTCTTTTAACAAATCAGTATAGGGTTTTTATATCAAGAATGAGCTTTTAGGATTAGATTTTTTTTTAGGTGATGCGTAAATGAATTTTCACTTTACTTTATACTGTATAGCACAACTTACATGCAATATTCGCCGGAAACTTTGTGTTTTGTTACTTTAATTTTCAGGTAAGTCTCATAATTTTGACTGAGTTCATCTGGAGTTTCAAATAAAAAATGCAGTGATTTTAAGACACTGTGTAGTTTGACACGAATTAATATTTTACACATTTTACTCAAAACAATTAACTATTAATGGCAAGTCCACAGAACCAATAATAACTTTGAAGTGGTCTCAACTTTTCTTGGAGTTTTATGTGCAAAAGCTGAATTGAATCCGGTTCATTTGTTAATTGTAATTTCAACATTGCAGTATTGTTCAAGTAAAGAGGCTTCTACTGTTTACAGCATAAGCTGAAATGTATTTTTTCCTTAAACCTGTCATTATAATTGAATTGTAATGGGAAAAATAAAGCAATTATATACTGTATATTAGGAATCTATTTTTTAATTGGCTACAGAACAAACCACTCTTATCTGGTGACTTGCCTAATTAACCAAATTTGCCTAATGAATCTAATTGACCTAGTTAATTGTATATATTGCACTTTAAGCTGAATTCTAGCATCTTCTAAAATATCTAGCAAAATATAATGTACTGTTATAATGGCAAAGACGAGAATAATTTGTAATTAAAATGATTATGTTTAAAAAACTGTTAAAAAAATCTTGTGAAATAGCACTTTGGAAATTTTTGAAATATGGTTTTATATAATTGTCTAATATCATATTTTATAATTATTAAAAATAATAATATGATATAATATTTAAATAATATGATTTACAGAATCATGAATTTGAAAAGTGTGCAGAAAAAATCTAATGAGTTGTTCAGAAGAGTCATGAATTCATTAGTATGTCATGATGTTTCATTTTTCACACTTCTCTGATGGTTATTTGTGCAGAATTTTGAGCAGCTTCAGGGAAGAGCTGACAGTAAGACAGCGTTTTATGCAGCCCTGTCCAACTCTCTGGGTGGAGATGATGCCAATGCTTTTGTGAAGGAGGCCGCGACCTGGTTCTACTCTTTACAGCACTCGCCCACACCTTCAGGATACAACGTGTTCTCACGTGCACTGGAAAACGCTACCAGGTGAGAGGACAACAATCTCACACAAATGAAGTATGCTTTGGCATTGCTCTTTTAAGAAAACGTACAGAAAGCATGTGCTTTCTAAGAACTTTTTTTTTATCATGTTAAGGGCCCTATCACACTTCTGGTGCATTAAGGTGCAAGACGTGTTTGGTGCAATTTGTCGCTATTTTCATACCAGCACAACCCTAATTTTTTACAGTTTGCACCATGTTGTTTAAATACCAAATCCATGTTACCACTTTGTGGACTCATGAGCATACTGGTCTAGAAAGGTGATGTGTTAAGGTGCATTGTTGGCGTGTTGCTATTGTGAGGAACTGAAATAGACCACGCTATTGTCCAAATTAAAGCTGGTCTAAAGTCCAGGTCAGAACGCGTTGGTTTGTGAACCTATGTGAGTCCAAACACTTACACATTTATTACATTATTACATTTATTAGGATGTACAGCAATACACAAAACCCTTTACATATGAAAAAAGTTCATCTCGTGGGACATTTTTCAGTTTATTCTTGACAATTTGCATTTGTATTATGTTATCATTATTATTATTAGTAGTAGTAGTATTATTTATTATATGCATATTTATATTTGTTTTAATAAAAACAAGTTTATTGTTGTCCACCTGTCGGGTTTTGGAAGACGTATGCGTCACTATATGGGGCATATGAAAAGGAATTAAGTGTGTTTAGACATTAATTATACATTCATTATTATAGATCATTTAATTGTTTGTTGGAAATTAGAACTGAATTTAGAAATAGTTTTGAAACAAATCTTTGTGCTTAACAAAGGTAATTAAATATGTAGACTAATGGATGTCTTCAGTGGACTGCGTACAACATAGTTTCCTTAGCCATGAAAGTAAAGGAGTAAAGAGTAAAACTAAGTAAAGAGGCCGAAGGGTGTTTAACGGTTTTCTCACTAGTGAAGTGTTCAGTTTTTCCACTCACAAAGTCCGCCATATAAATAGCGAATGCACCATGGCGTTATGCAACTGACTCTTAAAGGGAATGGGAGGTGACACTCTGATTGGTTTAATTTCCTGTCCTTAAAATAGCAAAAGTGGATTCGGACATGCCCTTAAGGCTTTTGCGCCTTTCACTTTAGACTTTGCACTTAGATCGTTAAAAATCGAGCCCCAAATATATTCATAATATTGCTAAATATTTATTTTATAAACAAACACTGATCTTTCGAACTTTGACTTGTAATGTTGATGATCTCTTTTCTGAATAATCCCCCATAATCCCCATCCACGGAATTAGCACTATCACTGTCTCTCCACTCAGTGATAGTGTCTCTGTCCCTCCACACCATTAGTGCATACATGATAAATGCGCTATATAAGAACACATAGATTCCATTATATTACATTACAAATGTGATATGTAAATGTGTACATATTTTTTTATTTAAACAGATTTTTTATTTAATTTTGATAAAGTAACAGCCCAAAAAATATATTTAAAATTTAAATTTTACTGGTATATAATTTTAGTTGACATATTATTTGTTATAGAAGTAAAACGTGTTCAAGTTTTTCCCATGTGAATATAATGGTAAAAAGACAGTTTAATCAGATTTGTAAGCCAATGATCTGCATTTTATTTATAAAGCTACATTGCATTTCTTTAGAGACATGCCAAAATGAACTATCACAGATTGTGTTCACAGCTGCCCTTCTAGAAATGATTGTTTGTTCAGTCCCTCAAAAACGTTAAGTGGTTTGGAATGCCGAAATCATTTTGAGGGCTTGAACTGCTCTTCTCTTGCCTTTGCTGAGGGTGTGGATGCTGCTGGTTGCGGCAAAGAGGAAGGAAATGACATTTTTAGGTTTCTGACTGAAATATATTGTATGTGTGAGTTTTAAAAAAAGCGTTAATAAAAGCTGTCACTCGTCACTGAACTGAAAACAATTTCTTGTCACTTTAAATAACAGTAAGGTTTTTTTTTCTTGATGGAAACAACTAATTTTAGAACAGGAAGATTATTTGTATACTAAAAAACTATTCTGAAGAGTGGTCAGTGGGGCTTTTAATTATGCTTGATATCAGTATGATAGTTTTAAAGTAACATACAGCTATGGGAAACTTTTAGAGATTTTATTTCTGTACATTTCTAATGTATCATTTCTTACAACTAGCTGTCATTTTCTGAAAAGAAAAAAGCTCTATAGCACATTATTTTAGTTTTACTTTTGGAAAAAATGTCATTAAACTTTTTTTTTTTAGATTGAAGCAGCTGAGAAACTGAGAATCTCCATGTGGACACTTTTTTTTCTTTCCAATATTAATGTTAAATTTTATTGCTGCAGTGACCCATCGCTACGTGATATCTGATACAGTTTTATGCAAAAGTTTGGACACCAATGATAATTATGATAATTTTCATAATTGCAAGCCATTGCCTACTGGTCTTGTAAATTAGCCAATTTCATTTAGATATATTTTATACCCAAGGGAAAAAGCAACAATTCAGTTCTGACATAAAATTTTTTTTAATAAACTGATGCAATGCAATGTAAGTCTTAACAAAAACAGATAGGTGCAAAAATTTGGGCACCTTAACAGAATAATGACCTTAAACTTTTGTACAGCAACATTTTGCTGAAATAACAGCATATAGACGCTTCTTATCTCTCAAGGATAAGTCCCTGAAATCTTGCATAAGGCTTTTGGACCATTCTTCCTTTTAACATTTCTCCAGTTCTGTCAAGTATAATGGATGCAGAGGATGAACGGACCTTTTCAAATCAATCTATAGATTTTCGATAATGATCAAGTCTGGGGAATGGGGTGTCCATTCTAGAACATTGTATTGTGTCTGAGCATGAATTCCTTGGTAGATCTGGAACTGTCTTTTGGGTCATTGTCCTGCTGAAACATCTCACCCTGCCATAACTTCAGCCTCTTGACTGATTCCTGAACATTGCTTTTAAGAGTCTGCTGATACTGGGTGGAATCCATGCAACAGTCAACTCTGACAAGGTTTCCAGTACTTGTGCTTTCCACATGTCTGCACAGCATGGCAGACACTCCATCATATTCTACATTAAATCTGCAGATTTTTGGTTCGTCTCTGACCATTCTAACCATTTTTCACCTTTGCCTTTCAGTTGTTTTTCTTAGCCTGCTACATCTTTCATTTACAAAAAACTGTTCTTGCTGCCTTCCATTTTCTTACTGTATTTCTAACTGCAGAGATAAAGACTTTAAACCTTTGTGTTAGTTTTTTTGTCTCCTCCTAATTCATGTTGATGAATTATCCTAGTTTTCAGGTCATTAGGAAATTCTTTTGAGGTCTCCATGTTGCTACTTTGTGGTTTACAATGGGAAGAAGCACAACTAGCAATAGACTATCTTTTATCAACTGTCTTTTATTCTTTTTCTGATTGGTTGCACCCGTGTTAGGATTGTTAAGGCTCACTGAGTCACTCGAATGAATTTTGTGTTGTAATCAGTCAGCATTAAGTCACTACAGGTTTTGGAATTCACACAAAAGAAAGGGTGCCCAAACTTTTGCACAGCCTACTTTTCAGTTTCAATTTAATTTCACATGTCTCAGTACTGCTACACTGCGTATTACTGTCTAAAAAACATGACATTATCTAGCTTTCTCTAGAAACCGAATGGCATTTCACTGATTTTCTCTTATAATGAAAAAGCACATTACTATGCAGTCACAGATGGGTGCCCAAACTTTTGTATAAAACTGTAGATGATTGAGTTTCTGTCACTCATTTTCATTATTATTCAGCAAAAATCACAAACGCTTTTGAAATGTAGAATGCAATACAATTAAACACATTCTAGAATAAGGTTTATGATGCTATGTGCACAAGCAAATTCAGTAATATTTCAATACAATATTTAGCTTTTAGCTCATCCCTAAAGGTCAAACTCATGCTTCCTTTTTGACTTCTATGTGCTGAAATTCTTGCTTCTTTCTCTGAATTGTCAGCAGTTCTGAATACAGTTTGGCAAGAGGATATGCTGCCCACATAATCACCACTGTCAGATTTAGTACAGACCAAACCTGACAAACACACGGCACACCCCTCTGACCCACTGCGCACACACACACAAACACACATGTTAGTTTTGGTGGTTTATGAAGACACAATGTCATGTGCATAATGTATTTTGTAATGTAAAAAATGGCTTATTATATACCCTTCTAAGCCCAATCCTCACAGGAACCATGGCAAATTTTGAATGAAAAAAAAGAGTAATATTTTAGTCTTTGTGAAATATGTGGACACGTGGCATGTCCTTATAAACCACCTCAACATTTAATACCTAGCTCATAATCATGTCATTATATAAATTTGTGTCCTTGTAAAACACCCAAATCAGCACAGACCCACATACACAGGAAACATCCAAAACAAATCTGCAGAACCTTATATGTTTGAGTAAAGTTTTCAGTTTTTACTTTGTTTTTACTATAATTTTAACAAATTATTTTCAAAATCATTGCTATACTTCATAATCACTTGTTACCAATTTTAATTCATTAACGATTATTTTCAAAATCATTACTATACTTCATATTTAAGTGCAACAAGTTTTTGGTCATTTAATTTAAAGTTAGGTTTGGTGTGATCAACCATTCTCTTTTATGTTGTTACAAGTACAGGATTAAGTATGTTTCATTTGCTATACTGAATGAAAATGCAACGATAATTCATGTTTTATTTTTTCAGAAATATTTTAAACTTTTTATGGAGTCACCAAAATGTCTTATCATTTAATGAGGACAAAAAGTTTAGAATGATTTTTTTTCCTATTGTAAAGTATTGTGTTTTTACATTTTCTGTTAATAATAATGATAATTTTTATTTATATAGCGCCTTTCCAGAGCTCAAGGACACTTTACAAGGAATACAACAAAAGGATAAACAAACATACATGAGGTCAAATATAACAAACTTGAATAACACAAACAAGACCTAAGAGACATATGAGCAGGATAGTGGTGGATCAGATTAAGTGGTCAGTTTGGTAGATCAGATGCAAAGCATTCAGAAAATAAGTGAGTCTTAAGTAAGGATTTGAATTCAGAGATATTATTAGCAGAGCGGAGTGAGTGAGGTAGAGAGTTCCAGAGTTTGGGTGCAATAACACTAAATGATCTGCCCCCCATTGAAGAGAGGCGATACCGAGGGACAGCAAGAAGGCCAGAGTCAGCAGACCATAAAGAGCGAGTTGGGGTGTAGGGGACAAGCATCTTGCAGAAATAGGAGGGTGCAAGGTTATTTATGGATCTAAATGCAAGAAGGAGAATTTTGAATTTAATCCGGTATGCAACCGGGAGCCAATGAAGATCATACAAGATTGGCGTTATGTGAGCTGAACGTTTGGTATGAGTGAGTATTCTAGCTGCAGAGTTTTGAATATACTGTAATCTAGAGATGAGGCTAGCAGGCAGGCCAATGAAAAGAGCATTACAGTAGTCGATGCGTGAGGAGACAAATGCATGGATGACAGTCTCAGCATCCTTGCTACTGATGAAGGGACGCAGTTGTGAAATGCGACATAAGTGAAAGAATGCAGATTTAGTGACAGATTTAATGTGTGACTAAAAAGAGAGTGTGGAGTCAAAGATTACACCTAAATTTTTTACAGAAGTAGATGTTTTAATGTGCAAGCCAGCAATCTCACAGGAATAACTGGTGGGAATATTGCTGGTAAGTGCTGGGGTGCCAATAAAAATTATCTCAGTTTTGTCCATATTAAGTTTTAGTGAATTTGAGGTGAGCCAATCATTAATATCCTTCACACAAGCAGAGATGTTGTCAATTTGGGCGGATGCGGTTGGAATACATACAGAGTAAAGTTGAATATCGTGTTGAATGTATGTTTTGTTGTGTTATTATATTTAGGTGTGTTACCACCATGATCACATTTTAATATGCCTGCTGGACAGATCTCTTCATATGAATACTGACTTTAAGTTTTTTAACTTGCATTATTGTAGTGCTTATGAGTAAATGTTATGTGTTTTTTAAAACTGGTTTTGGTTTAGTTACTGTAGTTTGGTTTTTAAACTTGTTGCTAAATATAAAATCACTAATATGCAATCACTTCATATCTAAAGCGTTGTAAGCATGCATCAATGTCATTTTTCCAGAGACCTCTTCATCATCTGTCCCACCGTGGATATGGCTGAATTTTGGGCAGCAAACACACAGACTGGTGTTTACATGTACCACTTACCTGAAAACGCTGCTTATAACAGGTGCTGTTCAATCCACACACATAACATCACACTATAGTTACCTGACAGATTCATGAACATTCTCCCTATGCTACATATGTGTTTGTCACAGTGTTGACCTGTCAGTTCCAATGGATGTGCAATATCTCTTCGGAGTTCCTCTTGCCGCAGAAAAGCGTGACCTCTTCAGCTACAAGGAGAAAACATTCACCCTGCAAATCATGAACTACATGGCAAACTTCATAAAGTCTGGGTATTTATCTTTATTTTATTTGTATTTATCAGTTTTTTTGTCAAAGCAATAGATTTATCTTTGCATTTGAGTGGAAAAAATTATCTGATAGAGAGAATTTGTTGACTAGGGTTCGTTTGTTGATTGAATGGAGTCAGATCCAAATATTAGCTTGCAGATAGTTGTTTAAAATAAAAAAGAGAAGTGACTTTATATAGAATATTGAAGTACTTTTTATTAGCAACACGGGTGACCATTATGTGAACTGCAATAGCTCACTTAAAGGGATAGTTCACCCCAAAACAAATATGTCATAATTTCCATACCCTTAACTTATTTCATTAATTAACATTTTCAAGTTTATTCTTCTTCTGCTGAACAAAAAAAGAAGATATTTTAAAGAAAGCAAAAACATGCACCCACTTGTTCAAAATGTTAATAACATTTAAAATTACAAAATAAAAGTAAGAAAGCTGCATGGATTAATAAACTCACAATAAGATCAATAACATGAATTCAGAAAGTTGATTTCCTCTGTTCATCTCTCCTCTTGTCTTGACAGAAACCCCAACCTGCCTCTTGCAGCATCAAGAACCTCCTTCGGTAAATTCTTGCCCCCATGGCCACAGTTCATGCCTCATGTAGGTGGACGGGCCTATAAAGAGCTGTCATCGACTCTTGTGAACCGCAAAAACCTCCAGCGATCTCAGTGTTCCTTCTGGTCTCAGTATGTGCCTGCTTTGACCAGCTCCACAGGTTAGTACGGTCCTTCATGTTCACGTAGACCCATTTTTGACCAGGCTATGCACATGGTTAAACCTGGTTTTAACTTCACAGCCAAATTCTCATGTGGGACCTCAGCGGAAGAGACCGGTGTTCAAACCCCAACCCAAGAGCCCAAGCCTCTCACTCCTGCCAGCTTCACTCTGACTCCAAGCAGACAGAAATCTGAGAAAGATGCTTACAATTAGTTTACATTTAGTTTTTTTGTAATTGCTTAAAACCAATGCAGTCTCTGCACTTGAACTGTTTGTTATTTTTTGTAGATGTAAATGAATCAGCGAACATTTATAGTAGACCTCAACCAATAAACTGCATCTTAAAGATTTGGCTTATTCTTTACATTGAAAGTAATATAACACAACACAGCACAGCTATTGTTTACTAGCTAAAATACCAAACACAGAGAGAAGCACTAAGGGTGTGTTCACACTTTGTATCTTTGGTTTAATTGATTAAAGTGCCCCTATCATGGATTTTTGAAAATGATCTGTCATGCAGTGTGTAAGACAGCTCTAAGTGAATGAAAACATCTTGCAAAGTTTAAGATCTGAAAGTGCACCGTATATAAAGTTAGTGTCTCTCAAAAGATTGTGTCATTAAAACAAGTCATTTTCTAAATAGATCCCATGCCAATTCATATTGAAGTCAAGCTGAAACAATAGCAGAGTAAAAATAAATGCATAATATAAGAAAATGTGTTTTCTGAACATGCATGTCAACCAGTTCTCTGAAGGCCCGTGCACACCTAGACGTTTTTTGCTTGCGTTTTCCATCAACGTTTAACGCCTTGTGACTATATAAAGGGCTCAATGTGATCATGCACACCGGCGTGCAAAATGCCAGGCGTAAAAGCGTCTTTTAAAAAAAAAAAACGAATCATTTTCGTTTTTTTTATTTGATGCGCAACGTTAAAACCTTCTCCACCAATCAGATTGGCACTTTTGTTCATGTGCAAGGAGCAGCTGAAGTTACAGTAAACAGCACTTGGTGGTGCTCAAGCACAAAACTGTCATTGCGAGCGCATATTGAAGCAGATGCCCAGAGGCGATATGAACATGGAGCTGCTTGCTTTGTGAACAATAATCATCTCTTCATCGCTAGAGCTGGAGCTGCTACTTAAACCATCCATAGCAAAGCGTGTGAACTTCCCCTCTTCCTCTTCTTCTGTGTTACAAGTGGGTGTCGGAAGCTTAAAGTTTTGTAGCGCCATCTAATGTCAAGGAGTGATTTTGCATACTCTTCTGTTTGACGCCAGTGAAAATCTCTTAAGTTTAAATGCGGAAAACGTCTCGTAAAACGCTGATGATAAACGCAAACGAAAGGCGTCCTGGTGTTTAGGAGCCTTGAGACTCCTAAAACTTTAATATGAACTTTTTTTCATATTCCATAGGAGCGCATAATCCATAGGTGTTAACACTAGCTATGTTTCCATCTAAAGATGCAAATGAAATGTATGCACAAAATTGGAATATAGCATATAAGGCATATGAATAAAGCAGCGTTTCCATTCAAGTAGTCAATGAGAACAAAATCGTCACTTTCTGATTAACTGGTGCCAAATATCAACAGTAAAAACGGAATTTGCTGCGGTAATAGAAACTGTGTAAATCTTTTCTTTATTTAATAAATGACTTGGGCCTTAGGAGACAGAATGCCTACACAATGAATGTGTAGAGGTGTTTGAAGGCTTGAGACGCGGCATTCAAATCACGTGTGTGAAAGCATTTTGGCTTACCTGTAAAATATAATGATGATGGATAAATTTGTTTTATGTCACTGTTTGTTTAGTCTACATTAATGCACTCGGTGTAAAGCTGCACAATTGAACATTAAAAGATCTCAAACTTGCGCAACATGATTGATAAAAGATAATGATTTGCTTATGTTTAATAATCTTTGTAAGTGCTGCATTCAAATCTGTGTTTGATCAAGAGAGATTCAATTTTTACACATTTTCAGTTAGTTACAAACAATTAAATTACACAGAAGTACTGGAATAGCAGTTTCTTGTTCAGATATGAACACTAATGTTTATGGTAAAGATGTTTGATGGAACTTGTCGTTGGTAAATAATATCCTGAATCCTTATTTCCTCTGTCAAATCACATAACACCTAGAAACACTTTATACAAAGCCAAGTGAAAGGAGTTTGCTTGCAATTAATACTTTGATGACACATACTTTTTAATTGATTAATAAATATGGGGTAGATGCATTCTACATAATCCTTTATTGTGATTCTTGGAATTACTTTTTATGGCAAGGCAAGTTTATTTATATAGCTCATTTCACACACAATGGTAATTCTAAGTGCTTTACATAAACAGGAATAAAGGAGACAAGTATAAGAAAATAAAAACAACAAAGAATAAAAAATATTGAAAACAGATTAAAATGTGTTAAAACCGGTTTTAAAAAATGAAAAAGTAAAATGGTGGAAAAGATAGTAAAAAAAAGTGTTTTGTCACATAACAGTGGTTAAAGGAAACGCAGTTGTTTCACAATAGTTTATTTTTGTTATTGAGATTACGTGGAATACTGAGTTTTGTGGAAATCTTTAATTTAAACCAGGTGAACATAAGTGATCCAGGTCTAAATATCATTGTCTTAGCCTTGATCAAATGATATGCCTAGTGTACATGATTATCAAATTGAAAGTATGAACACATCCAAAATATCATTGTTGATCATTAATTGGGTAGTTTAGCATTAAAATGAAGTCACGTAGAATAAGTCCTGACCAAAGTGCTATGAAGACGTACAGTATGAGTAATCCTGACCGTTTCACTTTCTGCAAGTTTCCAGATGCCGCAACCGGCTCGTGTGCCACTGGCTGAGGGCTATTCTGAGATCCTAATTATCACTTTATTCCTGGAGATTATAAGAAGCCTTTCCTCTGTGTCTAGACTGTTCTCTTCCAGCTGTCTGGACACTTTCAATTATGTTCAGCCGAATGAATGAAGTCAACATCAGGGCATTTTCACGAAACGTGAGATACTTTTTTAATCACTTCCACATGCACTATGAGGCAAAATTGCATATTAGGGGCTCAAAGATTAAATGTTTTCCACTGATTTTTCTTCTTAGTCTGCGGTGTAGTGGATTAGTTCAGAATTTGTACCGTTTCTCTGTTTCGGGCATCAGTGGCAGGCTTCCAGCTGTCAGACTCCATTTGTAAACACTGGAAGCCTCAACTCCGACCAAGCACATACTTCAGGGTTTTGGTAAAATATAAACATGTCACAAAAAAGTGAAAGGCTATCCTGCTCCTCTTAAAAATATTTTAACTATGCACCAAATTGATTTTATTGCATTATTATAACTTCTCCTCATTTTTTATTTTTATACCTAAATCATTATTCATTCATATTAGAGATGAACAGTTTCCTTATTGTTTGAAATAGCATCAAACCCAACTAAAAAGATGAGAAATGTTTTGAAATCCAGATTGCAATGTTCATATTACTACTTGGAAAAACATGGAATTGGCTTTTTTAATGTGGCATCTATTTATATTTCATATTTAAAGACTCACAGTGATGCTCATCATCTCTGACACCAGAATTAAAAGTTTCATAAAAGATAATAGATTGTTACGGAGACCCTGTAGGGATGTGATGGTGGGGGAAAAAAATGGGTAGAAGGAAAAAAAAACCCTCACAAAACCGTTGTTTGACAAACACTTCCTGTTCACTTCATACAAGTCAACCCTCCCGTTTTTGCCAGGATTCTCACGTATTTTACCATTCTGTCCCACTATAATCCTTAAGTAATAAGTATTTTTCCGTATTTTCCAATATTTTTAATCTTGAAAGCACGTTGAAATTATTATTTTATTAATATTTTAAATGGCGTGAACAGAAGCTGATCTGGGATCAGTTTATCAAACGAAGCGGGTCTGTCTGTCAGCGCTTATGCGTTTACTGATTCAAAGGTTGCATGTGAAGGGCAATGATCGACCCACAGCTTTAATGGAAAGAAAGTGAATGCAGACATTTTTATATTAATTTCAAAGTGCTTTCAAGATTAAAAATATGGGAAAATACTTAATGATAGGATGATAGCGGGATAGAATGGTAAAATACGGGAGAATCCCGGCAAAAACGGGTTGTCATGTATGAAGTGAATAGGAAGTGTTTGTCAAACAACAGTTTTGCGAGGGAACACAAAACCTTAAAAAATATATATCTTTCTATCACTTTTTTTTTCTTCCACCCATTTTTTTCCCCACTATCACGTCCCTTCGGCGGGTCTCCCTAGATTTTGGTATTATGATTAAGTTTGCAGTTTTTTTTTTTTTTTTTTTTAGCTGTACTACAACACAACGTGTACTATATTTTTCATAAGTGAAGCAATGTTGTTTCTTTCAGATTCATGCATTGATTTTCATGCATCAGACTACAGATTTTTTTTTTTCTGTACCATTTTTAATTCATGTTTTTATTTGCAAAACTGAAATTTGACAGTATTTCACAGTATTTTCACATTTAAAATATGGTGTTAAAATGTATATTTTTTACAGAATATAGTAATGCCATTTACTTTTTTTTTACAATTTATAAAATTTGCTGTCTCAGAAAAGTCCAAGATTTCAGTTCTCTCCTGCACATCTTTCATGCTGTAACTATTTTTGTAGTCTAATATTGTTTTTATTTTTATTTTATGCTGCTAAATTAAACCAACAAAACAAAAATCATGTCTAAATTACTCTAGTAGACGGTCTGTTGGTTTCCTCCTCTGATTGGTAAGTTCAGCCTCAGAATGAATGGCTTTACTTAGATTTCATGTCATACCATAATTATGCCGATGTCAACATATAATTAAGACATTACAAATCTAAATATTAGTCATTTTGAACATGAATTACTATGTTATTATATAAAACTGCTGTGAAAAGGTTCGCTTTCTAAATAATCCAGATGTTTTCAGGGCCGGATTTAAACAATAATCGAGGTAAGCAGCCGCTTGGGCCCTAGGAAATTTGAAATATAGAAGTAGAAGTATAAGGAAGTATAGATTATACCTATAAACTATATTACAATGTTTTCTGTCATATTTTGTTTGGTGAGAGTCAAACAAACAAGTTTAAATTAACTAAATATGGGCAAAGCAGTGGCGGGGCAAAGCAGTGGCGCAGTAGGTAGTGCTGTCGCCTCACAGCAAGAAGGTTGCTGGGTCGCTGGTTTGAACCTCGGCTCAGTTTCGAACCTCATTTCTGTGAGGAGTTTGCATGTTCTCCCTGCGTTCACGTGGGTTTCCCCCGGGTGCTCTGGTTTGCCCCACAGTCCAAAGACATGCTGCAGGTGAATTGGGTAGGCTAAATTGTCCTTAGTGTATGAGGGTGACATGAGGGTTATGAGGGTTATCATATGGACAAGTCTAAAATGGTTTATTTCCAAAGAGCCGACCCCGCAACCATGTGGGACTAAGGCCAAAGAAGAAGATATATATATATATATATATATATATATATATATATATATATATATATATATAGTTTAAATATAAAACAATATTATTATAACAATGTAATGTATTAATAATATTATGAATTAAAATGTTATTATCACATCTGCACAAATTTGTCTCAAATCATTTGTGCCCCAAAAATCCCCAATTATGCAGTCCAGCAGTAAAATCTATAAAATACATAGGCTATTTATTATATTTATGAAATAAAAGTTAACACGGTCATTTTAAGACCGTTGGGCGTGATGAAATTGTTTAGGGCCCCTAAATTACAAAATTGCCTCTGGATGTTTTATTCCTCTACTCTTGAAGCTTGAACCGAGGGAAAACTTCCAGCAAACTCCCTCTTCCAGCATCTGACAGACACACACAGACAGACTGACGTAAAGCAGAGCGGAGTGCTGCTCAGCCGCAGATCCGCGCGTGTCTCAGCGACGACCGCTTGTGGATTGTACCTGTAGCAAACTACATTTCTTGTTTCAATGCATTTCTCTCAGGAATTTAGTAATGTGGAGACTCCTGTCGTGGATTCTTTTGACATCCAGTTTGCACCAGGTGAGGTTTTATCATACTGTTTATTGATTTTATGCAGTAGCCAGCGTGTTTAAGAAGGCATAAAGCTGCGGTTCTGTACCTCAGTTTAATAAAATAGCCTATATTGCTTATTAAAACGCAAGAGCTCTTGGGTTTCAATAGCGCATACACGTCAATGTCTCTGGTTAATTACAGATCTCATGCATGAAGAAATTAACTAAAACTTATCCAAAATGTACAGTGTTTGATCATTATGACAGTACAGCTATATTGGTCATGTGACAGGATCATGTGCTTTTAAAGTTTATGCTTATAGTTACTCTTTAACACATTAAAAATTATTGCTGTAGTATGTTACTTAATATTTTCTACAATCCCTTTGAGTTCCACTTAAGGTTTTTCATTTTATCTGGAATTATCGATTGGTGTGGGAGAAGGAACAAGTTCTGAGAACCAAAACTGAACAAAGAGATTAAAGGGATAGTTCACCCAAATATCAGAATTCTGTCAGCAATTTCTAAGCTTGTTTGAATTTATTTATTATGTTGATTCAAAAAGAAGATATACTAAAGAACATTGAAAACATAGCCTAGCTTCCATATTCGTTTTTCCAACTGGATCATCAGAAAAAAAAGAAACTGTTTGCTGGAACAACTTGAGAATTTGTTAATTGTGAGTAAATTTTCATTTTAGGGTGAACTATTCCTTGAATACTTGTATGCCATAGTGTACATATTGTGTAGTTGGTAAGTATCCGTTTTCAAATGTACCATCTGTCTTAATGATCGTATAGAAATAAAATTAGTGATTTGTTTGGATTATTGATACATTAACTCAAAGAAATTTATGAACAAAGCGCCACAGCTTGAGACGCATAAATTCTGCTCAGTCTTTGTTTTGGAACTATTTTTAAAAGAAAATATTGTCTCTGAAACTAGGTATTTGCAAAATGCTTAAAATTGAATAGTTGTGAACTTGTGATTATACAAGGGGTATTTTTTTATTTGCTTTTATAACTTGATTTGAATGGTCATTTACTGTATTCTAAAAGTCTCTATCGTCCAGTGACGGCTTTTGGATGCTTAAGACGACGTGTTTAAACATGAAGAGTGATATTCACTATAATTTCAGATTCTGTCTTGTTAAGAAACTAATCTATTGTATCCTCTGCTATGAAGTTCTTGGAAACCTGTTTAAAAGGTCCAGATTCAAAATAATTGCAAATAAAACTCTCTATCGCCCCAAAGTGGCTAAAACATGACAAGTTTGTCTCTTCTCTTCCACACAGGCCAGTTTCCACAACTCCACAGACTCTCCTCCTATGACCACAGAATTGGACCCTTATAACCGAAATCGATACTGTAAATGGCCCTGTAAGTGTCCCAAGAGCGCCCTTGTTTGCCCACATGGGGTCAGTCTGTTAACGGATGGATGTGACTGCTGCAAGGCTTGTGCCAAGCAGGCAGGAGAGACCTGTAATGAGAGAGATATCTGTGACTATCATAAAGGACTTTACTGTGACTACAGCGCTGACAAGCCGAGGTACGAAAAAGGAGTGTGCGCATGTAAGTGACCCTGCATATTCTTTATAGCTCCACTCTGTTTTATATGAAATGGCTGAATGTGGATTAGCTGAAGTCTACAGTAAAATAGTTATAATTAAGAAAGATTCACTTTGACTTTGTATTAAATCCTTTAAATACTGTAAAATACCACTGCATATAAAATATGACATTACAAATATAGTTGGATAAATACTTCATCTTATTGCACACGTAAGCAACTAAAGCAAATGTTAATTTAGTGTTTATTTATATGTAGACTATATTTATACAGGGCAGGATTTTGGCAAATAATAATTAAATTCATTCGTTATTTAATTTAAAACAATAACTTTTTATAAAAGTGTATTAAATTAATTATTTATATGCTGTAAAAATGTATTAAATGAAAATTAAATGTTTGTTTTTTCTAGCATAAATCTTTGTGTAAATTAGATAAAACAAATCATGGTTTTCAGTGTGGTCTTGGACTTCTGGACCCCACAGTATTTCAAAATTAAATGTACTATAAATATATGAATACAATATAAATGTATACAGTTTAAATATACGCCTTTTAGTACAAATAATTTCAATGCAAAATCCAATGGCAAAAATTTTCTTGTGTGTTTCAGATGTTATGGGCACAGGCTGCGAGTATAATGGCGTGATTTACCGTAATGGCCAAAGCTTCCAGCCCAATTGTAAATACCGCTGTCTGTGTGTAAATGGGGCAATTGGATGTGTGCCTCTGTGCACTGATTCGTTGCCACCACGAGTTTGGTGTCAGTCTCCCAAACGAGTAAAGATCCCAGGCCAATGCTGCGAAAAATGGATCTGCGAAGAGTCTCGTAAACCACGAAAGACCAACCCCAGACATGCCCCCGCTGAAGGTAAGCTGGTATTGATTGTTTGCTGTGAGGCACTTACAATGGCGGAAATAAGTATTGAACACTTCATGCTTTTTCCCGGGAATAACATTCTAAAGGACATGGAATTGAAGCAGAATTTGGTAAAAACCCAAACAATACAAACATAAAAATAAAACAAAAAAAAATTGTTATGTGAAATAACAATGGAATGATGCAAGGAGAAAGTACTGAACTACTGAAAAATATATAATACTCTATATAAAAGTCTTTTTTAGTGATGGCAGCTTAAAGATGCCTCTCATGTGGAGGATGAAGTCAATGCATTGCTAAGGTGTAATTTTTTTTTTGTTCACAGATTTAAACAGAGGGTAAAAATCTAGATAGTTTTGTGGGTCTCGTCTATCAAATTTAATCATTAGTTTGTATTTTATATTGGATTCAGGTCAGGTGATTGGCTGGGCCATTCTACTGCTAGATTTTTTTTCTCTGAAAGCATTTGTTTCCTTGGCTGCATTTTTCATCGTTGTCTTGCTGAAATGTTCTGCCTGGTTTCATCTTCATCATCCTGATTATGTAGATGTTGGATTGAAGCAGCTAATATTCATTTATAATGATGAAAGGCAGAGGGTTGCTGAAAAACAGAGATATTTCAGCTGCTGTCTGTCTTTACTGCCTTTCTACACCTTCTTTTCTTCACATGTTTAATCATTTTTCCCTGCAACATTTCATTATATGACAAATAACCTCATTTGTAAACTCATTAGTTTTGTTTTCTTTGCATATATGGATTTCTTTGATTGTTGCCAAAGTTTAGTAAAGATTTCAGCACATTTAAAAATATGTTTTGTGAGAAAAATGGTGATGTGTTCAATACTTATTTCCCTCTCTGTATATTGTTTTACCAGAGGAATCTCATGCTGTTTCTTGTTGTCTTTTTCAGTCTCCGCTAATGATATTTGGCATAACAACTGCATTGCCCAGACGACCCCATGGAGTCCCTGCTCAAAGACCTGTGGACGGGGCATTTCGCTGCGCATCTCTAATGAAAATGCTGGCTGTGTGATGGAGAAAGAGTCTCGACTGTGTAACCTCCGACCCTGTGAGGTGGACATCACCAAGCACTTCAGAGTGAGGAATTCATTTTGCTGTTGTTTATTTCTGTTGTATTGAATTCACTCAACTATGGACAATGCACGGACGGACATGTATTTAGACAACTGATTGGCAGACAGACAGATATGCAGACAGTAAATAGGCAGTCAGACAGATAAATACATCAATTGATATACATACAGTATATACACTTACTGGCTACTTTATTAGGTAAACCTTGCTAGTACTGGAGTGGACCCCCTTTTGCCTTCAGAACTGCCTTAATCCTTTGTGGCATAGATACAACAAGGTACTAAAAATCCTCAGAGATTTTGGTCCATATTGACATGATAGCATCATGCAGTTGCTGCAGAATTGTCTGCTGCACATCCATTATGTAAATCTTCCGTTCCATCACATCCACCTATTGGATTGGGATCTGGTGACTGTGGAGGCCATTTGAGTACATTGAACTCATTATCATGTTCAAGAAAGCAGTCTGAGATGATTCGTGCTTCATGACATGCTGCGTTATCTTGCTGGAAGTAGCCATCAGAAGAAGAGTACACTCTGGTCATAAAGAGATGGACATGGTTAACAACTATACTCAGGTAGGCTGTTGCATTGATTGACGCAATGCTCAGTTGGTACTAATGGGCCCAAAGTGTGCCAAGAAAATATCCTCCACACCATTACACCACCACCAGCAGCCGGAACCATTAATACAATGCAGGATGGATCCATGCTGTCATGTTGCTGATGCCAAATTCTGACCCTACCATCGGAATGTCGCAGCAGAAATCGAGACTCATTAGACCAGGCAACGTTTTTCCAATCTTCTATTGTCTAACTTCTATTGGCCAACCCTGTGAAAATTGTCACCTCAGTTTCCTGTTCTTAGCTGACAGGAGTGTCACTTGGTGTGGTTCTCTGTAAACCCTAGAGATGGTTGTGTGTGAAAATCCGAGTAGATCAGCAGTTTCTGATACACATAGACCAGCTCGTCTGGCACCAACAACCATGCAACCTTCAAAGTCACTTAAATGACCTTTCTTCCCCATTCTCATGCTCGGTTTGAACTGCAGCAGATCATCTTGACCATGTCTACATGTCTAAATGCATTAAGTTGCTGCCATGTGATTGACTGATTAGAAATTTGCAATGAAGCAGTTGAACAGGTATACCTAATAAAGTGGCCGGTGAGTGTATACACTGCAAAAATGGTTTTGTTACTCTTTCTAGTCCAAATATTTTAAAATTCTTAAATCAAAAAGCATTTTCTAGACATGCAAAAGGTGTCGTCTTGTTTTCAGAAATATTATGTCAAAATGAATTGAGTTTTTTCTTAACACAAACCAAATAATCTGCCAATGCAGTAAGCAAAAGCCTTTTGCCTTGAACCCATATGGTATATTATTTTATTATTATTATTATTATTTTGCTTGTTTTATGCAACAGCTAATTTAATTTTGACATATTATTTCTGGAAACAAGACTGTTGTTTTGTTTTTGTTTTGTTGTTGGTTTTTTATATATTTTTACTATATATTTTTTTGAAAATGCTTCTTGATTTAAGAATTTTTAGATATTTGGACCACAAAAAAACAAGACAAAACCTCTAAGAAAAGCATTTTTTGCAGTGATATAGACGACAGACAGACAGATGTTTATACATTTAATAGATGGGCAGACAGATAGTTAATATGTAAGCATACAGAAAGATAGATGTGCATATGTACATACATACAGGCAATAGATGGACAGAAAGACTGGCAAGTATGCAGATGATAAATAGGCTGAACAACATAAAGTTGGGACACAGTCAAATATATAGACGTAGACATATAGAAAATTAGCAGACAGACCTGTGTACAGATGATTGATGGTTTGGCAGGCAAATGTCAAATCTAGACAGGAAGACAAAAAGATACATAGATGACAGATAGACAAACAGATGGGCAAACATACAATGTATGATATATAGACAAATATATAAACAATTGACAATTATGATTTATTGATTTAATGTTTGACTTTCTGTCCTATCTCTTACTCAGCCGGGTAAAAAATGCCTGAATATCTATCGTGAGCCAGAGTTTCAGAACTTCACCATCTCAGGCTGTGTCAGCAAGAAGCCTTATTGGCCCAAATACTGTGGTGTCTGTACTGATGAGCGCTGCTGCATCCCTTACAAGTCCAAGACCATCGAGGTGGAGTTTGAGTGTCCAGATGGAGCACTTCTCACCTGGAAATACATGTGGATCAACGCCTGCTTCTGCAACCTCTCCTGCAGGAATCCAAACGATATCTTTGCAGATCTGGAGCAGTACTATGAGTTTAATGAGATTGTTAACTAGTTTACAAAGAGCCAAGTGCTATATCTTTATACGGGATCCTTCTGCTCACATTTGGAGTCCATGAAAAGCATCAGTGACACTAATAGGGATACTCTAGTTGATGGTACGGAAAAAGGATTATTCAATGTTGATTAGAAATCATTTCAGATGATTTATGAATAAACATCAGCACAGTTACTCATATTGAGAAAACTTGTAAGGGAACGTTTGTATGATAAAAGAGGTTTCGAATGCATGCATAAGAGAAGACTAATGTTAAGTTTGAGAAGTATTGAATTTAAGATGTTTTGTAGACTTCCTGCTACAGACGTGCCAAGTCCCAAAGAATTTGTTTGTTTTTACAAATGTATGTTGTGTTCAACGATAAAAGGAATTCTCCTTAAAGGAATATAAATCATGCATTCTAAAAATATATATATAATTTAGTTCAAAGGGTGTTTTAAAATGTATTTATGTCCTTACAATGTAGCATTCTGAAATACACATACAAGAGAAATGTCTGTGATATTTTTATGGTTCAGATGTTTATTTTGTCATCACTGTTGATGTTTAATTCTAGAAATATGCAAGAAATGTATCTTTTCTGATAAAAAGACATTTCCTTATCCAGGTCCATAGCCATGGGAGGTTCAGGTGGTTCGAAATACCCACATAAGCTCATTTGTCCTATTTTGACTGCTAAACATATACCATTATTCTAAATGTATTACAAAAAAAAAAAAAAAAAAAAAATACAAACAGGTCAATAAATCTAAATTCTATTAAAAATTGAGTGAATGTCTTTGTTCGACATGCAGATTTTGCTCAACAAAGTGTTGTCAAAAAATTTTGAGACTAAAGAACCTCTTAAAGCAAGACTAAAAATACAAAAAAAAAAAAACATAATCATGAAATTGAACCAGAAATAATGTCATACAGTCTTTTGAGGGGACTAGAAAAGAAAACCTATTCAGAAATCTTATAAATGGCTATATACAAATTACATTGTCTACAAATTCATACAAGTTTGGATTTTTGACAATCATATTATAAAGCCTACAGGCCCATAGCCTGGAGGGGTTTGGGTGGTTTGAAAGACCTGACAGAGGTCTAGAATTTGTCCCATAGATGAGCTCCTATTTTAACTGCTACGCTATAACCAATTGAGAAAATAATCCATAAAAGGATTTAAGACCAAGCGGAATCTGACATTATTGACTTTCACTACTGACCTACTCTATTATTGCTAAATAGAAAAAAAAAATTATAAGGAACTTTTATTTTAAATCTTGGACCTTATTCTTAAATAAAAGAAAAAAGAAAAAAGTCACCAAAAGCAGACCATATTAAACTAGATTTTAATACTAATTAGGCTGTTGTTGTTATCCATGCCTTTTAAAACGTACTTTATACAAGAGGGTCATGAAAAAATGTCAAGGACTATTAATTATTGTTATTAATTGTTCAATATTTAAATTACCAAATTCTGACTGAGAAAACTGAATGTGCTGCAGCTTGTTACTTGCCTAATAAATGAAAATAGGCTACAGATTTCAATTAAAAACTTTAACAGATTTCATTTTTGTTCCTAATGATATATGCTGTAATAAATTTGTATTTTGAAAATGAGTATTTTTTTTCTTTTAATATTTTTTTCTAAATCTTTGGGAAATATTTTAGTACATCAAAAAGTGCGGTTTTGATGACCATCCACCTAGCTAAACCAGCTAAGAAAAATGATTAAAATGTCACTAAATGCAGTTTTTAACCTAATAACTAAATAGAAAATAAAGTAAATAACTGCAAAAAAAAAAAAAAAAAAAAAAAAAGAACAAGCACTTTCACCAGGCTGGCCACCGCCCTGTTATCTGTATGATTTTGCTTATTATATTCATTTTATACCAAATAGCAATTTACATAATGGTGCAATGTAGCAGTTTGAAATGAATGAGTTACTGTGATATTAGAATTTAATGGCTGTTAAACATTACACAGTAATGAGACTGACTTTATAGGTTATTAGTTATATTTTATTGATACAGTAAAATACAATCTTACTACATTCATATAAATCTCACTGAAGTCTTGCACAACCAGAAATGATTCAGAAATGTCAAGTGTGATGTAAACAGCTGTCTTTCTAAACTAACACTAAACATTACTATCAGGCATATGACACTATCAATTACAGGTGAGTTAATGCAGTAATAAATTGTGTATAAAAAAAACTCCCCCAGGCATTCATTCACATACACACTCCTCATTTTAAAATACACAACTAGCTTATACTTTCTCACAGCAAACTGTACATGTAAAATAAGCCCTCTTTACACAATCAGTATAAAATATTACATATTGCACATTGTAGGAAAACAACTGTTCAATGGTTCAGAATAGGATATTTAAAGTAGCCATATGTGTAAAATGTATGCTCTTTGAGGGCTATCGCTACTGTAATATCCCTTGTGATAAACACCAATGTTGAAACATTTTAATCAGCTTCTGATTCCAGATTAAACTGCTGAGGCGTGTTTTCAAGTTCAGCAGGTCAACTCGACGGAAACTGAGTGACCCGATGAACTGTGCTCCACACAGGCGCTTTCCATGGACACATCGGTGTGGGAACGTCCGCGCTGCTCGTCCGTTGTGCCGCTGCGGGTTCGGTTGGAGGAGTTACTGGCCGTACGAGATCGAGCCAGACGGGTCATACTGGCAGAGGGCACTGTGGAGTAGAGAGAAGAAGGTATTATCAATTATTAACGTGACTAGTAGTTCAAGAAGCTGTTGTGATGCTAAAACAATGCGTTCTTACTGTAGCCCATGCCCTGGATGAAATATTTGAAAGCTTCAATCAGTTTGCCAGGCTGTAAAAGAACATAAAGAATGTAAATTCACTGTAAAAGTCAATATAATCTAAATTAAGAACATGAAATCACTCAAATGATACCTGATCAACTTGAGGCAGGCCACCACAGTCAGCCATCTTGAAAACCAAAGTACAGAGTAAGTATAGATTTAATATTTTACAATATAAGTTGTATTTGACATATTTATAGCTACTGAATGTTTATAAAATAGAATAATAATGAAAGAATGTCGTTATAAATGCTATTGAAAAAATATTGATCAGTAGGCTAAATGACATGTTTGGTCACTGACCTTAAGAAAAGTGGTCGTTGTTGGATTCATTCTGGAGTTGCTGTCAACCTGTGAGGTAAAATATTTATAATATGAACATAATATAAAGTTTTGGTTAAAAAATATTAATCGTAGGCTATGAGTAGCTTATAATAAACATAAAATAACTCACTACAGCATCCACAGCTGGGGAATTATCACCCACTATGAGCAAAGCTGGACACCTGAAAAAAAAACAGTATAGTAAGGTATAATGCAATCCACCAGTCAAAATCCGTATGCTTACTGTCATCATGTGGGTAACCTACTGCAGGGTTTTTGTATTAACGTTTCCTCCTTGTACAGGTCTCTCAATCTCCAGATCCTTTCGGCTGAGAAATGATGGGTAAATTATTTCACTTATTAGTAAAATGAATTGCGTTCTCTACTTCACTGCAGTATATGAAAGTATATGAGCCATTGCTGACCCAGATGTTATTAGTGATACCTTTTGTAGGACTTGACAAACTGTTGCAGGTTGGACTGGTTAATGTTGTTCGTGATGAGCTGACGGAAGGTTGCGATCAGTTCGTGATTGTTGTGGATCTCCTCCTACAACATTAGTAAATGGTTTGAGAATTATTTTGCAGGTCATTTTGATTTAACTAGTCAAATAAGTCTCATCGTCAGTTCTCACCTTCCCAAACAGGTGTGAAATGACAGTATCAGGGAGAGCGTGAGTCCAGCTTGTAATCTGTCGAGGATATTACGCTTTAGTGAGGATTTATGTTAATGAGTTTAATAATCATGAGAATGCTAATGTCACAGAAAGAAATACCTTTTGTGCTGCCCAGTCCATGAAGCCCTCTGCCTGAGTGCTCATATTAATCAGAACAAGACCTTCAACCATGTCTGGATGTTTTAGCTTTTGGAGATAAAAGCAAGAACAACAATCATTAATACAAAAATAAGATGATGTATTGCTCTTTGTGCTGAACAAACATTCTTGTGTATTAACAAGCAAGTTGGCAAGAATAGTGAGCAGGATTATTCCAACACTGAGTTTTAATCTGTTTTATTCAAGACCGTTCAAAATTCAACTGTTAGGAAAAGACTTTAAAACTCACTGCAAAGCGGGCGAGGATATTGGCTCCAGCTCCGACCCCCATTCCAATCACACTCTTCAGACTATAGAGAAAAAACAGAGCACACCTGTGTCACTAAAAGTGAACTCCAAACCTCAAACATAAGCTTTAACGAGGGTTTCCACGGATAAAATTTGAATGTCAATTCCAGACATTGAAAATCAGGGAATTTTTATATAGTTTTATCTAAATCATATAGTATCAATCATTTTTTGTTTGTTGATTTAAGTTTTATTTTCTATTCACGCCTGTTGTAATGATTAAGCTCTTTTTCAGCTCCATTTTGTTCTTTTCACGTTCATTAACTGGCAATCTCTTGTCTAGTTAATCTTTTAACTACAGTCAAATATTGTACCTGTTAATTAAGGCTAACATGCCAGGATAAAATAGATTTTAGGAGCAGTAAGAAACAGTAAATACCTCAGTTTTATTTTTTCCAAAACCTAAGGTAAATTATCAATTGTTGTTCTTATAGTGGCTTTAAAAGCCCTTAAAGATGATATCCACACTGTAAAAAAACAAAAATCTGTTATTTTACGGGGGGGTTTTGGCAGCTGGAGTGCCGGAAAAAAAGTAAAAAAAAACAGCCATTAAATTACAGACATTTACCGTAAAATAACAGACTGTAAATTACAGAAATATACTTAAATTTAAATTTCTGGTAAATTTCTGTAATTTACTTTCTGATATTTTAGAGTAGATGTCTGTAATTTAACAGCCATTATTTTACCTTTTCCGGCACCCTAGCTGCTGGAAAAAAAGTAAAATAACTGATTTTTTACAGTGCAAGATATTCAACCAATTTTATATTATGCAAAACACAACAGAAGTCTGTTTATCCATTAATTACAGTTCATTGAAATTGGGAATTTGCTCTTTGGCTAATAGTGGGAATCCTATTTAACCACCAAAGATGATACAAAACTGAGCCTTAAAGTCTTACCCAAAATGATTGAGGACCATTGGTAGGCTCTCAGAAAGCTGATCCATTGAAGGGTAGGTATAGCTAAAAAATAGAAAGAACAACAACAGACATTTATTTTTCAGCCTCACACATGTGGAACAATATAGAGGTCAAACACTGTGATCGTCCAATCAAACAGCACAACAGAGTAATTAGGATCCAGGCATTAGCGAGGTCATAATCTGTCTGGAATGGATGTTGCTCTGGAGGGTTTGGATTATATGTGATGCATGTCAGTTACACTGCTGCAGCAGATGGCAGATCATAAACATGCTGTGTTCCTCTCAGACCTTATAAGTGACACGCTGACCTACATTCTACCAGTCTGGTGCCATAGGGTGCTGATTAAAGCTGTCTGCGGTATATTTGCTCGAAGCAGATCGGCTACGATTGAGCAGATTTGAAATGGATTTCCTGTCTCAGAAGCTGGGGACGTTTAATGCGTCTTTGTTTACGGAATGAGTAAGAGTGACTCCCTACTGGATGCTCTGGAGATTCAAATCTTTATGCTATTATTGATCTGGAAGCATAATGACCCCTGACTCACTCAGTGGAGAGCGTGCTGGCACCCTCCTGCTGTCCCGGGGCATCAACATGGCACACAGCGAAGTGTTGCAAGATCTCATGCATGTCTTTGTGATGAAACATTGACTCAAAACAGCTCTTATCTGCAAAAGAGGGAAGACAGAAACTGTGTTGCTAAGAAGTGTTGATGTTCGAACACAAAATCTTGAGGCGATTAAAAAATAACTGTTGTGTATAAGATTCCATTGTATTTATGTTGTTTCTTTTAAAAGCAGATTGATGTACAGACATTTATTTCTTGAATAACCAAAGCTTCTTACGGTTCAGTCCAATGTCATGGAAGGTCAGGATGGTGGGACGGTTGCCCTTCGGGACACCCTTCATGGTGCAATGCACCCTTCCAAAGGAGGTCTCCACATCATCCTCCTACAAAGGAAACATTATGGTCAGGTTTGTAACATCTTGTGTATTCTGTTGTTTCATTAGTAATGAATGTGTGTTCAAGAATTGTTTAATCAAATTTTAATTGGTTCAATCAGTATTTTAGTTTAGTTGGAGACTTCAGCAATGATTTAGTGCCTTTAAATTATAAAGAGAAAATTCTAATCTCATGTTTTCTTTGTGGCTACTACTCTGGAATAAAGTGACCCTTAAATTTTCTGTCGGATCTCTGGATTTGATGTTTATCGATTTATGTTTCAAGTATAATCTTCAATTTTATTTTATTTTAATAAGCTACTGAATAAAATGTAGGACAGGAGCAAAAAATGACAATAGGTTTTCATATTTTTAACTGCCCCAAATTTAATGTTTTATATGTTTTTCATTCTTTGTTATTATATATATATATATATATATATATATATATTTTTTTTTTTTTTTTTTTTTTTTCTCCCCAAAATATCCAGAGAAATTATAGCTGTTCTAAACAAATAATGACTGAAAAGTCTTTTAATTTTTTTATTCCAAAGTTGTATATGAATTTGGCTAATCACTTTGCTAAAGATGAGAGAATTACTTAGTTCATCCAAAATATATATATATCTTAACCCATTTTATAATTTGTATGAAAATAAAATCTGTAAAAAAAAAAAAACTAATGATGTCTCAATCAATTTATATTCAATTTACAGACATTTCCTTTAACTCCAAAACACAGCAAAATGTAATCCATAATTCAAAAAAAAGGTAAAGCTCCATAAACAATCTTTATAAAAATGCTGAAAATTCTTTCATGAACACGGATCACATTAAGCTGCATTTTCTAGACTGTAGTCCTAAATAGCCTACTTATTCTGCATAAAAATGCCAAAACACCTTAAGCAGAAATAGTAAAGCTGCAGGACAGTAAACAACACAAATCCCATCAACAGACAGCAAACATCAAAACAACAAGTCAACACATTTGAAAGACAAAACCAATGCAACTTAAACCAATGCTCTGTTTCCACTTTATCACTTTATCCACTTTACAGCATATAAAATATAAAAAACTCATGGATACAAATCAATAGATTCATATCTGAACTCACAGTAATGTCCAGCTCAAAGACGCTGCTCTCGGAGTCCTCCAGTACCATGGTTATTACAGTTGCTGTAAAAGGCTAGTGTGCTGAAATATTTGAGTAGATCCTGTTTAATTGCTTCTTCAAGCTTGGAGTTGCACAGAATGCACTGAGCTCTGGGTTTTATATCCTCTTGTTTACAGTGTGGCGCAAACGTCCCGCTCCCAGCATGCTTTGCTCAGTTGCCAGAAGGAGCCTAATTCTTAAAGGATGGAGAGCTCAGCAAATTGGATCAGTAAGTTAAGCTGGACATTGGCATCGCTGAGGGTGTCCCACCTTTTTGGTTTTCCCAAGGTATGTAAATATTTTGTGAATGAAGTATGTGACATCTTGGGAGTTTAGAGAATCCATTGTAGTGGCCATTTTATTATGCAATGCTCCATTGCTATACTGCCGTTTTTAAGTGCATAAAAATAATATTACATCACTCCTTTGAAAAGAAAATATTGCCATCATTTAATATATTTTTTTAAATATGGATTTATTAAAGTACAATAAATAACAATTTATTAATCATTTGATAAAATAACTAATAATGTTTTTGTCCCTCTAAATAGTGATACAGATTTTTGGAATTAAATCAGTATTATATTAATATTTTTTGTGATTATTTTTTTTAATAAAAATGACTGACAAAGTCCAGAATTTGGCCCTATATGAATTCATTTGTCCCTTTTTTGACAGGATGTCAACATAAATTATGAAAATAACTGATAGAAGAAGGCTTTATGACAAACTTAAATTTTTAATTATTCAATTGTACAAATTCTGACAGAGAAAATGAGCTGGCCAGTTTGTTATTTACCTACAGGCTACAGTTTTAATATGCTTTAACAGATTCCTAATAGTTTTTTTAATGATGCATTATAAATTATAAATTTGTATTTTAAAAACAAGTCTTTTTTCATACTTCTTTATGCTTTTTTATGTATATTTTCTAATCTCATAACATTATTTCTAACATTATTTATAAGCTATTATGTTTATTATAATAGCTTACAGCTTAAATGCACGTTTCGAAATAAACACTTTGTGATAGAGTAGTTTAGTATGCACTTTGACAAAATTGTAGAAAATATTTTTGTTGTATCAAAAACTGTGGTTATAATCACCATCTGACAAGCTAATCCAGCCAAGATTAGTGCTTAAATGTCACTAAATTGCAGAATTTGAACCTCAATTAGTGGTGGAATGAGTACTGAAAAATCATACTCAAGTAGAATAACCATTACTTAATTAAAAATGTAGTACAAGTAGAGTAAAAGTATAGTTTGTGAATATTATATTGCCCTTTTAAAAATATATAAAGAGTAGTGAGTATTATGCTGTGAAAATATCTGATGCATTTAGATGCAATTTGTATAGGAATGTGTAAACGTAACATTCTGTAGTGCATTTAGTAATTTTTTAAAGCTATTTGGCAATTGCAGTCATTATACAGTAGGTAAACGTCATCTTCTCATCAGTGATGTACATATAAACATCTCAGTCAAAAGATTTTGGAAATCTTTTTGGACACTTTTAATGCTTCCAAGTGGTTTGCTGGATTTATAAAGCCAGTCTTGAAGTCACAAGACTATTATTAGGATTTCCAAAGAATGAAACAGTCATCTGTTTATACAGCAGATGGACTGACACTATCCTTATTAATGAGAATCACACATGTCTCAAATCAACTTAATTAGACTATTATTTATAAAGCCAGTCAAGCATGTCTTGTATATGATGCAATTTAGTTTCTATGTGCGATTTGATTGGACAAGAATCACAGGACTGCTTATCCTACTTTAGCCAATCTCCATAGATAAAATAATAATAATAATAATAATAATAATTAATAATAATAATAATAATGATGATGATGATGATGATGATAATAATAATTAAGTAACTGCAGATTAAAGGAAAGTAGTGGAGTAAAAGTACCAATACAGTGCTAAAAATGTACTCAAAAACAAGTAATAGTTGTTTGTAGTAATTTGAGTATTTGTATTTATTACTTTACACCACTGCTCAACATTTGATGGAAATAGAAGAGAATAACTGCAAAAAAAAACCGAAAAAAAAAACCACCCTTTCAGTAGGCAGGCTACGGGCCTGAATTAGTATTATTAATTGATTAATTTATTTATTTACATAACATACTATAAGACCAAAGCATTTTTTATATTGTTGAAAGCTTTACAGAGCTGTAATGAAATGAGGATTAACATATTAAGGAACACAAATTAAAATAGTTTTAGATCTGTTTTTTATGTAAAATTAAAAAAGCTTTTAATATTAGAATAAAAAAGTTAAATAGTCGATACATGGGATAAAATCACATGAGGAGGAATTAAAACTGACAATTATTAAACTATGTTTTAAAAATCATAGTCATTATAAGAATGTTAATCAACATGCTAATAATGTTTCACTCTTGTTTTCTTTTTTTTTTCCCAGAAGTCACGTCGACATGTCTCTAAAAATTCAGAAATGCATTTTATTTAAAAAAATGTTTGGTCTAAAAAAAGGATCAAGAGATCAGCGTGCACATCAGGCACGTAGTCATGGGCTTGATCTTGGAGCAGTTGCACCGAAGCGCTCTGTTTACAGTGTCCATCATCAGAGGAACAGCGTTAAGCTCATTTAGCAGAGCGACAGGAGTGAAGCGGTTCAGGGCAGATGGCATTTCTGTAGTGCAGACGTCACCGGTCAGAGCATCACGCTGTCCTGAAAAGAAGAGCACTGAAATCTGCTTGGAGGATCAGTGGGACAAACAAGCTGTTTCTTGTCACAGACATACAACCAACGGCTGCTGGCAAAGCGGTAGTTCACCCACAAAGAAATCCCATTTGAATTGACTGACCAATTACTCACCATCTAAACTTTACAATTAGAAGTGTTTGATTCATGTGAGTTCAGACATTAAGTATTTTAGATTATAACTACGAATGTTTTACATTTGCGTTTTTTTCTGAACTAAAGTGGTTGTTTTTTAAACAATATGCGCATCAGACATTTAGATGAGTGTCTATTTGGTGATTTGAATGTTTTCATGCATGTCCTTTAAGCATTTCCAATGTTTTAAATACATAATGAAATATCCTGCAATTTTCTCTGTTTGAAAGTCAATAGTACAAACCAATTATGATATATATCTACATTTAAACAAAATCAATTTATGAGGTAAAATTTCAATTTAGGACAAATGAATAGGTTTACTGTTGTCAACTGTTAACCTAACTATATTATAATACTGTAAACTGAATCTTAAATACAGAAGCATATTGGCAACAGTGTTTTTTTATAAACCCTTTGAATGTCTAACAGAGTTTATGGTTTAACACAAAGGAAGATATTTTGAAGAATGCTGAAAAAAACAAAACAACCTGACATCCAAAGTAGGAAAAAGTATGTACTATTTAATTCATCTTGCGATAATCTTGGCTGGATTATTTAAAGCTAAATATCGCAGGGGTCACCAACCCTGTTCCTGGAGAGCTACCTTCCTGCAGATTTTAGTTGCAACCCTGACCAAACACACCTGTTTGTAATTATCAAGTGCTGCTTTAGCTACTATTAATTGGTTCAGGTGTGTTTGATCAGGGTTGGGACTGAATTCTGCAGGAAGGTAGCTCTCCAGGAACAGGGTTGGTGACCCCTGGTCTATCGGCTTCCAACAGTCCTCAATTGTGTGTGTGTGTTTGTTAGTTAGTTAGTTAGTTAGTTAGTTAGTTAGTTTGTTTGTTTGTTTGTTTGTTTGTTTGTTTGTTTGACAAAATAGCTATGTGTGACCTATCAATTTAATACTTTAGCATATATGTATCCGTTGTTTTTCCAGTGATGGGTTGCTACTGAAAGGGCATCCGCTGCATAAAACATATGCTGGATTAGTTGGCATTTTATTTTGTTGTGGTGACCCCTGATTTATAAAGGGACTAACCCGAAAAGAAAATGAATCAATGTATGCATTGTTGCTATCTTTGTAAGATCTGTAGTTTTTTTTCAGTATGTTTGATGTCTGTCAGTAAGTTAGTTGAGTTGAGACATGTGTGATTCTCATTAATAAGGATAGTGTCAGTCAGTCTGCTGTATAAACAGACGACTGTTTCATTCTTTGGAAATCCAAAAGACTGTCATGCACAATGGCTTTTAAACTGACTCACCTGGTTTTAAATTATGTTTGTTTAATTGAGGAGAAAATTATATTAGATTTTTTTTGCATATTTTTATTGTATTATTATTATTATTAGTGTCATCATCAGCAGCAGCAGCAATAATATAAAATTAAAAGAAATTTCTTAATAATTGCTACATTCATTAATTATATTTTAAATATGCAGTCAAGCCCAGAATTATTTATACCCCAAAAATATTGGTTGCAATTAAACTTAGATTTAAACACATGAATTAAAACAAACATCCTATTACAAATACCCAAGCTAAATATTAAAGTTGATTAAATATATTATTTCACTTTTCAAAATGGATAATAAAGAATAAAAAGAAGCATCATAATAGATTTACCCAAGCTGAATTTTAAAGTTGATCCAGTAAAACATTATTTAAATTAAATTATTATTGACTACAATAAATAATAAAAAGAAGCATTTTTATATGCACCCAAGCTGATCATTTTAAATTATCAAAGAAAAAATTGCTTTCGTTATAAAAATGGCTGGAAGGGCATCTGCTGCATAAAACATGCATGTGCCAAAATAGTTGGTTGTTCATTCCGCTGTGGCGACCTCTGAAATAGGGACTAAGCCTAAGTAAAATGAATGAATAAATTCTGTAATTGCACTTTTTAATGATACAAAAACAAATCTTTTCATTACATACACAAAATATTTTGAAAATAAGCATATTTAATATATACCCTAAGTTTTATATAAACAAAAAGATATACTTGTTAATTAATGTCCCTTTGTTATGCTATTGTTTACTAATGTCTTTTCAATGTCAAAAATTTTATCTGAAAAATGTTTTAAAAAGCATGTGTAGCCAAATGTTATAATAATTTAAGCCAAACAATAGTGTTTCCTTCAGATGTCACAACTGACATGGAGAATCCATCTGTTGCTGCACGTGTGTTTGTGAACCTCATCTTTTATTAGGTGATGACCTGCATAAAGTCTAAATCAGAC